CCCAAGTGCAAAGCTGCGTGTGGTGATGACTGGCGGCGCTGCGCCGATTGCCCCAGTAGCGCATCTTGGTTGTGCAGCACGTGCCAGGCGAGGGCGAGCAGGGACTGCAGGAGGTTTAGGGGCATCGCGAGCTTGTGCCGAGGGGAGCCCACTGCGTGGTTTGGCCGAAATCCCTCGCGGCGGACCTTGGAGGCGCGCACTGGAGGGGGAAGCACGATTGCTGGAGCTGTTCACTGGGGCGCCCTGTGCCCAAGGCGAAGGTACACGTGCTGGCGGACGTGGAGGGCGAGGAAGTCCACGGAGCTGTCCAGTTGACATAGTGGAGCGGGGGGCCTGGGAAACTGCGCGCGCATCCTCGATGCCAGGCGGTGGAAGGCCAGCTGCAGCCTCCGCGAGGCCTGCCGGAGGTAGCAAGGCGTCGATGCTGCGCTCTGCGAAGAGAAGCCCCATGCGCACAGCGCGACGCGCGTCCTCTTGCCATGATGGGTCCATGGCGGGCGAGGCAGGCCTACAAGAGTTGAACACGTACAGCACAAAGCCTTTGCTTGAGGAGGTCGGCGGACACATGGCGCATGCGGGCAAGTGTATCTACGGATGCCAGGATGACGCACCTAACATCTCAAAGAAGCAAATTTTGTGAGAGAGGGTAGACACAGCAATACGACATATGCTCTGCCGAGATTTGGGGCGCAGGTTGGTGACGCTGATGGGCTCGGGACCCTGGGGGACGGGAAGGGGGGTGCTGTACGCTTACGCTGAAGGACCACAGCCCCAGACCCATGTTTTCGGCTCGAGAAAGGGGGTTTGGGCCAGAAGAGGCTGAATTTAGCTTCAGATGGCCCAACCCCAGGTTTTCGGCTCGAGAAAGGGGGTTTGCTTACTACCCAGGGGGACGGGAAGGGGGGTGCTGCACGCTTACGCTGAAGGACAATGAGCCTTACAACTGGCCCAGACTCATGTTTTCGGCTCGAGAAAGGGGGTTTGGGCCAGAAGAGGCTGAATTTAGCTTCAGCTGGCCCAACCCCAGGTTTTCGGCTCGAGAAAGGGGGTTTGCTTACTACGCAGATGGAGCAGCGGCGCAGAAGGCCGATTTGGGGCGCAGGTTGGTGACGATGATGGGCTCGGGACCCTGGGGGACGGGAAGGGGGGTGCTGCACGCTTACGCTGAAGGACAATGAGCCTTACAACTGGCCCAGACTCATGTTTTCGGCTCGAGAAAGAGGGTTTGGGCCTGAAGAGGCTGATTTTAGCTACAGCTGGCCCAACCCCAGGTTTTCGGCTCGAGAGAGGGGGTTTGTTTACAAGCCCAGAAGGCTGATTTGGCCGATTTGGGGCGCAGGTTGGTGACGCTGATTGGCTCACTGGGTGACGGGAAGGGGGGTGCTGTACTTCGATGCGGAGATGCTCAAGATTACCACGTGCTTCGCCGGGAGAGCGTCGAATCCCTGGCCACGGAACCTTAGCACTTTGACAAAGCCTCAAGACGCCGTATAGCAAGGCCATGAAAATCCTCTCTCTAAAGGTGTTCTGACACCACCCTAACCTCTTAAAGGATGCAATAGGCCCTAGACGCCCCGAATTGCCTCAACCCAAAACCCTAAGCTCTAAACCCTAGCCCCAAAATTCTCCAAACACGAATTCCTGGAACACCCTACATGGCTGCCCAGTGCCGATTTCGGAGTTCCGGGCCCCCTCTTAGGAGCCCTCTAGTAGAAGAAGAAGAAGAAGAACAAGAAGAAGAAGAAGTAGTAGTAGTAGTAGTAGTTGTTGTTGTTGTACTAGGGATTCTGACCTAAAGCCTGAATCCGAAGAAGCCTCTAAAACTCAGCCAACTCCCCTCAAAGCTGCGCCACCTAAACTCCAGCGACTCGGCGCGATTTTCCACCCCTCTCTCCGGAAGCGAGTATGAGTTGATGCCCCTCGTTCAACTGTCAGGCATGCTGCAATGAGGTGTGTTTAGAGGCTTAGGGAGTTTAGGGTGTGAGGGGCGTGCTTCAGGATTTCCGGTCTGCCGACTTGGAGCTCAGGGCCCCCTACCAGGCCCTACCCCGACTTCTGGGACCTTACACATCCTTACACGGACAGAGGAGTCAGAACCCGTTCAGAATAATACAGGGCTGGGATCTTCTTATGCTGCAGGGAGTTTAGGGCGCGTTCTTGGCACTCACTTCACGGCCGCGCCTTGCCGTAGCACTGCGGGTACCCCTTGGGACCGATGGGAATGGTGCCGTTGCCGGTGCGCCCGAAGTATCCTTGCTTTGCGTGGGCAAGGATGCCTTCATGCACAACACTCTCGATTCCAGGCAGGGCCATCATGCGGCCCATCCATTTCCAGACTTGGGCATACTCGAACAAGAAGGCCTGGTTGAGCTTCATGCGGTTGTGATACACAGGATCATGGCGCCAGAGTGTCGTGAAGGCACGCAAGTCACTCTCTGTGACGGCATCGCCGAGGATGAACTCCTTACCCTCAAGCAAACCGTTGAGCCTGTCCAGCGCTGCGAAGTATGCCGCAAAAGCCGTCTCGTAGACGTCTTGGTTCGAGGAGAACCCCGCCTTGTAGGCCCCGTTGTTGATATCCGTGTACAACCACGTGTTGGCCTCCTCGACTTCTTCTTGCAGCGATGCTGGGTACAACTCGACTGGGCGCTTTGCATAGGGCAACATCACGGTCTCAAACATACGCATGATCTCCGCACTTTCATTGTTCACCACCTTCCGTGACTTCTTGTCGTACAAGATGGGAATTGACTTCTGTTCCAGCCCCGACTCGGCGTAGATGTCAACGATGTACTTCTTTCCACCCACGGTGTCAGCCGTACATTCTGGGAAAGTCACATGGCGGCCGTTCTGCCCTGTGGCGCCTTCCGGAGCAAAGCGCCAGAGATTTTCACCTCGCTCGTCAGCGCTTGTGGTGCGCCCCGGAAAGCACACATCCATGGAGATCGCATCTTCGAGGCCCAAGACCGCCCGAACCAGCGCAACCCGGTGGCACCACGGACAGTTGAAGGCGATGTAGAGGTGGTAGCGGCCAGATTCTGCTGGAAACTCTTCGCTGCCTATGAAGGACCGGGCGCTTGAAACCCCACGAACGAACTCTCCTCCGGCACGGCGCTCCGCTGCGTTCGTCTGATCGTCAGTGGTGAGACCCGCAGAACCCACCACCGCCATGCTTACAGGACAAGGCCGGCACGACACGAGAAAACGAGATGAAGGCAGCGAAACACCTGTGAAGCCTAAACCTTATAAACTCTCCATCAATATGCTTCTGTGTTTTGTCTACTGTAATGGCTCTAGAGCTCCAAGTTTCTGTTCTTGGAGACTTCACCTGAAGTTTGGAGCCGCGCAACGCAGGCGTCAGCCAGGGTTGAAGCCAGCACATGATGGAGCGAAAGAGCCCGACAACGGGGAACCCTCGTTCCGGCATCCCAGAACCCCATTAGCGCGTGAGTTTCGAAGCCGAGACCCTAAAACCACAAGACCCAATCGAATTCCACCACGAAATCGGACGCCAACTCCTATACCTTAAAGCCTATCAATCCCGAGATGGCGAAAGGCAGCGGTGGCACTCTTGCGGAGAAAGTTGTCTCGTAATCATGGAAGATGAACAGAAAAACACTCTGCCGAAGTCTGAAGAGCAGCCAACCTCGTTTCCGGGGAGTTGGGGGGTACACCTGTCTGGCTCGATCACACCGCGCCGGGTGCTGACTGCTAGCGTACTGCTTCTAACACCTTCTAAGGTAAACACCAAGGCAAAGATGCAGGAATCTACGTAGAACGAAGAACAGACATCTACCGCAAAAAGACCAATGAACCGTCGCCCCTGCTGTTCATCTGCAATTCATACTTGCAGAGACAACCCGAAACCCCATTCAAACCGTCAACCCTCTTTTGAATCAGGAGCTCGTACTCAAACAGTACTCAAACCCTGAACTAAGGCCTAAGGCCTAAGGCATTGAGCCCCAAAATATCCCAAAACCCTGAGCCAGGGGCCAGGGAGCGTCCGCGTTGCGTCTGGGAGGTTGGACTGGAACCTTCCCAAGGTTGCGGTGCAGGGCAAAGCGCTCAAAGGCTTCAGGGCTCCGGGTTACCGGGTCGTACTTATAAATGTTTTACGGTTCTAGGCTTGGAGGGGGAGGGGTCTAGAATTCGAGGCAAGGCATACGGCTGGTAGCGGACTAGCCTGCACGCCGTTGCAATCTACGCAGGCAACTATGCACAACCTCACGCGGTCACCCCAGTCTCTGACAGTTATCAATGCAACCCTTCCCCTTGCCTCATTGAGATGCATGTTGCCGTTTGCCAAATGCGGAGTCTAGCTATTTGTTTATTGCCAAAAACACTAGTAACTCAATCCCTCTGGCCACCGAGCCGCCGGGTATCGCCGGGCTAAGCGGCTAAGGGCTTTCGAGTCCAACTCCCCAGTTTCCTTCCCAGCTCCTTCAGTTCGCTGAAGGGCGCTCGCTATTTGAGGTCCAAGCACCAGACTCGTGCTCAGGCACACCCCCTCCATCCGCTCCAAAATCTCCAAACTGCAAAACATGCAGCACATCATCGGCCACAGATGGGCAGAATGTATTGGACGATTGGACAGCAATAGACTGCAAGATGGATGGATGGTGTACAGAAAGGACATGTGCGCTCCGCCTCCCCCGAGTTTGACTTGTCCCAGTCGATCTGTTTGACAGCGACCTTTGCAGAGCCAAGGTAAGGCTTGAGGTCTCTGCACAAGCAAGACAGGCAAGACAAGGAACACGCTTGCATCGCTCTTCCCTTTTTCGACCTCTGATCAGCTTTGCATGTCGAGGTAGCGTGCCTGTGTAGCAGTGTAGTAGTATCGTGAGAGAAGAGTAAATGATGCACTGCAATATACAACTTAGCAGACTTGGCAAATAGACAGGCAAGCTGACAAACATGTGTGCGTGGGTGCACGTGCGTGAATTTTCAGGGGAGGGCCGGTGCGCTGCTCCGTGTCTGCACAATGAATTCTTGGCTGTGCTTCACTTCACAGCACTTGCAGAACACGTGGAGTCGAATTCTGTATACTCGCCACTCAGAAGAAGGGCCACCGCCTCGAAGTCGAGCCTAATATTGGCCTTCGTGATGCTCTGTTCATGTTCCTCCAGATCGCTGAACTTCTTGGCTTGCGGGTGATTCTTCTGAGCATAGTGTCCATGGATGTAGTCGGCACACGAGGCAACGAAGTCGTCGTCCCCAGCCAAATAGATGCACAGGTGCATTGCATCTCGCTTGAGAACGTCCCGTGCTTCGCGGACGCACCGTTCCGGAGACCAGCCTGAAGCATGCTGAAGATCTTCGTCCTGCAATTTGTAGCGACGGGTCAAAGCACGCAGGAACCCTTCGACATCTCCTCGATCGTTCCACTTCTCGATTTCCAGCTCTTCTGACGTGAAGCTCTGTACCGGCTTCAACGCGTAATGGAGTTGTTGCTCAGGAACTCTCTTCTTAGCCAGCTGCCAGCCGCCCCGGAAGCGATTGAAGGACCAAAAGTCATGAATGCAGTTGATCACCGGATCCGGGGAATGTTCATCAGCTTTCGTTGCCTGCAGCAGATATTGGAGTGCTTTGGCGAGTCTTTTTGCAGAGTCCAAGTCACTCATCACTTCGTCTGATGCCTGCGCTATCGTCTTTGTCTTCAGTTCTTCCCATTTTCCCCAAAGCCTCTCACAGTGCTCCTTGTACAAGTCGTTTTTGTCCGTCTGGCATTCGGGCGAGAGACGTGGCCGCTTCATGGCATATACAAACCCAGTACACTTACACCATACGTGCACACACACACACACATTTTTATGATATATACAGGGCATATCGTGTATGGATACACACGCGTGTTTAACGATGCTTCTTTTGACCTGAGCCGCGTGAGCCGTAAGGCATTTGAGCCAAACAGGCTGTGCCGGACCTGCACGTTGCTAGCTTTTGGAAGACTCAGTGAGCAAACTGGGAAGTTCAGATTCCAAAGTGCCACCCGCCAACCGCTCATGCTCTTGATTCCAAGCAAGCAGGCAGGCAGAGCTCGCAAGGAAGATGAGCAAGATGGCTCGAAAGGGGAAAATCTGACAGTCTGACAGCCCCTGAGCGCAATCGATGCCTAAGCACTGGGCCTTTTATACCGTAGCTCTGCAAGTCAGAATTCATCTCAGACACACGTCAGAGCTGGGACCCTGGCAGGGCGTGCTCTGAGTAGGCGCCCCCCGAACTTTTGACCTGCGCACTGCAAAGCAAGCCGAAACGCCGATGCACCGAGTTCCTAAAAAAAGAAGCGACAGCCACGTGAGGAGAGGAGGAGAGCGAGGGCAATGGTATGGCCCGCCTTGACTACAGCATTGCTCTGCCTTCATTCTACGATCCTCACCGCCTTCGGGCCAACTGGGGCTCAATTCTACTCTAATGTTTGCTCTAACACACAGACTCTCACAGACTCTCACAGACTCTCACAGACTCTCACAGACTCTCACAGACTCTCACAGACTCTCACAGACAACTCCTGTACTGTCGCCACTCTGTAGCCCCTTCCTGTCTCACATTTGCTACTGTGCCGCTTGGACGCCGCACGCTCCCTATAGGTCAACCCATCAGCATGACATTTGGATGCAAATCTCCACAGCACACGCGCTTTGCAGACCAATTGCAGCATTGTTAGGCCCGCGCTGTGGAAAAACAGCAATACTCGAGACTTCAAAACAGCAGACAAAAAAACTGGCGGGAGATATTTGATCAACGCAGCCAAAAAGCAGCAGACAAAACTGGCGCGAGCTGTTTGGTCAAAGCTGCTGACAAAAATGACGCGAGCTATTTGGCTATTTGGTCTAAGCTGCTGACGAGCTGTTTGGTCAAAGCTGCTCATTGGCTATTTGGTCAAACTGGTACGAGCTATATGGTCAAAGCAGCAGACTAAGTTGATGCGAGCTATTTGGTCAAAGCTGCTGACAGAACTGGCGCGTGCTATTTGGTCAAAGCTGCTGACAACACTGGCGCAAACTGTGTGGTCAAAGCTGCTGACAAAACATTTCGCTTGCTATTTGGTCAAAGCAGCTGACAAAACTGGTGCGAGCTACTTGGTCAACTCTTTAGAACTCCATTGCCAAATACAAAACCTGAAAAAGTAACAGCGACCCGGGGACGCTTGGGTGGACCAACCCAAAAAAAAAGAGCTCCCTCCATGGAGATCAAGGGGCCCCGAAAACAGCCAGAGCCCCTTTCTTCGACAAGCCTTGTCCAGCAGACGTCCCCTTTCCCCTCAGCAAGATTCCGACCCCCAACACGAATCCTGCGAGAGCGCCTGGATCGTCTTCGTTGTGGTGGCCCCGATCGGGGTAATGACGTCCACGAAGACTTTCCTGGAATGGGCTCGACGTCAGGGGTTTTTGGGTACTTTGGCGGGCTGCGGGTCCGTGTGTGTCCCTGAAGCCTGATGAACCCACACAAACTCCCCAGAACTCTCCCAACCATTCAGCCACTTCACGTGCGTATGTTCAAGGACAGCTTGTGCCGGAACTTCACTCGTTCATCGGGTGTTGATGTTCAGCGAACTGGAGATGGCAAAGCTTCCGGTCTGAAACGGAGAAGGCATGGGACTGCAACGTGAACTCTGAAGTTAAAGCTCGGGCGCTTCCCCTGAGCCCAACAACATCGCCCCGGGCGCCTCGACCTCGTGGGGCCGATGGAAGGCTCCATCATTGGCCTGATACAGCTCATGTGCCGTTTGTTTTAGTTTCTGGACACCTGAAGACATTCGTGGACTCTAAGCACCAACCCTTACACCAGGGGGGGCAGCCCCCAGGCAATGGGTTCTGGCCAGGAGGGCCACGGGGGGCACCACCCAAACCTCAACCAAACGAATGAACTGCTAATTCGTTCCGATTTGTTGCCTTCTCCCCCCTGCCCCGCGCGGTGCCCCCAGGCAGTGGGTTCTGGCCAGGAGGTGATGGGTGGGGGGTGCCTAAACCTCTCACTGCGCGGATTAGCTGCCAATTCATTCGTTTTCACTCCCCTCCCCCGCCCCGCGTTTTAGCCTCGAGTGCGGTGCTTGCTGTACCAGGGTTTAGGTTAAAGGCCTCTGCCAGCAAAGCAACGCCAAAAAAAAAAAAAAAAAACTAAGGAAACACCCTGAAACCTTCTTTTCCTTGGGTTCCCGGCCAGGAGGGAGATTGGGCAACCCTCAATTTCAAATCGCGTCACTTGGAAAATGAGCGGCACAGGATTCGTGCGAATTCGCAGCTAGTTCGAGCCAGGACCCTCAGATTCTAGGGTCAATACATTGACCGTCTTGCTATAGAAGAGGTGCCTCTGTCCCCCTCAACCACCCCGCGCCCCGACACTCTCCACACCCCCCGTGGCAAACTAGCGGCTAGCCCCGCCCACCCAACACCCCCGTTTGCGGCTCCCAATGTCTCCATATGTCTCCCCTTCTCCCCTTCCCCCGATTGCGTGCGCCCGTCCGGATCGAAGACGGCAGCCAGGGTCGGCAAGCTGTCTTGCGCCGGCCCCGCTACCGCCCTTGCCCTCCCCAGCGCGGAAAGGGCGCTCCACCACCTGCGCACCCAGGCGATGCCAGCAGCCGCGCGCAGGGGTGCCGGGGCGCGGCAGGCCCGCAAGCGGACCAGGCGTCGCACCACTAACGCAGCCTCGGCGTTCCAGCGCCCCCCAACCTCGCAACCGAGCACACAGAGCTGTTGGGCCCCCCCCGGTGCGAGCTCGGGGTAGGTGGCTCGTTTGCGCCGCTCGGCCCAGCGGCGAGACGAGCGTGGCGTCGCAGCAAAACGCCCCTCCCAACGGCGTAGCCCGTAGACGACGAGGTCCAAGCGCCGTGGCCCTCTGGGCCAACAGCCTCGCGTGCGACGCGCGCTCACGCGCGCTCGACGATTTTGGCGTCGCGCGCGAGCAATCTGCATCATCTCCAGGGGGAAAGCGTCGTGTGGGGCTCGCTTTGGATGGCCGTGAGCCATGCGCCGGCGTGGGGCCCAGCCTTTGAACGCACAAGAGCACGATGAACGGGCGACAAGGAAGGCAGCAACGCGGTCGCGGAAGAATCGGTTCCGAGTACGCGACGCGTGAAACTGCCATCCGTGCACCCGCCCGCCTGGCTCAGTGGCGTCGGGCTCGGGTCCCGGTGGTCTCACCTAGCAACCCGCGGCCAGGTCGGCACATCGGCCCATCCTTCGTTGAGGAGTAGCTGCCGACCAGCCCGGCGGCTCGCAGGCACGCTGGGCCACTGCCATCTTGGAGGGCTGCGACCGCCCATGCGACAAACCTGGGGCAGCGGGCCTCGAGGACGGCGGCAAGTGAATCAGCCCACACAGCCCAGTAAGCTGCGGGGCTATGCGTGTTGCCTGAGTGAGACCCAGACCTCCTAGGCCTGCGGGCAACAGCGCGATGGCGCGCACTCCGCGTCCTCAGCCAAGACAAGCCTGCAGCATGCCCCAAACCGCCGCATCGTGCGCCTCGGCAGTGAATGAGTGAGACCTGCAAGCCGATAGGCAGCCCCTCTGGGGCGCAGGCAAACATTTTTTTTCAGGCAAACATTCAACACAGCAAGTGACATTGTAACACTCGCTTGTCAAAGCTACAACAACTACTTGACGTCATGAGCTCGGACATCATTGCTGTACAAACGCGAGGAAAGCAACAAAATGATTCTCCCAATTGGTGTCGTTTTTTTTCTTTTTCTGTCGTTTTTTGCATGGTCCATCCACCTTTCCCACCCCATAGTACGCGCGAAAACTTCCAAATGTGAGGCCCAGGAATTTCGAGGCCGGCCGCGAACGCGACTTCCAGGAGGTATCCATTCCATAACGCGTTTGATCCATCTGTTGGATGGCACGTAGCTTACATGACGAGCAAATCTCCAGTAATGCTTCAGGCATGTTTCAGACCAGCTTTGCAAATGAAGCCGTTGTTGGAAGTCACGCACGCGCTCGTTCCAGAGGCGCAAAATCTCATGCCATGGCAAACTCCAATCGACGCCGGGTGGTGGACCAAGCAAAGTGCGAAGCAAACGTCGCCATTCACAGTCAAACTGACGTAGGTGATGATGATAAATCTTGCGATGCCCTGCACCAAAGCACGCGACAGGCGTCACAACTGCCTCAAAGTATCTGATGCGCAACGCTGCTGGGACACGTTTATCACAATGCCACTTTGTGCGAAAAGACCGTGTCAAAAATGTCAAACCCTAAGAACCTTAAACCCGAAAAATTTTAACCCTAAAAATCCTAAACCTTCCACCTCAAAACTCGTCGATTTCAATTTAAAACTTTATCATGAAAGTTAAGCTTTTCCCCTCATCCTAAACGCGCGGGATGCAGATGACACATGGAAATCCACATCTGCATCATGAGTGCAACATCTTGTGGCAAGTGCGAACAACTTCGATGCAAGTATCAATGTCCAACCAGATCGTGCGCCTCGGCATACGGCTGAATCAGCTCGCGCAGCACGCCAGGAGCAACCTCGCGCACTGCAGGTCAGGCAGCAGGGGGAGTTGCCGCAGAAGCTCGTCCTCCTTCGCCACGCGATGCCGCCCCCACGCCTCGATGAACTGGGGTGTCCCAACGGGGCTGCCCAACGCGACTATGCCGCGTACAGGCAACGGCTTGTCCCCGCGCCACACATTGTTGCCGAGGTCGCGAACCCCAGGCGGCGCTGGTTCCCGGGACAAGCTGAACACGCCAGTCTTGCCCAGGTTGGCCGCGATCCCCGTGTGAGCCTCAACAGATGCCGTTGCAGCATCGTGCTGGGCGCGGGAGCACGAGGTACAGGTCATCCAAAAACGCAAGGGGTTCCTCACCATCCTGAAGCCTCTCAGCCGCCTGCTGCAGCCCCGCGTGCTGTCCCAAGGCGAAAAGCGCGGGGGCCAATGGGTCCGCTTGCTCGCATCCTTCGCCCTGGAAGATGCTATGGCGCTCGCCGCTCTCGTCCCACCAAAAGCACTCCGAAGCCTGACCGTAAAAAAACCGGGCGAAGGGGAAAACAACTCCCCAAGGTGAGCTAAGTGCTGGGCACGACGTGCACGGGCATTATCATCAGGCGCCTGGGGTGAACGGCGGGCTGCGGCATCAGGGGGTCACCGGACAAGCCCCACCTGCAGGCCGGCGCAGGAGCATCCGAGGAAGGAACAACCACAGTTTCCAAGCGCGCACTTCATGAGTGCCGTCAGTGCCGCTCGCAATCCGGGAACATGACCGAATCAACTCCAACGCGACCTGGAATGCTTGGAGGAGCACACCTTTGCAAAAGTGTTGGGGCGCCCGGGACGTCGTCAGCTAGGAAAGGGTCAAGGTTCGCCAACGAAGCCCGGTAGCGCAACCGGGTGTCGGTACTCGCGCCCTTATGCACAAATTCGCACAGCAGAGGTGCGCATCAACTTGACTTGCTTCGCATTCCAAATCGCTGGGCCAAACCACAATGCGAGGCAAGGGGGACAAGTTTCTGCTCGAGAGCACATATGGATGGCAGACCCCCTTGTGGCCAAGTTTTGGGTTGGAGGGATGTCGAGTTGGTCGTCGTGGGCTCCAACACACGGCTCTGCCCCACTGCCACCGGTGTACTGTAACGACATATGGATCGCCGTAGCTTGTGAAGCAGTGATCTGTGGTTCCTTCGTCGACGTCCCGGGAAGCACGCATGCGGATGTGCTGAACAGTGAATCAGCTTGGACTGGGAGCCCGTCATTTCCCTTCCCTTCGCGCAGCAGACAGGCCAGCAGCGTCAGGCCACACCTACAGCGGGGAAAACTTGCAGAGCTCGAAAACTTCCCATTGCACAAAAACATCAAAAACATTATTGGCAGCTTACGATGGAACCAAACATCTCGGCATGACAAAACGTTCAACAGCTGCGCATGCCAGTGCCTTGCACCTGTGATTCCTCAGTCTTGAATCACTTGTTTGGCACGCCTTTGCAACAATACCCTGTCATCGGCGCCGATCTTCGGTGGGGACCCGGGTGCGTCGTGTGGACCAGCCACTGTTGCGACACCACCTGGACAGGATTTCACAAAAGGAACAAGTCAGCTCTTTAGACTCACTCACTCATGACGTCAACTGTGCACAGGAAACTGACCTGGTGATGACGCTACACAAGCAGAAAGAGATGAATGGCACGTCCTAAAGGCGAATCATTCAGAGAGCCCCTATAAAGATACGAAATTGGGAACATCAATGACTCACTTTTTGGGGCGCTCACTTGGCTCACTCGTGCCCCCCGTATTCTAAAATGAGAAGAAAGGTAAGGAACTGGTCGTGTACGCGTCCACGTTTCCGCTGCATCCGGACGAGCCGCAATGGCGAGCGGTGATGGGCAGGGGAAGGCGCAATCGCCGGCGCAGGGCCACCTGCTGCGTGATGGCTGTGACTGCCGGTTCGCCGGGTATAGCCATTAGCCATGCGCCAGCGTGCGGGCCTGACTCGGCTCGGAGCAGGGCTTGACGGTCCTGCGTCAACGACGGCAGCATCATGCGGTCGCGATGGTAACTGTTGCGAGTGCACGACGCATGAAGCTGCCAGCCATGCGGCCATGCGCCACATCATGTATCCGCCGCCACGTCCGGCCGCAGGCCCCAGGCACACGCACCCCAGCCTCGGTTAACAGCAGCGCACGGGCGCTCTCAGCGTGCTCAAGCACGCGGCGCCGTTGCTCTCTTGACGGAGCGCAGCGACGCAGGCTGCCGCGAAAGCCGGAAAACGGGCTGCCATGACAGGGAAAGCATCCGCCCATGCCGCCCGGTACCCCAGACGCGAGGCCAAGGCCACCGAGGGCTGCTGGCAGGCAGGCTACCTCGCGGGCGGACTGCTGGTCCGCTTCCTCCCCCCCCGGCGAGCAGCAGCCAGGCGCACTGCAAATCAGGGGCTGGGGCAGGTGCTGCAAGAACTCCTGCTGCTCCTACGAGCTACGGTGTCCAAGTCAACCTCGCCTATAACGAGCTGTCGCGTCCAAGTCAGCCTCGAGTTCGGCTTCGCCTATATCGAGTTGTGGCGTCCAAGTCAGCCTCAAGCTCGGCTTCGTTTATAGCGAGCTGTGGCGTCCAAGTCAGCCTCGAATTCGGTTTCGCAACAGCTGTAGCGTCCGAGTCAGCTTCGTGTTCACTGAGTTCAGCTTCGCCTGTAACGAGTTGTGGCGTCCAAGTTTGTTTCAATTTCGGCCTCGCTTACACCCAGCTGTGGCGTCCAAATCAGCCTCGAGTTCTGCTTCGCCGGTAACGAGCTGCGGCGTCCAAGTCAACCTCGGCTTCGATTTTAACTAGGGCCCCAAACAAGCACATAAGCAAAAATCAGGACAGGGATATCCCAGACAAACCCCCTAGTAATGAAGCAATGAAGTTGGGATATCCCTTTTAATCCTGCGCTTATGCCCTTTTTGGTCCCTAGTTAACGAGCTGTGGCATCTAAGTCAGCAACGCCATGCCAGCCGGAGATCGCCGGAGAAAAACCAGTTGGGGTGGAGCGGGGCCCGGCAAAGCGCATCCGAGTGTCGTGCTCGCCACTGTTACTGCTGCACGGCAGCGGTGCGACCAGCCCGCTCCTGCGACAGCACTGCGCTCGCACGCGCAGCAGGTCGCGCACGAAACTCTGGGCTTCTCCGTTCCGAGCAGCGCCGGGCGCCGGGCTGCGGCTGCCTACCCCGTGTCAGGGGGGAGACCAGCGTGGCGTCGCAGCACGGCGCACCTCCCCAAAACGTGGCGCTGTACACGACAAGGTCAGTGGTCGTACGACCTGCCCGTCTGCCCCCACAGTTTCCGTCAGGAAGAGAAAGAAGCATCCCGCAAGTAGCCCTGCACATGATACGCGCGGGACGAACCAGCAGCCGTGTTTGTTCTTTTTTTGCTCCGTCCCGCTTCTTGTTCAGCGTGCTGTGGCTACGAACGAGCTCTAGCTTCCCAGTTCAGAAGGGCGTCCGGTGTCAATAACGAGCTCTATAGCGTCCCAATTCAGTAGCGCGGTCGGCTTGGCCGATAACGAGCGCTGGCGTCCCAAGTCCGTGGGGCGTTGAGTTTTACCGTCCGCAGGTCAGGACCAAGGGCCTCGGCTTCGCAGAGATAGCCGAGAGCAGCGCAGCAAACTGGAGCATTCTTGCATGAAAAAAGGAGCGGTGAATCAGAAGCAAGGGCTCTTCGGGAGGTGGTGGCACATCCTCAGCTTCCGTTTCAGTTTCCGTGGTGCCCCTCCCTGGTGCCCCTGGCCAGCGCTTCAACCCACAGCCTCCCGCTAAGTCGAGGACCTGGCGGGCTTCGACAGCCCATCGTGGACAGCGGCCTTCCTGTTTTTTTCGGTCCTTCGGAGTCCCTCGTGCCAAGTTGGCAAAGTGAAACTTGGAGCAAATTCCATGCTGACCTTGGGTCGCAGCTTTTTGCCCGCCTCGAGAAGGCCACGCGGGCTCCCCCAGCCAGGCGACATGCTCTGAAGCCATCCCCAAGTTGAACGACGAACCGGATTTTGATTCAACTGAGTACATTTGTGGAGTTTCAACGAACCCCTTTGAAAGTGTTCTTACGCAGCTAGACGGTTGCACGTTGCGTCACCGTCGTGCCGATCGCAACGCACCGAAGTCAAGCACACCCACTGGCAAAAGCAGTGCACTATCACTTGCAGGTTTCTCCACCCGTCGTCGCAGATTTTGTTCTTCCGATGCGTTCGCGCCGTGCCACGACATGAATTGCCCATGCTGCGTCCGCAACACCCACTCTCAAGGATAGCCAAAAGAATCCAACATTTGCGACCTCCAGCGTAGGCCCTCCTGGCGGACGACTGCGCGTGCCAACGGCAACGGCTTGCAACGATGCAGGCAAGGTCTTAAAAGTCCGCAAAGGAAGGCCAGCACATGACAAAACACGAAAAAAGATGCCACATGCTTTACGGCGACGGAGCGACAGAATACTCACGTCGGGCCACGGAATGTTTTTGTCCTGGGCCGGTGGTCACTGCCGGGAGTGCGACAATCTTGGCAGTATGGAGTGCAGATGTCTACCGCTGGGCAGCAGGTGGCGGAGCGAAAGATCAATCTTGCGGTCGTTGGCAGAGCTCGGAGCTACCTGACTGTCACAACAGCGCTCAGAGGACTGCGCGCATCTAGCGGCTGGCATTTCAGACATCCCGCGCTGGATGATATTGCCTTATTGCCTTGCTGATTGACATTGATTTTGGTGCCCACCGAATCTACCGCTGAGGACGCCACAGCGCAGGCACCTCTTGCCCAGCATTGTCTATGTGCTATTGGGCGATAAATTGCGGCAATCTGTAGGAGACTATTGGGGTAGTCTCGCGCGCTCAAGTGGTAAAACCCGATCATGGTGCACTCCTGATCGTCACTGAGAAGCTACTTTTTCCCGGTGAGCCGATGTCTGGGCCATCGGACATACGACACGTGTGCGGCCGGCCTTGTAGCTCTGTTCAGACTTAGCTTGCGAGTGTCCTGGTGGCAGCATATGTAAAAGCTTGGTGACCAGCACACTTTGACTCTGTGTGTGTGTCTCAATTTTGCAGCGTGCCCCATGGCCCGTACACGAACGCGGATTGGCCGGGTTCCAGGGACATACTCATTTTATACAGGGACCAACGGTCTCCGCAGGTTTTTGGTTGACCAAGCGCAGCACGACATGTTTTTCGTCCTTCAGTTGGCGGACGTGTTTCTCCGCCTTCAACAGGTGGGGGATATACCTACAACCTTTCCGCGCGAGCATGCGCACCGAACCTAGCGAGCGCCTGGTACGCTACATGCAACACGGCAAAGCAGCAAAGCTGGAACGGCATCAATGGCATGCAAATATTGGAAACCATTAAACATTCATTCAGTCTCTCTGCGCTGCGAGCGGGGCATTGCTGCTGCTGCTGCTGCCGCCGCCGCTGCTGCTGCTGGTGCTGCTGCTACTGCTGCTGCTGCTAGTGCCGGTGGTGCTGCTGGTTGTTGGTGCTGTTGATGGTGCCGTTGGTCGTTGTTGTTGTCTTCTTGTTCTTGTTGCTGCTGCTGCTGTTGTATGTAATGACCTGCAAAAGCATGACGTATCTTTAGCTATACTACCCTAAACGGACCGCGGCGAACCCTCATAGCCATACTACCCTAAAAACGGACCCCGGCGAACCCTCATACGCATGGGTTGCTGCTGAAGTGGCTCATCCAAGGTATACGTTTTCGAGTTGAGGGTGAGGATGCAGGAGATGCTGGATGCTCCAATTTGTGTGCGTAGATCATGCTCTGAGTAGCATGAATCGGGCAAGAGAGTAGTGTAACTACGTGAATCGCGAATGAATCTGCCAAGATGAGCGGCATGAATCACCCAAACAAGTAGCATTAATCCACACGCGCAGAGTGAAGCGCGGGTAAACACCAGCCTCCACTGCACAGTGCACAGGCCAACAGATCGCCGCAGTCGACCCCGACAGGCAGAGCTTGGAGAAGCACCTACAAACAGAGTGATGGTTTTTGCGTGCTTCGTGCATGGCTTCGCTGCAACCCACAGCTCAAAACCCTGGCAGCCTGCGGGCCGTGTTTGGGCCTTTACTCGGGTGATTTTCTAATGGGGGGGCAGACTATCCGACCTGTGAATGACCCTGCCATGGATAAGTGCTTCTGCGGTAGTTCGGAATCATGTTTTTCCTGCTGTGGAGTAGGCAAGATAGCTAGTGGACATTACTCATGATTAAACCAATGTATGTTTCCCAGAGTGTGGAGAAGCACAGCGAGATAACTGTGTATATGTCAAACTTATGGAGTGCTCTGAATGCCCTGAACGGACATTCGGGGCAGGAGCTTCGCGACATAAGACGGACCATGAGCTCGGGGTGATCCCCTGACTTGCCTGAGAAGAGAGAAAAAAAGCAAAGAGAGTGCAGGTATCCGGGCCTGCAGCTGCATGACTGCGTCACTCAGCGACCGGCTGACCTTCTTCGCCTTAGGGCTGCAACAATTCACGTTCGGTCAAAAAAGTTCGGCTTCGTGTCTGAACATGGCAGGCTCAGCTAGGGCAGCTAGGATGACGACGGGCCATCTCTTTTTGGAGGTCATTATCGCAGCAGTGCTTCCAGTGGGGCACACGGCCCCAGGTTAACCGCAGGTCACTGCGGCGTTCGCTGAGGGATCGGGTCAAAAGGGCTATTTCCGAAAAGCTCTGCCGAGCATTGTCCATAGGCGGAAGCGAGGGCAGTGCCCTCTTCGGTGTGAGAGCGGGGTATAATACAGGCCCAGACTCAGGCATACTCAGAGTTCTGCGTGGACTCCTTCATCTGAAGCTGGGTGATCTTCTTGATGGTGCGGGCCCAAACGTTCTCCGAGCAGATCAGCTCCTGAAGGAAGTGTTTCTGGAGGTGGCCATGCGTAGTTTTCAACCTGACAAGAAAATCCGGTATGTCCGTGATGTCCGCGGGCGACACCTGCTGGAGAAGCAGCTGCTCTACGAAGCGGAAGTCAGCCACCCCGTTTGTGCCAAGGAAACCAAAGGCGGTGCATAGGATCTCCTGCCTCATGAGGACGTCTAGCTCTTTAAACTTCCTCTTGCCGTCATCCGACGTCAAGACCCCGCTCGCCGTAGCATGCTCATGCAGCTGGCACCATGCAGCCACCGAGTACTGAACTGCTTTCAGGCTTGATGCCATGCTGTTCTGGATCGCCTCTCGTACTGGATCGAGAAAGTCGGGGTAGGACAAGTCGCGGCCCAAGCTTGTCAATGACTCAAAAAGGTTTGCGGCGTCCGAGGGTGTCTGAGTATTCTGAGCTGCCACCAACGTCCATGAGGGCGTGCCCTTGGACTGCGCGTCCGTCACGATGAAGGGCATCTGCATCAATGACTCGTACAAGTTCTGCATGTCCAGTCCCATGAAGCGGTTCAAGTTCAGCAGCACAAGCTGCACGTCATCGTCCTCCTGGTTGTTCCACACGTGCCGCGAGAACTTCTCCCAAGAATAGTAGTCACTCATGGTCTGCAGCACGATATCCGAGTGGATTTTGTAAAAGGCATTGCGGAGCTGCGAGGTTCGGGTGTTGTCGTGGTTGACAATGTCGGACAAGTAGTTGGTGGTCAGCAAGACGTCAAGGGGAGCCCGAAAGCGTCCAATTGCTTGCCAAACCACTCTGTCCCGTGTCAGCACCTTCGACTCTTTGAAGGCCTTGAACAGGCTGTCCTTGTCATGCAAGTCAACGACGCCACCGATGGACATGACGTCTGTCCCTAGCATCTCCAGCTGCATCCAGGCATCGTGGGCGTGCAAAACGGCATCATGTGACTCCTGAAGGCTGTTCAGCAGGTCCGTGCGGACCACGCTTAGCAGCCTGTCGCTGTTGTTGCAGGCCGTTACCCGCTGAAGCGCAACACTGAGCTCAGGCGAGAAGTTCATGGCTGCAAGCTCTATCAAAGCCTGGTGTGTGAAATGCTGCACAGGCCGGATGAAAGCTGCCAAAGAAGTGCGGGTCTCATGCATCGTCACTTGTGCAACATGTGAAGGAACAGCCTTAGGCACGGACTGGCAAAGAACCCACCAGAGAGTCACGAAGCGCAGCAGGATTCGGCGACCAGGTAAGGAAGATAATGCCTGCGTTGCGCACAAGGGCGAGATGCTTCTCAGTCGGAACTGCAGCTCGAACCACGTAGAGACAGAAACGACAGTGTCAACGCCTGCGTAAAAGCGCTGGCAAAGGTAAGCTTTGCATGTAAAGCAGTGGCTCCGAGACGGCTGCCTTAAAAGGGACTCACACGCCCCCCCACCCCCCACATTTCAGCCCAGTGCAATTCCAGAAGCACATGGACTCGTTTCCTTCAACCCTGCACCTTAACATCCCCAAACCCTTATCATTCAAAGACCCCGCAAATCCCTCAACCCCAAAAAGGCCCCTATTTGAAGAATGCTGAACACAAAATTCCTACCAGAGGCTGTTGGGCTTGCGGGGATGCCTTGGATCATCTTGGCGCGTGGGCCCGTTCGCCTCTACGTTTTCAGGTTCAGGGAAGGCTTTCCGCCTCTGTTTGCTTTTTCGGGTTTTCGCGGTAATGTTTTTGGTTTGGGCAGGGTTTCGTGTTTGGGCAGGTATATACTTTTCGGGTTTGGGGCACATGTTTTGGGTTTAGGCAGAAATCAGAAATGTGTTGGCTTGTCGGGCTTTGAAACATTTGCTAATCTCTTTCGGTGCTAAACCACACGTCGGGGGTTTGTTGGCCACTTTCCTCAGCACCTTTGCAAGCTTCATCTCACTTGCGGCTATGAAAATGGAAGCCCACAACTGTTGCCAGGATGACTTCAGAGGGGCTTCAGGCGAGGGTGAGTGTAAGTTTGGCCTCTTGAAGTCCTAGACTCCTAGACTCCTAGACTCCGAGAACCCTGGAATCACAGCTACAGCCTCTGGCAACTCGTACAACTTTCGCGCAGGGGGGGCCTGGCAGTTCCCCGAGCGCCACATCCAGCAGTGCTACATGGCCTGGGTGCACCAGCCGAATCTCACAACCAGCCCACCTTTCCCAGGTGCAGGTTTGCTGCAGAATCTGCGCGCTGGGCTGACAAACTCTTCGCCAGCAGGCACCTTGCAGTGCTCTGCATTCAACGAGATGTCAGGACACAACATGACACAACGCTCTAGATTGCTCGGCATGAGGACGCGTCCATTGCAAGAGCTGCGACTTCATTCGTGCTCAAGCAAGCAGCGTCACACCTGACCCATCGCATCGCTAGAGGAGGAGACTCGAAAATCACGCCCCTGCCAACAGATCTAGAGTCTGGAGTGGAAAGCATGGGCTCGTCTCAGAGCGCGACACAACATTCACCCCAGTTCGACTGGCAGAGAGACCGCTGCCATCCTCGCAGTTTTTTGGAAGCTTCCTTCAGTTTCAATACTTTCAACATCTTTCAACATGCCTGCAGCGCGGGCAATGGCATCGCACTTGGACCTGGCCAGTACGAAAGTTGCTGAACTCGAAGGGTTCTCGAGCCAGAGGCCTGGAACCCTTAGACTAAATCAGTGAGCAGGTGCGATGATGCGCTGATGATGTCCTTTTTTGCCAATCGCTGCTCACAATCTGCTGGGCCTGCCTCTGAAACGAGGGACCCGACGCCCGCAACAGTCACCACCTGCACGCTGAACATGGAGTACCACCGGCGTACTTCGTACACTGTGAAAGCTGCCACCCATCCACATGCACCTCCGGCGTACAGTCCGAAGCCACAAATCACAAGCGAAAAACCCTCGATCCAAGGTCGCAGGCCTTGGCCCGGGCTGCAGCTCCTCCACGAATCGGCAGTGCCTGGTGGCAGGCGCTCGAACCGAAGACGGAAAGCGACAAACACCCTAGGAGTGCGGTGGGAGTAGATCCCAAAGCGGCTCCGGTTTTGAGCACTCCCTTGGGAGATCCGAAGCATTTCACAAAATGCAGAGGCGAGAGCAGACTCGTACTTGCTTTAAGAGCGAGCCTTCTAAAACGATGCTGGGAACTGTTTCTGAAACACCTGGAGATCCTACTCCTTCGGCTGATCGTGCAGGAGGCAGGTTTAGGATTAAATCGCTTAGGCTTGTGTTGGGGGCATCGGTACTGTACAGCGCCTTGAGCCACACCAACGAAACATTTCAAACATCAGGATTTGTTCCTGCCTGAATGACCTTAACATCCGTCACAGCCTCACAGCCACAAAGGCCTCGGAGGACGGAACACCAAAAATGTTGGCCCAGATCTTGCATGATCTGACCCCACTGATCCGCAACGGCTTCTGCGCGCACTTGGAGCGTTGTTTATTGTTGCGGGGATCTTGTCTTTGAGTTGACATCCTATGCGGGCCTTCGCGTGAAGTCATGTTTGATAGCCGCCTGGCCTACGCGGAGTATGCTGTTACGCTGCGTGGCCACCCGGCCGATAATCGCGTCTCTCTATATGACTACCTGCTCTTTCATATAGAAAAGCAACGCTGCTCATCCCAGTCATTGGCGTTGTCTTCGCAAAACAGGGGTTGCATGTTGGAATCTGTCAGCCCCTCGGGAGAGCACTCCATGCAGTCCATGCACTCAAACAGGAGTTGGGTCTGGGCATCTGCGAGCTGCCTTGGAGTCATGCCACGCGAATTGGGAAGGTCGGGATCTGCTCGGGAAGCAAGCAAAAGGGAGACCATGGGCGCGTGCCCGCCCAGAGCTGCGTAGCCAAGTGGGCCTGAACTGCTATTCGCATGAAAGGATGAGAATGAACTTCTTGAGCCCAAGCAAACCGCTGCCCGAAAGCCCAGTTCAAGGCAACGGAAGAGACCTGTCGCACGCCCCGATGCATTGACATCGGCTCTTGCGCGGACAAGCAGCGCAGCCAATTGCACGCCTCCTTGTTGGAGAGTCCTCGATTCCCAAATTAAGTTCACAAGCGCTGAATGTCCAAGACCCCCGCGGGCTTCGCTGCCGTTGACATCAGCGCGCAGTTCCAGTAATTTGCTGATAACTGAGGCTGATGACACCCTGGCTGCACTCAGACCAAGTGGGGACACCTTGGACACTCCAGCTTGAAAGTTCACATCGGCATGGTGCTGAACCAAAAACTCCACTGTGGCAGCATCTCGACTAATGCCCAGCAGTGGCAAGCCAAGTGTATCGGTTGAGTTGGGATCTGCCTTCAATCGCAAGAGCTCTGCCATGACGGGGAGTGCGCGAGAGCCCCGTTGCACGGCTAGGTGCAAGGGCGTCCAAGCCAGGACATCTACGTTCATAAGTGGCTTGCAACGAGTTCTCATGCAAGCCTTGGCTTGGACAAGCCTCTGGATCATCGGAATGTTGTCCGAGAGCACGGCGCAAGCCAAAGCACCGATGTCTCTGACTTTCAAGCCCTCTGCCAAGCTCGGGAATCCGAAATGGGACAGAAAGTCCTCTTCGGATCGTTGCGTGTGGGAAGGTTCAGCATCAGCCCAGTCGTGAAACCTTCCTTTCAAATACCTGCAAAGAGCCGGATGAGTCTTCTTTGCTTCCAGAAACGCAATACGGCACTGCAGCGATGCCTGCAGCATGTCCCTGATGCGACTTCGATCCGCTTCTAGGCTAAACTCTCCCTCGTGTGGGAGGGTGTAGACCCAATTTACAGCTTGGACGCAGCGTCAGGACCACGTATGGCAATCATGGGCAAGCTTTGTCTGCTGGATAGTTGTGTACACCAAAGCTCTGCTAAGCACCAGCCCCTCCGCAGCCAGGACTCGTAATCACAGGTTTTCCCAGATTCGTGTAGAAGCGGCGGAACCAATGCCATGAAGCAACTGCAAGCATCAACGTAAGATACTTGATGGCTAGTTGCTGGTTTGCATGCTGGGAGGGGTCCTGTGGAATGCAGAACCAATCCAGCCAAATGTAGCCATTGCGCATAGCTCGACGCTCATTGCTTGATGCTGGGCGGTTCCCCACCAGCGTTCTTGAAACCGAGTCTGATTCCTTCAGCAGCCTTCCAGAGATGCAGCCGCCTAACGCCTCCTGGAGCACTTGAAACTGTCTTCCGTCCGGGTCCGGATGGTGTAGTCCCAACCATTGATGTGAGACGAAGAGCACGTAAAACTCTGGCTCATGCAACACCACCTGACCGGATCTGAGGAGCTCTTCATGCTGCTGGACCGGAGCTTTCATACGCAGCACCTCGGAGACGCTGACGGCCCACATAGGAAACGGCCGCGCGTGGTAGGAAAACTCGGACTGGGAGCTATCGACATAGGTCACAGCTGCCATGTCGTAGAGGCTTTGGCCTTACCACGCCTTGCTTCTTGCCAAAATGGCTGCGCATCAGATCGGGCTTGTGAACATGCGCGGCCTGGGGTCTTCACAGGGGCCAGAAAAATGTCCTAATTGCGAACAGAAAGCCAGGATAGCAAAAGTATTCATCCTGAGTCTCCTCGATATTTGGGTACTAGCCTACTAGCCACGTGACTCTTGGGAAGCGCGACATCACCAAACATGGCCTCATGAACATAGACCATGCCTTCAGGAAGCGGAAGCATGACTATCCAGAAAGCAGATCACATCTCCAACCGCGTCACATGGCGGAGCTGAATGATATCGTGTCGGCCATAGCGGACCCTCAACACCCTCGCATGGCACGGCCAAGCCGAGATCTTGAACGCCTCCACAACCATGGGACTCCCTATGACCCCCACACCCCGACGCTCAGAGAGGAGTCATAAAACCCTAAACCCTAAACTTAACTCTAAAGCTCTGAATGAGAGGCTTCTGGAGGGATACCGAACCGTAGTAGACACAGGCTGCCCGACCACCGCCGTCTCTGGCACAGACATGTAGGTCGTCACATCATGGTCCTATCCTGAAAGCCCTCTACCTACTGGTCCTATGAAGAAGGGAACCTCATCCCCTAAAAGCCCTCCCCGAAGCCCCCTCTTCCATGGCCTGGGCCAGCTGGGCTCGAATCCTAGCCTTGCATAGGGGCTGGAGAGGCTGCAAAGGGCGTAGTACACTGTGGGCGCTTGGGACTTTAGATCACAGATTTTGGGTGCATTTCGGCCCTGGCCCGGGACTGAAACTCGTATGAGACAGGTCGGCCCATGTCCCAGTTCTGCGGTTTAGGATCCCGGGTTGAGGGTCCACGGAGGGTTCTCAGGAGGGATTGCTAGGTGTGGCCTTCCTACAGCTGGAATCCCTCAGATGCCGGAGCTTACTGGGGTCATGAAGCATGATTCAGGATGTTCTGGCCATGGAAGTATAGTAGTTAAGAAACAGCTGATAGTATTCTGGGATCAGAGAGAAAGCCGACTGCTGTCGTCTGCGCCTAGAAACTTCGAGAACTAGGCGACGACTGTACAAGTGGTGGATCTTGGGATTCTTGGACTCGGATGAGTTGAAGTGTGCTGGTCTGACTCGAATCTGCAGCTTAAAGAATGGGGTGCTGGCTGAGTCTGTCGAAGCATTTCTACAAACGCGGTTCCTGTCACAATTACTACATGTTCTTGTAGGACTCCCTGCAAAGAATCGGGAATTTGCCTTCGAAAAACCCTGGGCCTGCAAATGAATCCAAAGTCGAAGATTCTGCCGCTGGATACTGCAATTCGGGTGAACATAAGCGAACCCTGCTCATTCAATATCCGCTTCTGCAGGGGCCTGAGCTGACGGAGATGAAGAGCCTGGCCAGCCTAGCACCTCGCAGGTGTGAGAAGCTGAGGACAGCCTTTGATTCAATGAGACCTGCAAATCTTCTTGTGGGTTGTGCCACTCCAGGCTGCCTCATGCTCGCTACTGCTCCTTAGAAGAAGAGAAAGAGAGAATAGAGAAAGAGAGAAAGAGAGAACGAGAGAGAGAGAGAGAAAGAGAGAAAGAGAGAAAGAGAGAAAGAGAGAAAGAGAGAAAGAGAGAAAGAGAGAAAGAGAGAAAGAGAGAAAGAGAGAAAGAGAGAAAGAGAGAAAGAGAGAAAGAGAGAAAGAGAGAAAGAGAGAAAGAGAGAAAGAGAGAAAGAGAGAAAGAGAGAAAGAGAGAAAGAGAGAAAGAGAGAAAGAGAGAAAGAGAGAAAGAGAGAAAGAGAGAAAGAGAGAAAGAGAGAAAGAGAGAAAGAGAGAAAGAGAGAAAGAGAGAAAGAGAGAAAAGAGAGAAAGAGAGAAAGAGAGAAAGAGAGAAAGAGAGAAAAGAGAGAAAGAGAGAAAGAGAGAAAAGAGAGAAAGAGAGAAAGAGAGAAAGAGAGAGAAAGAGAGAAAGAGAGAGAAAGAGAGAAAGAGAGAAAAGAGAGAAAGAGAGAAAAGAGAGAAAGAGAGAAAGAGAGAAAAGAGAGAAAGAGAGAAAGAGAGAGAAAGAGAGAAAGAGAGAAAAAGAGAGAAAGAGAGAAAGAGAGAAAGAGAGAAAGAGAGAAAGAGAGAAAGAGAGAAAGAGAGAAAGAGAGAGAAGAGAAGAAAGAGTATCCAGTTCTGCCCGCGGAGTGCCTCGTACCACTTTTTTTCAGACATGAACTTGGCGGGGTTTTCTGGCTTGATCACTCGGAGGGAACTCATTGGGGTTGCGGGAGTGAACTCGAAAGCTCGGGCCAGTGCCGCCAACCTGCGCAGCGCCTTGGAAATGGAGCGGACGAACAAGCCGTACCTGTCAGAAGACTCATGCCAGGTAAACCGGAATCTCTTCCCAACTATGGAGGGTGAAAGCTAACCCCGACAAGTGAAAACCCCTCTGAAGCGCGCGGTGTGGATATGGCTCGGCTGCATCTTGCTTCCGCAAGTTTCTCTTGTACATGGCTCTGCTCAAGAGCCACGCAATGCTTGATGCTTCACAGAAGCTTCAAAAACAACATGGCCCGTTGAGAGCTTGAAAAGTCGCTTCTATCGGACCAACAGGGCGACTGCTAGCTTTACCGGACACATACGGTAGACACGGAGGCGCACGACGACCCACGACGACACACGACGGCCGCAGCACACGCTGGGGGGGGGCACTGCACTGGAAGTACACTTTGCCCCTGACCGCGCCATCAATCTTGCCTGGTCTAGAAGGCGCGCAGCACTGCAGCACTGCGCTGGGAGGAGAGGTGCGAGCCATGAAGAAGAGAGGGGCCCTGAGCGAACATCATGGAACACCCTTACCATGCCCTTGGGCATGTCCTTAGTTGTGTGTTCGCTTCCTTGGTGGCTTTAGAAGGCTGCGTGGCGTGATTTCATATGCAGAGCATAGTCTATGCTCTGCTTACTGCTTAGACTGTTGTGGTCTCTCCTGCAACTCCTGCAATTTGCGGCTCGCCTTCTCGTCCAACTCCAAGCCGAGCCAACCCTTAGATCTCTCAAAAATGCTGGAGGCCTCAGAGCTTAGAGTCTCCGGGCTTTGAGTTTTTGAGGGTCACCACTTCCCGGTGGCCTGGGGCTTTGTGTGGCCGACCCCTGATGCTGTTCACTTCCAAGCTCCGTGGAAGCATCGAGCACCGGCATGGGACATCCACAAACGATCAGCACCATCCTCGTCGTCATTGCCAGAAGCAGAGCAGCATGCCCTAAACCCCAAGCCCTAAACCCGAAACCCTGATCCCCAAACCCTGGACCCTGAAGTACGGCCCCAATTCCATGCCAAGTTTCGCCTTCTGCGAAGTCGGTCCTTCCCGCGATGCCGTGCAGCTGCCTCTCCTGCAAAAGTCCCGCGATGCCAGTTTCCGGAAGGGCCGGCGGCAACATTAGGACATTAGGGCTCAAAGAGCATTGCCATTCTGAAACCTACTGTCTTGACATGTCCTGACTGTTTAGGATAAACGGGTAGTAGCACATGGCAGCACTGTTCCTGCTCCGAAGCTTGGGGTCATGGTGCCCGTGGCTGTACATTAAAGAGGTTCTTTGTCTTTCATTGTCTATTTCCATTTCTTCTTTGTGCTTTCTTCTTTCTCATATTTTAGTCTACACTTTCTATCTTCTATTGATCTATTAAGGAATTCCACTAACAATAAAATGGCATTTCTTTCTTTCTGTATTAGTAAAGATTTCAATGGAAAGATATCCGCCGAGGCCTCGGGCCGGAGGTGTATAGGTTGTCAGAACAGGCACCCCCCTCCAAATCCTCCCCCCACACCCAAGCCAATTTTCGGACCCCTTTTTTTGCCTCAAATGGGAACCCCCCCTGGGAAACCGGGGTCCGCAAGCGGACGGTTCGCCCCCCCCCCCCCCCCCCCCCACCCCCCCCCACCCCCCCCACCCCCCCCCCCCCCCCCCACCCCCCCCCACCCCCCACCCCCCCCCCACCCCCCCCCCACCCCCCCCCACCCCCCACCACCCCCCCCCCCCCCACCCCCCCCCACCCCCCCACCCCTACCTCGCCCCCCGCGGGTTTTCGAGGCTCCACTGGTGAGCACGGAGCCGAATTGAACCGAAACTCCCTTTCCCCTCTGCCCCCCTTCCCCCCCCCACCCCTACCCCCCCTGAGGGGCCTGGCTCAACCCTACGATCAATCCAAGCCGAACCGTCTCTTGAACCCTAAACCCCAAAAAACCCTAAACCCCAAAGCATGAACCTTGAGCCCTAAGCCCTCAATCCTAAACTAACCCTCAACCCTAAACCCCAAACCATAAACCATAAACCCGGAACCCTAAATCCTAAACCCAACCCTTATTGCTTGGGTCCAGCGACTTGGGCGCTGCGGAATCACCATGCTCACGCGGATGCGCTGGGCCGGGCCGAGGCGGGTCGCGTAGCGTTAAAATTAATTCTCTATCGATATCTTCTTCAAACTCATCTCGGCTTCTTTTCTTTCTCACATCCAGATAATGCATTAGAAGCATTTTCATTACTTACTCCTTTACATACAGTACCTGAATGGTATTTCTTGTGCCAATATGCTATGCTAAAAGCTGTACTAAAAATGACGCGATAATGGCTGACGCGCGGATTCATGCAGCTAAGCTCCTTTCCTGGACTCCTGCCATGTCTCTGGCAAGCTATTCCCCTCAACCCCCACCCTACCCTCTCAGAAACCTGCCTGCTAAACGGCTCCTGGGGGCGCGAAATCGAGTAGCGAAAAGCCACCTATGAATTTGAGTTGCACAAAGCGCGTTTAAAACAAAAACACATCTGCCAAATGAAAATTTCGTGAATCGCCTCTGCCAATTTGAGCAGCATAATCACCAAACCAGCATTCGTCCGCAAAGTGTATCATGAAGCTACTCCTGGGAGTAGACTGAAATGGGGAATTGCTGGTAGCATGTGCTCTGGTAGAACGGATCAAACAGTAGCGCGAGTCAGGGAGCTGGAATGCGACGGGACATGATGGAACATGTGTACAACATGAACATGGCGTGCTTCCCTGAGTTGCTTGATTCTACAAGCACAGGCAATGCATCTGCCTGCAGCTGACTGCGAGGCGGACCGACCTCCTTCGATTTCGGCCTGCGACAATTCACGTACACAAAAGCTCGGCTTCGTGTCTGAACATGGCAGGCTCAGCTAGGGCGGCTAGGATGACGACGGGCCATCTCTTTTTGGAGGTCATTATCGCAGCAGTGCTTCCAGTGGGGCACACGGCCCCAGGTTAACCGCAGGTCACTGCGGCGTTCGCTGAGGGATCGGGTCAAAAGGGCTATTTCCGAAAAGCTCTGCCGAGCATTGTCCATAGGCGGAAGCGAGGGCAGTGCCCTCTTCGGTGTGAGAGCGGGGTATAATACAGGCCCAGACTCAGGCATACTCAGAGTTCTGCGTGGACTCCTTCATCTGAAGCTGGGTGATCTTCTTGATGGTGCGGGCCCAAACGTTCTCCGAGCAGATCAGCTCCTGAAGGAAGTGTTTCTGGAGGTGGCCATGCGTAGTTTTCAACCTGACAAGAAAATCCGGTATGTCCGTGATGTCCCCGGGCGACACCTGCTGGAGAAGCAGCTGCTCTACGAAGCGGAAGTCAGCCACCCCATTTGTGCCAAGGAAGCCAAAGGCGGTGCATAGGATCTCCTGCCTCATGAGGACGTCTAGCTCTTTAAACTTCCTCTTGCCGTCATCCGACGTCAAGACCCCGCTCGCCGTAGCATGCTCATGCAGCTGGCACCATGCAGCCACCGAGTACTGAACTGCTTTCAGGCTTGATGCCATGCTGTTCTGGATCGCCTCTCGTACTGGATCGAGAAAGTCGGGGTAGGACAAGTCGCGGCCCAAGCTTGTCAATGACTCAAAAAGGTTTGCGGCGTCCGAGGGTGTCTGAGTATTCTGAGCTGCCACCAACGTCCATGAGGGCGTGCCCTTGGACTGCGCGTCCGTCACGATGAAGGGCATCTGCATCAATGACTCGTACAAGTTCTGCATGTCCAGTCCCATGAAGCGGTTCAAGTTCAGCAGCACAAGCTGCACGTCATCGTCCTCCTGGTTGTTCCACACGTGCCGCGCGAACTTCTCCCAAGAATAGTAGTCACTCATGGTCTGCAGCACGATATCCGAGTGGATTTTGTAAAAGGCATTGCGGAGCTGCGAGGTTCGGGTGTTGTCGTGGTTGACAATGTCGGACAAGTAGTTGGTGGTCAGCAAGACGTCAAGGGGAGCCCGAAAGCGTCCAATTGCTTGCCAAACCACTCTGTCCCGTGTCAGCACCTTAGACTCTTTGAAGGCCTTGAACAGGCTGTCCTTGTCATGCAAGTCAACGACGCCACCGATGGACATGACGTCTGTCCCCAGCATCTCAAGCTGCATCCAGGCATCGTGGGCATGCAAAACGGCATCATGTGACTCCTGAAGGCTGTTCAGCAGGTCCGTGCGGACCATGCTTAGCAGCCTGTCGCCGTTGTTGCAGGCCGTTACCCGCTGAAGCGCAACACTGAGCTCAGGCGAGAAGTTCATGGCTGCAAGCTCTATCAAAGCTTGGTGTGTGAAATGCTGCACAGGCCGGATGAAAGCTGCCAAAGAAGTGCGGGTCTCATGCATCGTCACTCGTGCAACATGTGAAGGAACAGCCTTAGGCACGGACTGGCTCTGTGAGCACGAAAAAAAGAACAGTCACAGGAAACTCCGAACAACTGGGCCCAAAGGGGACAGCCTCGCTGGCTGCTGGGCTGCAGCAGGCGCCCATTGCAAACTCCGGGTATGCGGCTTGCCGACTGCTTGTTACTGTGCAGTTGCTCTCATTCAGGGTATGCTTAGCATGCTTTTGAAAGCTTCCTTCAGAGCGTGGCTGCAGCTTGAGCGAAAATGCTTGGCAAGTGACGTCAGGACCCAACTGCTAAAAAACATCCAAAAGCCAGTGCCAAAAAAAATCACGTTCTTCACCAGAGCCTTCGACCTCAGATATTATGGTTTCACGCTTGCCCGGCCCCGCTGGCCCAGTTTGGCCAGCCCCGCTGGGCGAAAGGGAAAACCGCTTGCAGTGCTTCATTAACAGGTTTCATGAGAAGGCAACTTTGATCCAGGATCTTTACTTCAGGGTTTCTGAACTTATGGCTTCACGGCTGGCGGGCCCCGCTGTGCGAAAAGGGACAAACCACAGTGGGATACAGCCGACATCCAGATTCCATGATGGCAGAGCTGACGGCCTGTTTCGCACTTTTTTGGCGCGGACAACTGCTTCTGCTGCTTCTGCTCAGGGAAGTCCGCCGACGGTTCCGCCGAACACTCAGGTCACGAGCCCTCAGGCACGGCAAAGGTTGCCCACCACCGTCCTGGCAGGCATCCATCCACGTACGGCTGCTGCTGCGCGCATACCGACCCCTCCGCCACGGTGGTTACCTCAAGCGTTTGCCTTGAAGACCGGCCTAGACCTGGATTGGGAGATAAAGAAATCTGCTACCACACTACTGTAGGTTCTTTAGGTGCCACCTTTCAAGCCAGCATTCCCCCAGGTCGAGCATCTATTCTAAAGTTGCTCGTGGCTGTGCGGCTGTGTGAGCCTTGTCTTTACATCAAGGATGAAGCAAACACCACAGCCCCTCATCCAGCGCAGCCACATAGTCGTCAAATATGTTCTGCAGCCCTTCAGGCATTGTGTCCGTCAGGGGATAAGCCCACATGGCTAGCAACTCAGCCGCAACATCGAGAAACGAATCTACATTTACACCGGCACGCAGGCCCTCAGTTGGGCCTGCTTCGGCCATCTCGAACTTGACCAAGTCCCGGCTGTAGTAGAAACGGTCGAGGGATGCCCACTTCACGGCAAAGAAGTACTGCTGTGACAGGTCCTCCCGGCTGAGGTTGCGCCCCTCGCGTGACCGCTTCCGAAAGCGGGCAATGCTGTTGGCTTCTTGCAGTTCTAGCTTTGACTCGAGTCTCTCGCGAATGCGGATGACAATGTTCACGTGAAACACTCCACCCACCACGTCTGCGAGACTGGGCTTGGTGAGGTGCCTGCGTGGAAAAGCGTAGCCAGTGGAGCCATCCCGGCCGAAGGAGTGGAGGCGAAGATTGGCTACCCGTGCCCTGGCCTGTAAACAACGGGCCAAAGCTTCCGTGGCCCCCGTGAAGCGCTCCTTTTCCTGCTCAGAGGGGTCACCTCGCACCGCCGGGAGAAAAAACAAACGCTCCCAAGCTGGATCGCCAACCTCATACATCCGCCGGCAGGCCTCGAGGAAATGAGTGCAGACCTCGGGTAAGACATACGTGCAAGCGCAGCTGAACAGAACTGCTTTTCGGACGGTAAGGCCGACCAACCCCTGTGTGTTCACAGCTTGTCTATGGGGACTTGCTCTCCTGCTCAAGCGAACCCAAGATTAATGTCACCGTGTGGGGCGAAGACCTTGCTGCATAGTGTTGCACTGGATTAAGTAAATCGTGCAGTGAGAGCTCTCCCTTTTTTCTGAAGGTATGAGTGTTTCGAACTCCGATAAAATCTGCACAGCTCCCCTAGGGCCCTGGGGAACAGGCAGAAGTCCATCCTCTTCTGATCAAACGAAAAACTTCCTACTCCCCAACGGATAGCTTGAAGGTAGTTTGAGGGCGTGACAAGATCCTTTTTGTAAATGAGCTAGTTACTGTCCCACTTAATAGGAAACTCAAGGGCTTCTCTCGCTATCAAAAGTTTCAAGGGTAACAAGCTCCAAGACTCGAGAACTTCCGAATATGCGACTTTCCGTGTGGATCTCGAATTTTTCAGAGCTTCTCTACCTGGTCTCTAACTTGTCGTAGCCATGAAGAAAGCTCCTTACTTCTTGATAGGAAGCGAAAGAGCTCCTTTACTATGAAACTCATTATATGAAAGATTTCTTCTAATTCTAAGAATTCCAAGCCTGTGGCTTGGAATTCGTTCGGAAGTCCCCTACACGAGCAAGGAATGAAGACAGCTCACGTGTATCTTCGAAAGAAATGAGACGGGAGTAGAACCGTGGTTGAAAACGATAGGGGTCCGGGTTTTGAGAAACTGTCCTATGATTCGTGAAGGTGTCCAGAAGCTCACACCTTCTGCAGTTGTGTTCCTGCAAGACTGAGGCATGGACGTCAAGGCTGTCAGCAGTACAGCCATAAGCTGTCACAGACTTTGCCGTCACTGTCAACTGCAAGAAGCTTTCAGCATCATCCAGGGAAGAACCCCTGAGATGAATGTGGACTTTCTTGAGCAGGACGAGGTCTGGGACATCTGGGAGGACATCCGCAATCCGCCTCAGGTACCGTGTCAGATCTCCCAGCGACAGTTCCTGAGGCAGATGGATGGACTCTCGAGGAGCCGGTGTGTCCTCCTCAGCCTGCAAAGTGTCCACCACCGCACGCTCTGAGTCTTGGCCACATCCACTCCTTCTGGCCGCGGTTCCGCCCCAAAGAAAGGAGCCAGCAGGTTGAAGCAGGCAAAATTCTGCTGCGCCAGAGCCACTTCGAGAACTGTTTCGCCCTTTGTGGTCCTGAGCAGCTCCACGGGCACCCGGTGCAAGGTCGCGTGCTGCACCAGCTCCTGGAGCAGGTCATAGTGCCCCGCGTATGCGCAGATGTGGAAGGCGGTGTTGCCGTACTGCTTCTCGCGCGAAACGACATCCACCAATCTGAGCCAGGGATGCTCAGCTGTCTGATGCGAGAACTTCTGCAGAAGCAGCCGGAAAGTGTCCACAAAAGTACCATCTTCACAGGTAAGGGCTTGTTTTGGAGAGTCACGAAAGGCAGTTTGCTGAAGGTCTGATAGTAGAACTCATCCTCCCTGTTGCCACGCTTCTCGGAAGGCTGGGTTTGCGGTCACGACAATGGTCGAACAACTGCCACATGTGCTCGCGGGCACGGGGTAATTCGAACATCTCCGTTGCGACGTACTTCGTAGGATCATTCAGGTCCGTGATAACTGCATGCACAACTCCTGGCAAGAAGGGGCGGTGTGTGGGTGGAGGCTCGTGCGCTCTAACTTGCCAGACGTTGGTGTGCTGGGTTAGGCTTTGTGGCTGGCCGCATTCTGCGGCGTCGTGAAGACTTCGTACATCTTCGTACTGTGTGGTAAACTACAGTACAATGTGCCCTGTCCGGAGTCTCCTGCATCATCTGTGAGTGCTGCCAGCTCATGACCCCTTGCTTCATGCCTGCGCACGGCATCTTCTAGCTCGCTGAGCGGAACAAGTCGACGAATTCTCCATTTTGGCCGTCGAAAGCGGTCCTCCAACTTTGTAGTCAACTGTAGGCCAAGGAGGAATACTTCCGAAGCGTTCACAAAAAAACAGTGCTCGGCCGGAACACCTACCGACTACGAAATACATCGACATACCAACTGCAGTCCCAGGGGGCATCCACCGCCTTGGAGCGTTCGATGTTCATGAAGCGCACGCCCCGTCGCAGGGTCTCTTCCGCAATCATCTTGTCGCTTGCCTCAGCATGAATGTGAAAGCTGTGAACACCAGGGATTGCCAGAGCCACAAACGTCATAGCCAACTGGAAGCTGGCAGCTTGCTGTGCTTCTGCTTAATTGAGGGCGCGGCAAGGACTCGCGCAAGCTGATGGCCTTGAAGCTTGACTTGGGGATCGGTGAGCCCCGTGTTGTGTGTGTGTGTATCCGCTGAAGCTGCTCCAGTCTCAAGCCCAGCATCGGCAGCCCGTTCACGCACCTCTTGCAAAAAAGCCTCTAAGCCAGCTGGAACAGTTTTACCGGCAGTGCCAAAGTGATCGGCCACTTCACACGCCACCCGAAGATCGTTCTTGTCTAAGCGGTTTAGCAGCGACACGGCCAGGCCCTTCTTGCCAGCACGCCCAGTGCGCCCAACCCGGTGGACAAAGGAGTCGCAAGTGCTGGCCATATCAAAGTTCACCACAGAGACATCATCAATGTCCAAACCCCGGGCTGCCACATCTGTCGCTACCAACAATCCTGGCCTACAAGCTCTGAAAGCTTCCAACGAAGCCTCGCGGGTTGCTTGGTCCATATCGCCATTGAGAGTTTCACATGCGTCGCGTTGCTCTACCAGACGTGCTTGAAGCTCTGCACAGCTTACTTTCGTGTTCATGAACACAATCATGCGCTCGCCTTCATGATTTTCGCGCAGCTGTGCCACCAAGCGTGACAACTTCTCGCGCTTGTTGGAGCAGACATGGAAAGTGTGAGTGATGTCCTGATTGGTGGCTCGACCGGCACTGTGGATATGAGGCCGCAAAGGAAGGCCATGTCCGAACAGATTCACTGGTGCACTGGGACGCCTGGGCGTATCCTTGACTTTGTGACGAGGGGTGAGCTCTCTTTGGAAGACTTGTCGGCCCTCGTGCTGGACGAAGCTGATCGGATGCTGGACCAGGGCTTTGAGCAGCAACTTCGTGGCATCCTGGCCCGTCGACCTCACCGGCTCCAGACGCTCTTTTTCACTGCAACTTGGGCACCTTCCGGGCAAGTCCCTTGGTTGAGCCTAGGGAAGCTGTGCAGGAAATCATGCTGATTGAAATAGACATGGGGTTTGTTGTGGTAAGTCATTGCCCACTGGCAAGGTTCAGCATCTCGCCGACGAGTTTCTCAGGGAACCCACACTCATTCAGATCGCACACCTCCATAGAACGCTGCTGACCGAAGCTTCGACCTGAGGCAGGTTGCCAACCTCTGGCCCTCATCATGAATCTGGCTCGCCAGCTCCATCGTCGGTGCCAGCACCAACAAACGTGGATAAGCCAAAGCCCTTCCTCGTTTCAGCGCAAATGGCTGCTGCAGCAGCGAGTTGATTGCTGGCACGAGGAACGCCAGGGTTTTACCACTTCCAGTTGCAGACACGCCAATCACATCGGCACCAGGCACAATCACTGGCCAACTGTGTGACTGCACCGTAGTAGGCTTTTCGAAGCCGAGTGAACGCAATGCTTTCTGGACTGAAGGAAGGAAGCAGCACGCATCAAAGTCTTCCCATGGTTGCGCCATGCGAAAGCAGATGCATGCAACAAGCCTTAGGACATGTGCCACAAAAGCGCCAAAAATCACAGCAGGCTTGGTTTGGTCTCCTAGCTGGTAGATGCCTTGAGAGCTGCAAGCCGAAAGTAGGCGCGCGTATTGTAGCATACTGCACAGGGCAGAGTTGGCATTGGTGTGGTTCCCAAGTGGAACGCAAGTTGCCGCAAGGTGCCCTGAACTTGATTCAGGTGATGATCGAAGTCTTCGGCGCAACAGCATGCGCCACAGAGGCACTTCACCACCCGCCAGAATCTCTCTCTCTTTACATCTTACATATATACCTAGGGAACCTAGACCTCAGAAAGTAGGGTCGGGCTCTAAACACGGGGTTCCAGCTCCAAAACTAGGGTTTATGGTAAACCCGATGTTTGGACGTCAGTGCAAACTGACATCTGATGCTCTGAAAGCTGATGGTGAGCCGACGGTCGTTCTCTTTTTCTTTCACGGCTCGATCCCCTCAATCAGCAAACCTGCCTTGACCCATTGGGTGTAGGCAGATTGCAAGTGTCTTTGCATGACCCTCCGCACCGTCCCCCGAGCGGATACCCGACGTGATAGTCGAGAAGGCCTGCCAACAAAATCTTCTGATAACTGAGTGGAGTATACGAGCGGATTCATCATGTGAATCTGCTTCTCGCCCGCGTACAAAAGATCCACATACATGTGGTGTAGACAATGAAATTTTGGTTTTAGAGGAAACAAGGTGCGCCGCTGCGCTCGCAAGGCGCAGTCGTTGCACCGCCTCAGAAACTTTGCCGCGAGCTCGCCAGCACGACCAGCATCAGCAGGCGCCAGCCAAGCGTCCGATTCGTAAAGGAATCGCATAAAAGAGTTGAGTGCAAGAACCGCTTCTGTTCCCATCGACCACAACAGATCGACATCATCGCCCCGCATGTCGATCGACTCAGCCAAATGTTATAACAGTTATATCGGTTGGAAGACAGTCATTACCGCCTCCAATTACTTGGCTCTTGCGCGTTGGGACCAAGGTGTTATGAGGGATAGGCTTCGTCATGATACCACCCATGGTCTCGATGCCCAACGTGAGAGGAGCCACATCCAACAAGACCGCGTCATCCAAGAAACAAACCTATAAATGTCCTAAACGCATAAAACTTACTACGGTCTTACTACGGTGGATGCTGTATCTTGAACTTTTTTATGCCTTTCAACCAGTTCACCTATTATGACTGCTATAAACAAGCCTACAAAAACCCAGAAAGCTGGGCGGACCAATGTCTGGAACTTCCTGATAGCAATTTGGTTGGCGAGGTCGTCCACCTGGCATGTTTCAGAAGGTTGGGGCTCCAGGGTCAAGGCGAGCTCCTTTTTCACGGTCTTGTTGTTTCCAGAGTTTCCAGAGCTTTGTGCTCATGCCTCTACAACATTAAGTCGAGACGACGGAGCCCGCAGAGGAAAAGAGCTCATGCGGTCCGTGCTTGTTCAAACAGATTGAAACGTTTGAAGCTTGCAAGACTTCGAATCGGGTTTAATTAAGCAGGACTTTGCTCATATCCATCATGGCTCCGTCGCTGTCCTTGTTGTGGAACCAAGACCCTGGCGCAGAATAAGGCTTCCCAAGAGAGAATTGATTCGCCTCTCTTGGCCGGCAATGCTGGCACGAATACGAGCTTCATCTTCAGGTGAGGAACACTGCGCATCTTGCACATCGATGAAACCGCCACTGCCTGCCGACTGCAGAAGCTCGATTTGTCTGTTGACTGTGCAAGTGCGAAAGCCAGCGGCGCAGAGCAGTAAGATCGGAAAGAAGATAAATGCAATCCCACCATTGGTCATAAATGATGTCCAAAAATAACCATACGACCATGTTGCACACCACACAACGAAAATGACCATACCGACACTCATGGTAACGGTCGTGACCCAAACCGTGACTAGTTGCGCATGCAGCCGTTCTGGAGTGCTTTTACGCCACTTTTCCTCTTCCGCTGCCAGGGCGGCTTCGCGCCGCCTTTTCAAGGCAGGACAGCAGGAGTCAAGCGCATCATTCCTGAGACCGCCAGCAGCACCCGCAACCTCCAAATATGCATCGTTGGCAAGATATGCATCGAAGGACTCGGCTTCAAACTGGGCAACGACTGCAGAGCTGTCAGTAGCAAGGTTCGCTGGACAGCCAACTAGGGTGATCGGAATATGCCGGCACAAGGCCATGTGGGCTTCAAAAACACACCACAAGCGAGTGTGAATTGGAGTGTTCTCTGTTGCAACCATTATCATGCTGCCATGAGTTGGCATGTTCTGCAAGGCGACATGAAAAGGTGAGGTTTCGACACTGGCTAGCATTGCAGCGATATCCAAGTTTTGGGGATTGGACAGGAAGCAAATGTAGGCAGCAGCATTCACGTCATTCAGGGGCCACGCCTGCATCAGGAAGCGCCGAAACTCAAACACACCTTCTGCCCAGGCGTGCGTGACAAAATGAGTCACGCGTGCCCCAGCAGGAGATCCATGCAGTGCCCAACTAACACCAGGGAATGGCTGCAAAGGGTCTGCCGTGGCCGGCACGATGACCTGCTCATTCACCTGATACATGTTCGGACCAATTGAGCTACTCTGAAACTTTGACTCATAATACGGCCTGCCAGCATTCTGCAAAGCTCCGGAACGGTGTTTCTCTTCCACGGTCGTAAAGAAGCTCTCCAGACTCGCCAATGTCACTCCCCAACGGTCTGCCGTCACTTGCTCATGGAGGAACCTGGCACCACTGAAGCCACCGGCCAGCTGCTGGATTTCATGGGCTTGTCGCACCAACGAAGCATCATCTGGCCAGCATGGCGTGGGTTTCTCTTTCCAAAGGAAGACACCGGTGCATGGGTTGTGTTGGGCAAAATACAACCTGCTGTCAGCATCCATCAACCAACCAGGTTGCTCTGACACAGGCAAAGCCGAAATCGTCTCACCTGCTTCAATGCTGGTCTCAGACACGTCGGAGACATTGGGGGCCTTCCTGCCCACTACCATGACATCACAAATGCATTCCCAACACACCTTCTCAAACATCGGAACTTTTGTCTGTGGATGCAACAATGGCAAGAAGAGCCCCTTGGATTCGTTCCAGAGCCACAAAGAGCCATCCTCTGCAGTCACGGACTTGCCGAAGAAGGTATCGCCGCCAGAGCAAACGGAACCCTCCTTCTCGCACATGGTTGTAGAAGTGCGATAGGACACAGTAATGGTTGGCCCGACAGCACAACGCCACGCTTCATCCTTGTCAGCAGCAATCATGCTTCGACAGGAACTAGGACTAGGATGGAAGAACCTGCTGAGCCAAATGCTTGTCATTTGAAATTGCGTTGCCGGTGGGATCTTCAGTTCACTGGCAAATACACACTAGACTCTAGACATCCTTGGCATTTTGTCTGATTGCACCCGACCTACTTGGGTTGTAAACATGCAGGGCGCGCCGCGTCCTCCCGGCGTAGCCCGTAGCCATTGCATCCGATGGTTTGCAAATCAATTTGCTGGGCATCTCCCCAGTTCAGGGTTATGGGTGTGCGGCAGTTTCTTACTAGAGCTCATTTCCCATTATGCTAGGATATGGGTAAGGTCGGGTACTGTATACGATTTGTAGTTTTTGGTGTAAGGTGGGTTTTAGGATACGGCGCTGTGCGTCATTGAGGCCATGTGCAACCTTGTGGCCCAATAGTTCTCAGCGGTCTCCTCCATCTTTGTCAGGACCATGGATCCTGGCAGGCTGTGCGGGACCCCAAAACCTAGGGCAACCTAATACCCAAAAGTGCAGGCAAAAACTCCCAAAGGGGTTTAGAGGGTCCAGGGGCCGAAGCGCATGCGCAGAGTAGACCGATTCGGAATGAGGCACCCCAAAGACCACACCAGACATTGATTTGCGGGACTCCACAAGGGCTTGACGTCCGTCCTTGATGTCATTAGCACTTGCCCGTTCCAGGAGGGCGCCCTGACAGCAAGCTCAAAGCATGGATGGGTTTAGGGTTCAAGCCGGGAGTGGGTGAGTGGCAAAACGTGGCCCCTTCGTCCCTTATGGCCGAAGATGTATCACATCTAAGAAAGAGACCCTCAAGAACCGTGGCTAATCGACTGCATCATCGCAGTCGGTTGAGGGCTTCAGTCTGTGCAGCTGATATATGAAATCGCGATGGGAATGCCAGGAATGGTTGGATGTCAACCCGCAGAGCCATATAGATACAAATCATACGCCCCAGTAAACCCTTGATCCAAGGTCGCAGGCCTTCGCCCGGTCTTCAGCTCCTCCACGAAAGCATCCGTAGCGCCTTGCAGGTACTCGAACGAAGACGGGAAGAGAAAACAGCCTAGGAGTGCCCTGGCAGTACAGCTTCAGTCCCAAAGCGGCTCCGGAGTTGAGATTCCCTTGGGAGATCCCAGGCGTTGCAAAATCAGCGGCTGAAAACTCGGTGAGAGCCGACTCGTCTTAAGCGGAGAAATCTGCAAGATGGATTGGAGAGCCTGTGGAGATCCTCCGGCATATCGCTCATGCAGGAAATAGGGTTAGGATTTAGGGCTTAGGGTTGTCTTCTGTACTGTAAAGCAAGAAGGCAAGAAAGAGTCCATCCGCGAAGGCATGCGCACAAGCACAAGACCATTTTCCACAACTGCATTGGATATTCCCAATTGACGAGAAGCGCGAGCGGCAAGCGGCTCCCATGAAATGCCTGAGTTACCTTAAAACGTCACCTTTAAACGTCCGTCAGAGCACCACCACCCCCACCAAAGCCTCAGAGGACGGAGAACCAGAAAGATGTGCTGGCCCAGATCTTGCATCTGAACTACTGCTCCGCAACGGCTTCTGCGTGCACTCCGTTGGAAGATCCCAGTCATGGGAATTCTCTTCGCACAAGAAGGGTTGGGTCTGGGCATCTGCGAGCTGCCTCGGAGTCGCGCCGCGCGAATCAGGAATGCCTCTTCGCGCTTTTTTTTGACCCGGCCTCCCCCCCGGCCGGCGCCCCCGCGAGGCCCTTCCCCCCCCCCCCCTCTGCTCTTGAAGCAAGCAAGAGGGAGACCATCGGTGCATACCCGCTGAGAGCTGCGTAGCCAAGTGCACACGAACTGCTATTGGCATGGAAGGACGCGAATGAGCTTCTTGAACCCAAGAAAACTGCGGCTCGAAAGCCCAGTTCCAGGAGACGGAAGAGACCTGTTGGACGCCCCGGTGCATTTCCATTTGCTCTTGCGCTGACAAGCAGCGCAGCCAATTCCGCTCCTCCGTTTTGGACAGTCTTCGACTCCCACGTTAAGTTCACAAGAGCTGAATCTCCAAGACCCCCGCGGGCTTCGCTGCCGTTGACATCAGCTCGCAGTTCCAACAGCTTGCTGAGAACTGAGGCTGGTGACACTCAATAACGAAACTATATATATATATATATATATATCCGCCGACCCCAGCAGCAGCGGGGCGGCGTCAGTGAAGACCCATTTTTGTCCGCTCTAGGGGCTTTGGCCAGACCCATTTTTGTCCGCTCTAGGGGCTTTGGCCCCATGGCTCCATGGTCCCATCCCGCCCCATGGCAGAGGCGGCGGAGAAGGCGGATGAAAAGGTCCAGACGTGAGGCGTGGGAGAAGCCATGGAGCGCCATGGGGCGGGAAGGGCGGAGGGGGCGGGAACCATATGGAGCGCCATGGAGCGGGAAGGGCGGATGGGGCGGAGCGGGAAGGGCGGAGGGGGCGGAAAGGGCGGAGGGGGCGGGCAGGCACTGGGACCCTTTAAAGTCAGCTGATAGGGTCCAAAGCCGTGAAGCCATGGCATGAGCCATTAAGGGTGAGAGGCATGGGGCCATGAGGCCATGGGGGGGTAAAGGAAGGGCAGGCGGCGGAGAAGGCGGAGGAAAAGGTCCAGGGACCCTTTAAAGTCAGCTGAGAGGGTGCCATGGGAGCCATGGGGCGGGATGGGACCATGGAGCCATGGGGCCATGAGCCATTGAGGGTGAGAGGCATGGGGCCATGAGGTCATGGGGGGGGCAAAGGAAGGGAGAGGCGGCGGAGAAGGCGGATGATAAGGTCTGAAGCCGGGCGGGATGGGACCATGGGGCCATGGGACCATGGAGCGCCATGGAGCGGGAAGGGCGGAGGGGGCGGAAAGGGCGGAAAGAGCGGAGGGGGCGGGGAGGGCGGAGAGGGCGGGCATGCACTGGGACCCTTTAACGCATGGGGCGGGATGGGACCATGGAGCCATGGGGCCATGAGCCATTAGGAAGGGCAGAGGCGGCGCGATGAAAAGGTCCAGACGTGAGGCGTGGGAGAAGCCATGGAGCGCCATGGGGCGGGAAGGGCGGAGGGGGCGGGAACCATATGGAGCGCCGTGGAGCGGGAAGGGCGGATGGGGCGGAGCGGGAAGGGCGGAGGGGGCGGAAAGGGCGGAGGGGGCGGGGAGGGCGGAGAGGGCGGGCAGGCACTGGGACCCTTTAAAGTCAGCTGATAGGGTCCAAAGCCGTGAAGCCATGGCATGAGCCATTCAGGGTGAGAGGCATGGGGCCATGAGGCCGAGGCGGCGGAGAAGGCGGAGGAAAAGGTCCAGGGACATGAGGCTGTGGGAGCCATGGGGCATGGGACCAATGAAGCCAGGAGCGCCATGGAGCGGGAAGGGCGGAGGGGGAGGGGGCGGAAAGGGCGGAAAGGGCGGAGGGGCGGGGAGGGCGGAGAGGGCGGGCATGCACTGGGACCCTTTAAAGTCAGCTGAGAGGGTGCCATGGGAGCCATGGGGCGGGATGGGACCATGGAGCCATGGGGCCAGAGCCCCTACACCGGCTAGAGCGGACAAAAATGGGCATGGGGCCAGGAACCCGAGGCGGCGGAGAAGGCGGAGGAGGGACATGAGGCCATGGGAGCCATGGGGCATGGGACCAATGAAGCCAGGAGCGCCATGGAGCGGGAAGGGCGGAGGGGGAGGGGGCGGAAGGGGCGGAAAGGGCGGAGGGGCGGGGAGGGCGGAGAGGGCGGGCATGCACTGGGACCCTTTAAAGTCAGCTGAGAGGGTCCTAATGGCTCATGGCCCCATGGCTCCATGGTCCCATCCAGCCCCATGGCTCCCATGGCTTCACGGCTTTGGACCCTATCAGCTGACTCAAAAAGGGTCCCAGTGCATGCCCGCCCTCTCCGCCCTCCCCGCCCCCTCCGCTCTTTCCGCCCTTTCCGCCCCCTCCGCCCTTCCCGCTCCATGGCGCTCCATGGCTCCATGGTCCCATGGCCCCATGGTCCCACCCCGCCCGGCTTCAGACCTTATCATCCGCCTTCTCCGCCGCCTCTGCCCTTCCTTTGCCCCCCCATGACCTCATGGCCCCATGCCTCTCACCCTCAATGGCTCCCATGGCTTCACGGCTTTGGACCCTATCAGCTGACTTTAAAGGGTCCCAGTGCATGCCCGCCCTCTCCGCCCTCCCCGCCCCCTCCGCCCTTTCCGCCCTTTCTGCCCTTTCTGCCCCCGCCCCGCTTCAGACCTTATCATCCGCCTTCTCCGCCGCCTCTGCCCTTCCTTTGCCCCCCCATGACCTCATGGCCCCATGCCTCTCACCCTCAATGGCTCATGGCCCCATGGCTCCATGGTCCCATGGCACCCTCTCAGCTGACTTTAAAGGGTCCCAGTGCATGCCCGCCCTCTTGGTTCCCGCCCCCTCCGCCCTTCCCACCCCATGGCGCTCCTGGCTTCATTGGTCCCATGCCCCATGGCTCCCACGGCCTCATGTCCCTGGACCTTTTCCTCCGCCTTCTCCGCCGCCTCTGCCCTTCCTTTACCCCCCATGGCCTCATGGCCCCATGCCTCTCGGACCCTATCAGCTGACTTTAAAGGGTCCCAGTGCATGCCCGCCCTCTCCGCCCTCCCCGCCCCCTCAGCCCTTTCCGCCCTTTCCGCCCCCTCCGTTCCCGCTCAGCCCTTCCCGCTCCATGGCGCTCCATATGGTTCCCGCCCCCTCCGCCCCATGGCGCTCCATGGCTTCATTGGTCCCATGCCCCATGGCTCCCACGGCCTCACGTCACTGCACCTTTTCATCCGCCTTCTCCGCCGCCTCTGCCCTTCCTAATGGCTCATGGCCCCATGGCTCCATGGTCCCATCCCGCCCCATGGCGCCCATGGCTTCACGGCTTTGGACCCTGTATCAGCTGACTTTAAAGGCTCCCAGTGCGTGCCCGCCCTCTCCGCCCTCCCCGCCCCCTCCGCTTTCCGCCCTTTCTGCCCCCTCCGCCCTTCCCGCTCCATGGCGCTCCATGGTCCCATGGCTCCATGGTCCCATCCCGCCCGGCTTCAGACCTTATCATCCGCCTTCTCCGCTGCCTCTGCCCTTCCTTGCCCCATGCCTCTCACCCTCAACCGCCCCATGGCGCTCCATGGCTTCTCTCACGCCTCACGTCTGGACCTTTTCATCCGCCTTCTCCGCCGCCTCTGCCCTTCCTAATGGCTCATGGCCCCAATGGCTCCATGGTCCCATCCCGCCCCATGGCTCCCATGGCTTCACGGCTTTGGACCCTATCAGCTGACTTTAAAGGGTCCCAGTGCATGCCCCCCTCCGCCCTTCCCGCTCCATGGCGCTCCATGGCTCCATGGTCCCATGGCCCATGGTTCCTTTGCCCTCCCATGCCCTCATTGGCCCCATGCCTCTCACCCTCAATGGCTCATGGCCCCATGGCTCCATGGTCCCATCCCGCCCCATGGCTCCCATGGCTTCACCTTGACCCTCTCAGCTGACTTTAAAGGGTCCCAGTGCATGCCCGCCCTCTCCGCCCTCCCCGCCCCTCCGCCCTTTCCGCCCTTTCCGCCCCCTCCGCCCTTCCCGCTCCATGGCGCTCCATATGGTTGCCGCCCCCTCCGCCCTTCCCGCCCCATGACGCTCCTGGCTTCATTGGTCCCATGCCCCATGGCTCCCACGGCCTCATGTCCCTGGACCTTTTCCTCCGCCTTCTCCGCCGCCTCTGCCCTTCCTTTACCCCCCCATGGCCTCATGGCCCCATGCCTCTCACCCTTAATGGCTCATGGCCCCATGGCTCCATGGTCCCATCCCGCCCCATGGCTTGCATGGCTTCACGGCTTTGGACCCTATCAGCTGACTTTAAAGGGTCCCAGTGCATGCCCGCCCTCTCCGCCCTCCCCGCCCCCTCCGCCCTTTCCGCCCTTTCCGCCCCCTCCGCCCTTCCCGCTCCGCCCCTCCGCCCTTCCCGCTCCATGGCGCTCCATATGGTTCCCGCCCCCTCCGCCCTTCCCGCCCCATGGCGCTCTATGGCTTCATTGGTCCCATGCCCCATGGCTCCCACGGCCTCACGTCCCTGCACCTTTTCATCCGCCTTCTCCGCCGCCTCTGCCCTTCCTCATGGCTCATGGCCGCATGGCTCCATGGTCCCATCCCGCCCCATGGCTCCCATGGCTTCACAGCTTTGGACCCTTTCAGCTGAGGGTCCCAGTGCATGCCCGCCCTCTCCGCCCTCCCCGCCCCCTCCGCCCTTTGCGCCCTTTCCGCCCCCTCCGCCCTTCCCGCTCCATGGCGCTCCATGGCTCCCATGGCCCCATGGTCCCATCCCGCCCGGCTTCAGATCATCCGCCTTCTCCGCCGCCTCTGCCCTTCCTTGCCCCCCCATGGCCTCATGGCCCCATGCCTCTCACCCTCAACGGCTCATGGCCCCATGGCTCCATGGTCCCATCCCGCCCATGGCTCCCATGGCTTCACGGCTTTGAACCCTATCAGCTGACTTTAAAGAGTCCCAGTGCATGCCCGCCCTCTCCGCCCTCCCCGCCCCCTCCGCCCTTTCCGCCCTTTCTGCCCCCTCCGCCCTTCCCGCTCCGCCCCCCTTCATGGCTCCCGTGCCTCACGCCCCTGGACCTTATCGCTGACTTTCCCGCCCTCTCCGCCCTCTCCGCCCCATGGCGCTCCATGGCTCCATGGCTCCATGATCCGTCCCCTGGCCCCCATGGCCTCATGGCTCCATCCCTCTAGCCCCCAATGGCTCATGGCTCCATGGCTCCATGGTCCCATGCCTCCCACGGCTTCACACCCCAAAACCCTATATGCATGCTCCCCCTCTCCGCCCTCCGCTCCCTCCGCCCTTCCCGCCCCATGGCTCCACATGGTCCCATGGCCCCTTTCATGGCCTCCTGGCCCATCAGCTGACTTTAAAGGCCCGCCCTCTCCGCATGGTCCCATAACCCCCCCCATGGCCTCATGGCCCCATGGCTCCCCTATGGCCCCTAAAGCTCTAAGGCTATCAGCAGTGTGCGGTCGCCGACCGGGTCGCGACGACTTTTCCTGCGGCGACCGTAAACTTGTGTCCGCATTTCCGTCGATTGTCGATGCATCCGTCTCGCGTGGTAGACTCGACCTTTGCCTTGCACTGTGGGCACTCATACCAGAAGTGTGCGGTCGCCGACTGGGTCGCGACGACTTTTCCTGCGGCGACCCTAAACTGGTGTCCGCATTTCCGTCGATTGTCGATGCATCCGTCTCGCGTGGTAGACTCCACCCTTGCCTTGCACTGTGGGCACTCATACCAGAAGTGTGCGGTCGCCGACTGGGTCGCGACGACTTTTCCTGCGGCGACCCTAAACTGGTGTCCGCATTTCCGTCGATTGTCGATGCATCCGTCTCGCGTGGTAGACTCGACCCTTGCCTTGCACTGCGGGCACTCATACGAGAAGTGTGCGGTCGCCGACTGGGTCGCGACAACTTTTCCTGCGGCGACCGTAAACCTGTGTCCGCATTTCCGTCGATTGTCGATGCGTCCGTCTCGCACGGCTGCTTCGACCTTGGCCTTGCACTGTGGGCACTCATACGAGAAGCGTGTGGTCGCCGACCGGGTCGCGACGACTTTGCCTGCGGCGACCCTAAACTGGTGTCCGCATTTCTGTCGATTGTCGATGCGTCCGTCTCGCACGGCTGTTTCGACCTTGGCCTTGCACTGTGGGCACTCATAGGAGAAGCATGTGATCGCCAACCGGGTCGCTGCGGCGACCCTAAACTGGTGTCCGCATTTCCGTCGCTTGTCGATGCGTCCGTCTCGCACGGCTGAGTCGACCTTGGCCTTGCACTGCGGGCATTCGTACGCGACGTCTACACGGCCGTCTTTGACTTCCATCGCAACAGCTTGCGTGCAGGCGGGGCAGCGCGCGCGCTCGGGCTCGCAGGCCGGACTTCCTCTACGGTCATGCATGCCGCCGCCCGGCGCCAACTCTCTCGGTGCCCCCATTTCGCTGTTCGTGCCCGCGCAGCACGCCGCACACGCCTGACACCCGTCTTCTGTTGCTGCTGGCACCTGGGCTCGGCACTGTGCGCCGGTGCCGCTTCCTTGCTTTTGCCGTTTCTCGATTTCGGCTCGCACCTCCTGTAGAATCTGCAGCCGCTTCCTGCAGCGGTCTGCTGCGCGCACCTTTTCCCGTCGGTTGTGCAGCCTGCGGCGCGCGCGCAGGCCAATATCTCGGCATCGCAGCTGCTGGCGGCACACGTTGCACGTCCGATCCCGTTTCTGGCGCCAGCCATTGTGCGTGAACGCTGCCTGCGGATACCAGCGCTCGCAAGTTCCGCATTGCCGCTTCTCCAGGCACATGCAGCAGGTGCTCTGCCAGATCAGATAATTGCTGATTTTTCCGGGAAATGCCTCCGGTGCCTGCCATCGCTTGCAGCGCCTACAGCGGTACGGCGTGCCGCGCTCTCGGTACGACTTCGTGCACTCCTTGCAGATCCCCACCTCGTCCGGCTGCTTCCACTGTCCTGCTGTAAAAGCTGACTTTAACCGCTCCGTGCGACACTCGCTGCAGGTCTTGACACGCACGTACCTCTGCACGATGGCATCCCAGTTGACGTCATGCATGCGCAAGTGCTGCATCAACAACGCTCGGAAGCTGGTGTCGCCTTGCTGGAATGGAGCCGCATCGAAGGGCCGCAGAATGAGAACGCCTTCCTGGCTCGTGACCCGCGTCAAGGCAACGTAGGCGGCCAAGACGTTGCTGTATGTGCCATAACACAGATCTGCGACGATGCCTTCCTCCAGCGTCTGTCCTTGCGCTTGATGCGCCGTCATAGCGAAAGCTGGTATTAGGGGAAGTTGCCGTCGCCGGACTGCCAGCACCGGCGATTTTCGGCCGGCATCCAGATGCCACGTCGCACGCTTTGGCACAACGGGATACACGCCCGTGGCCAGCCCAGTAATGCGCCACTTCGCGCCAGGGAAGCGCACGTAAACTACTTCGGGCAGCTGGTTCCAGACCGTGCAGCCGGGCCCCGCCGGTTCGGCGCCATCAGTAGCGTGGCGCCAACCCGTGACGAAGCCCCGCCGTCCTTTCAGGAGCCCGCGCGCACGGTTCAGATGGTCCGTCAAAAGCACCGGCATGCCGTCGCACAGCGGCAGCATGCCACACAGCTCGCCGCACTCCCGGTCATGGCGTTGCGGCCAGAGCAGTTTCTGCTCGGCCAGGTCCGGTTTCTCGCGCACGACGGCCGCACAAGCGCAATCCTGGGCCACGACGTAGTGCAAATGCCGTTTCGTGCGACGCGCGAAAGCCTCGGCGCGGATTTTGTTCGTGTGGCATTTCCGTACGTTCGTGGCGAAGATGGAGGGCGCGAGGACGAAGCGACCCAAGAATCGGGGATCGTGCGACGATTCGGCTACTAATCGGCGCGAAGCACGCTCGGCGCAGCACACCGCGCATTCCTGTGCTAGGATGGTCTCCGGCGTTACTTGCTGCGCGCAGAGGCATTAGCACTTTGCTTGTCCGCACGCGGCTCGCCCGCGCAGCCAGCTTCCTGGCACGCGCGTTGGTCTTCCGTGCAAGAAAGCATGGTTGTCGGCACTGAGCTGACCGAAGCGGAATTCGTCCTGCAACTCTTTGAGCCACTCATCTTTGGTGCGCTCGCATTCCTCCAGCTCCGTGCAACCCTGGAAAGCAAGCTCCGGCGGCCCCCACATCAACTCCTGCCCCTGCGCCAGGAGGGGCCGCTGCCGGGTGCCTGCACTGCCCAGCCACTCGTGCGGCAAATCGGCGATGAAATGCCCTTTTGGGAGGCTCCAGCTGCCACAAATCCCCGACGACAAGAACGTTCAAGCCTCCGAAGGGCTTGTCGACGTTGGCTACATCGCGCCTGAACGGGCTGCCATTCCGGATCACCCGCCGACACGCCTGCTCTAGCTTTGCTAGGAGTTCCACACTCACCATGCTTATTTCGTCTATTATCAGCCAGCGCAGCTGGAGCATGCGCTGCGCTTGCTGCAGTCCTTTCGTTAGCGGCGTCGTGTCTGCGGCGCTCTGGCCCCAGCTCAACCCGAAGGCATGGTGCAGCGTGTCCCCATCGACCATCTCGGCTGTTACCGCCTGCAGCGCCGCGAACTGAAACTGCAGGCCTTGGCTCCAGCCCAGGATGTCTTCGAATAGCTCCTTGTGCAGAAGTTTGACCGCGTGTGTTTTGCCGGTGCCAGGCCCGCCATGCAGCACCCAGCGCATAGCGTCCGGCAGGCCCGAACGCGCACCACCCTGTGCCTCGCCTGTTTGCATCTCTTCCACAACTCGACGCGCCACCCGCTCGATGAAAGCGTGCTGCGCTCTGTTGCAGATAGGTCTGCCCTTCTCATCGACGCGAGTGCGTAACTCCGTCACCCACTCGTGGACAGCACGCACGGTGGCACGGATGCCACGCGTGCGTACAGTCGGTTCGCGCTCCAGCGCTTCCTCTGCAACGGCATCCTCTGCCTCTGCGCCGCCTTGCGGCGCTTTCCGTGCTTCTTTCACCAGTTCACGCACATCCAGCGTGTTCTCTGCGGCTAGCGCTCGGCCCGGCTTCCCTTCGTTTGTTTGTTCCGCTCGCCACGTCTGCTCCAAGTCTGCGTATTCTGCGTCCGGCGCCTCCACCCCGTTTTTTTCTGTTTTGCGCGTGGTCAGGCTCGTAGCCAGATTGTCCGCAGTCACGCGCACGGCACTCGTGTCTGCGCCGTCGTTGTCACTGTTCTCGGCGTCCGCAGCGAGAGAGCGTACGCGGTAGACGGACAGGAAATTCCCAACGTGCTGTTTCGTTTCCTGACACGGAAGCTCTTGTAGCCAGGCCCGAAAGGCCGTCTCCCACGCGAGGTAGCTGCCCTGCAAGTCGGCTATATGAGGCACGTCGCGGTCCGCATGCTGGGGCATGCCCGTCCACGCCCGAAAATACACCATGCATAGTTTGGAGTTCTCCTCCTGGCATTCTTGCTGGTAACGCGGCACCGGGCAGTGGCCAAAGGTCGGGCAGCGCGGGCGGCGACGTCTGCGCAGCAGCCACGCGGCACGCACGCGCGCGTTCGTGGGGATGTCCTCGAAGGCCAGGGTGTCGCCGCTGGGTTCGACGCGCAGGCGCGTATCCTTGCCGGGCACGAGGCGCACGCGCTTGCCTCCTCCCGCCCGAAGCTTTTCCTCGCCGCTCTCCGTCAGCACCACGTCCCACGTGCTGCGGGGTTCTGTCTTCCACTCCTGTAATGTGGCCGGCGATTTCGTAGGAACAACCTGCCAGTACAGCAGAAATTCGTAGGGGGAGAGATGCCAGCAAGCGCTGTTGCGGGGACGGCGCGCATAGAACTCTGCTGGTTCGCGTTCTGCCAGCTGCCGCTGTCGCGGCACGTGCTTGCTGCGGCCCAGCGACATTGCTGTCACCCGCCGGCGGTGTTCCGTCTCGCCGGTCATCGCCAAGTCTGCGTAGCGAAGGAAATCTTGTCCGGGAAATGTCACATACTGCGTTGTTGTGATTCTTTCCGCGCACGCCGCGTCGCTGTCCTTGTAGTTGCAACGCAGATTGCAGCACTCGGCCTGCCCTCGAACGATCCCCTTGCAATACGCATCCGATAAAAAGCGCGTCATGTGCCGCTTGCCCTGGTACTCCACGCGACGGCCCTGTGTTTGTTCTGCTAAGCGAGCATGCCCTTCTGGAGCTCCTTCAATTCAGCAAATGCCATAGGTTGCGTTTTCACACAGTAGTCGCAGCATTATCCAGTCTGCGCATCCTGGGCGCGTTGCGCTGCTGTCACGATCTCTTGGAGCTCGCAGGGGTCCGTCGGCGACGCGCACACGTCGCAGACATACGGCAAGCGGTATGGGAGCTGCACATCCGAGTTGCAGCGACCAAATGCCAAAATGGCAGGGTGCGTGCCGTTGAGGTAGGCTTCGTCGCGAGGTCCCTGAAGCGTGCAGAGGCTATTCTTGCGTCCGGACGCTGGCATGCCGCGCGCCTGCAAACGGCACGGGCACATGACGGCCGCCTCGTCGGTCACTTCAGCCACCCGCGGAAAGCCGCTTTTGCAGTCACGGGGGTTATCAGCTTTAAGGCAACCTGGTTGCGGCGTGCGCTCGCCTGTGGCTGGGTCCGGAAGATGCACGTGGTGCTGCTTCAGCACCTGCAGCCAGAACACATCCTCGCGCAGATACGCCTCGGTCCAAAGCTCCGCTTCGTCGTCAGTGTTGTCCGCAGCCATGACGCCGGTTTGGTAGCGCGGTCGGCTGATAAACTCTGTGTATCTGATTCTTTAGCTAGTCCTCTCTCCCTCTCTCCGCCTGGTGCGTTTGCCGCGATGGGGTCGGCGGCACTGGCGGTAGCCATTAAATCGGGCAGCGCGAGGTCCCCAAAGGACCGAGCAAATGCGGACCTTTTAGCCCGGGTCGTCCCGGGAATAGCCTTGCTCCCCAGGCGCGCATCAGGAGCATCAGCGGCTCCCGGGGCGGGACCCCGGGGGCGCATCAGGAGCATGATGCCCCCCAAAGGGCGGGCATAAGCGACGTGTCTAAGCCCGGGGCTAGGAAAAAGGGAGTTTAGGGGCCTTATAAAGTGCTTAGAAACGTTAAGGGAGTTTAGGAGCCTCAAACGCTCAGAGATTTGAAGGGAGTTTAGGGGCCTGAAAATGCTTAGAAACTTAACGCTTAGAGATTTTAAGGGAGTTTAGGGGCCTCAACATGCTTAGAAACTGCTCGCCCCGGGCTTCTGCGTGCGCTGCCCGCCCATGGGCGCAGCCCCTTAAAATATATATAGATCAATATCGACCACTCGTAATCATCCCACCATTTAATTGACATAAGGAAATAATACTATCGAAGACCACAAACAAAGGCACACCAAAGCAATAGAGACGAGAGACAAAGAGAGGCGAAGAATACAACAAGCCGATAAGGCCGCCCACATGAAGAGAATTAAACGGAGACAAAAGAAACAAAGAGCCCAAGAACCCGGCAACAATCCTCAGAATGTCGGCAATCCTGAAATGAATTTCGAATTCCAATACTGGATTGTTTGAGAATTATACCCATTTCATCCAAAATTTTAGGTTCAGAATTTTTAGAATGAACTATAGTGGTCACCTAAAACTTATCAGAAATTTAGGGACCGAGGTGTCGAAATACCCAGAACAAGAAATATACTTTATCATCAATCGAAAAAATCAAATCATCCAGCCTTAAAAAAGCATATCGCCCCCAAGTGCTCGAATTTCGAGGGAAGGAAATGTTGGACCCAAAATACGCTGACGGGAATATTCCAACGAAGCTCTTCGCGAAAATTTTTGAGGGCATATGATGACATGTGTAGGCACTTGTTGGGCTATCACAATGCTTCAGAAACAAAGCCACTCAATCATGTAGATGGCATGTTGACCAGCGCCTCCTTTGTCCAAGAGACTCCAGCAGCTTAGTCAGTCTTAGCCAAAACCCTCAGCGGCCGGCCTCGAACCTTTGTGGCCTCCAGGAATCGAGCTGATCAGCGTGACCTGCGAGTCGTGTTGGAACACACTTTTGCCACCCCCTAATGGTTAGTATTGGAGGGACTGCATTGCCACTTGCCAAGTGACATATCCAACGCCAGTTGCTGTGGCATCCAGCATGCTGCAAGCCTAGCGCGCAGTTTCTGTTCGAGGCGAGGAATCAACGTGAATCAACCAAGAATGTGTACAGTCGTAACCATCTGACGAAAGGCCTGCACATCACGAGCCAGGCATATCTGCCCGGCCGTTTTAAAAGCATGTCAGGCATTGCCGGACTTTGATTTGTTTCTGGCAAGTCAACAGCTCTCAGTAGCCCTTCATCCACCACTGATTGTTATGGCCTGCACCACGGCGCCGGCGACGGGTGCAGGGATAGGCATAGACATCGCGCCTGGGAAAGGAGCCACCACGACTGGCATCCAAACAGAGGCCGGTTTTCTTGTTTTCGAAGCGGCCATCGGTTAGCCTTTTCCATATCTGGTTGTCTCCTCCAGTGCAGCGATACTCGTAAACATCATTCACCGGGAAGGCGCCGCCAAGGCTGTTGTCGAGACACTTGCCAGAGTCAAAATTGATCAGTAGCCCATCGTCGGTCCAGTACCACTTCTCCCTGTCTGTGCCTGAGCAACTGGCTTCGTAGACTTCATTGGCAGCCCAGGTGTTTCCGTTAGCAGTGCGTTGCTGACTGCCGGCACCTGTGAGACACCACCGACTGTCCTTGTTTTCCATTCGCATGGGCACAGAAACTGGAAAGGCCATGTAGGAAGAGATTTGGTCGTTGAACTCACCCAACTCTCCGTTCAGGTTCCAGGAACAACAGTAGCGGGTTCCATCATTGGCTGCATTCCAGGCAAGCACCACTGCCAAGGCTACGGCGCCCATGACTGCGACCACAATACCACCAAACGCTACAGCCCCCAGCGCGGCTGCGATTGCGAGTTTGATTGAAAACGCTGCAACAATACTGGTGAAGGCTGCGAACCCAGCATTGAGGGCAACTGAGGTGGCAGTGCCAACAGTCCAAAGGACAATCCCAAAGGGGTCCACATCCCCGCTGCCAAAGCCTACTTGGTCTGGGCTAGGCACGGCACACTCCTGGCTGGTCTGCGACATAAAGTGGGTGGGATCGCAGATCAAGGTCAACCTACGGCCCTTGAAGTTGTAGTGCTCGAAGAGGTTCACAGATGCGAGGACGCCGCTTTTGGTGTCCACACAAACCTCCACGGAGGATGTCTTGTCGTTCATTATTCTACGTCTCCGGTGATTGAGGTTTCCACCATGAACACCACTGGACTCGGCTGGATCCCAAGGGGTTCGGTAGTTTTGACCTCCGCAGTTCGTGTGTTCATGCAGCCAAGCATATGCCTTCAAGTCGTTATTGACCTGATAAGAGCACCCCGAGATGGTGGCACTTGCGCTGGGGTACTTGACAGACGTGAAGGAGCCAGATGATCCACAAAAACACTTCTTGTAGGTATTCGCTGCCGAACCGTCCCAGACGCAAGGTGGAGCGCATGCATCTTGGCACTTGGGTTTGCTAGTGTAATGGGACAAGCAGCAGCCGTCACCACGACCTCCACAACCGCTGCCCCCGAGTGAGCCACACGCCCGAGGCCCACACTTGTCTTGTTTGTAGATGCCGCCAAGTAATTCGCACACCTGCTGGTTGCTGAATGAGGTTTCCAACAACGCCACCGAGGAGTTGGCCGGCTGCCCAGCTACGGCCTGCTTTTGAAGGGCACACGTTTCGTCCTTCTCACGCGCAGTCTCGTTGCTCAGCTGGTTGGCAGCAATCAGAGCCGGTACCAGCGCAAGCCGGAAGGGCGACATGGCGCATCTCAGGAAAGCGGACTGACCTGTAAGCATACAAGGCTTCCGCATGGAAGACCCATTTATCCCTGGTCTGACGAAGATGTAACTTCCTCAATCCACACCCGAATCACCCGAAAATGGCCGATTGGCCCATTCGTCGCACAATGCACGGCGCCTCATTCTGCTCTCGCCCGCCCTGGTCCTTCGGCGATGATCGTGGTTTGCGGATCGGATGCAAGTGAAAGCAGTTAGCTCTGGTTGCAGGTGATCCGGGGGATTGCGCAGTACTTTGTGTAGACATAGAAGAAGCAGCAGAGAAGAATTAGCGGAAGACATTGGTCGCAGAGAAGGCGCCTTTTCTATTTCCAGTTGCGGCTTACCCTGGTAAGTGGACCTCAAATCGACGCATGACAGCAGATTCAACACTACTTCGTGGCACTACCGTGTCGTGCTGGATATTTATCGTACCGCACCGGTCCAGCTGCAATACCAAACCGAGCTGTGCGACGCCACCAGGCCCACCACGATTACCTCCACCAGCACCGGCCGGCACTACCACTACCACACTACCACAGCCCAGCCCAGCCCAGCCTAGGGCAACCCAAAACCCGAAAGTGCTGGCAAAAACTCCCAAAGGGGTGTATAGCGCCCAGGGGCCAAACGCATGCGCAGAGTAGACCGATTCGGAATGAGGCACCCCAAAGACCACACCAGACATTGATTTGCGGGACTCCACAAGGGCTTGACGTCCGTCCTTGATGTCATTAGCGCTTTGCCCGTTCCAGGAGGGCGCCCTCAAAGCATGGATGGGTTTAGGGTTCAAGCCGGGAGTGGGTGCGTGGCAAAATGTGGCCCCTTCGTCCCTTATGGCCGAAGATATATCATATCTAAGAAAGAGACCCTCAAGGACCTGAGCTACTCAACTGCATCCTCGCAGGCGGTTGCGGGCTTCAGTCTGCGCAGCTGATGACTCCCCATGGGACCAGGCGGAGGGCCCGGGAGGGAGCAAAAAGACGACAAAGATGGGAATGCCAGACATGGGTGGATGTCAACCCGCAAAAGCCGTATAGATACAAATCATAAGCCCCAGTAAACCCTTGATCCAAGGTCGCAGGCAAAGCATCCGCAGCGCCTGGCAGGCACTCGATTCGAAGACGGAAAGAGAAAACAGCCTAGGAGTGCAGTGGCAGTACGTAGCCTCAGTCCCAAAGCGGCTCCGGTTTTGAGCATTCCCTTGGGAGATCCCAAGCATTGCAAAATTCAGCGGATAAGAACTGACTCGTCTTAAGCGAGTCTGCTTGGATCTGCAGGATGGATTGGAGGGGACATCGCTGGAGATCCTGCTCCAACGGCTTAACGCTCATGCAGGAAATAGGGCAAGGATTTAAGGCTTAGGGTTGTGTTGGGTCGGGGCATCTGTACTGTAAAGCTAGATGGCAAGAAAGAGACCATCTGCAAAGACACGTGCAGAAGATCAATTTACACAACTGCATTGGATATTCCCAATTGACGAGAAGCGCGAGCGGCAAGCGGCTCCCATGAAATGCCTGAGTTACCTTAAAACGTCACCTTTAAACGTCCGTCAGAGCACCACCACCACCACCAAGGCCTCAGAGAAAGATGTGCTGGCCCAGATCTTGCATCTGAACTACTGCTCCGCAACGGCTTCTGCGTGCACTCCGTTGGAAGATCCCAGTCATGGGAGTTCTCTTCGCACAAGAAGGGTTGGGTCTGGGCATCTGCGAGCTGCCTCGGAGTCGCGCCGCGCGAGTTGGGAAGGTCAGGATCTGCTCTTGAAGCAAGCAAGAGGGAGACCATCGGTGCATGCCCGCTGAGAGCTGCGTAGCCAAGTGCGCACGAACTGCTATTGGCATGGAAGGACGCGAATGAGCTTCTTGAACCCAAGAAAACTGCGGCTCGAAAGCCCAGTTCCAGGAGACGGAAGAGACCTGTTGGACGCCCCGGTGCATTTACATCTGCTCTTGCGCTGGCAAGCAGCGCAGCCAATTCCGCTCCGCTTTGGGCTCTGAAAACTACTGGCGGACGAACGTAAAAAGGTACAGAGCAGCATTAAAAATATATTACAGAAAAGGTGTATTCGTTCGAGGGCTCGGCTCGGCTGGCGGCCTGGGGCCAACTGTGATGGACACAAAAGCCACGAGCTGAAGCTTTGCCTGCCACAGCTCCGTGCGATAGCTGGCCGTGATGGCATGCAGGAAGAGGCTCAGGATTTGCGATATCATGAGAACCACTGCGGCCCCGTTTTCACTCACAGGTGCATGGCCTTTGCTTTCAACTAGGGCCAGGTAGATCTGGTACACGGCGATGGTGTAAGGAAAGTGGCTGCCGAAAACGCCGATGTGAATCAAGCTGCGGACTCCCAGCGCAAACTATTTCTGCAAACAATTGTCGCAGAAACTAGTAACTACAGTAACTACAGTAACTACAGTAACTACAGCAACTACTATAGTTGCAAGCTGAAAGGCAGCCCTTCGGGCACCTCAACGTGGGACTCAATGGGGAGATGTCTGAGTCTGAGCCTGAAGGCATGGCCAAACTTTCACCGTCCCGTTTGTCCACAAAAAGGCACGGCTTCTGAGTCGGCCTCCTAGGGCTTTAGGTCACCGATCCCACCAAAATTTTGCCGCAAGAAACAAACTGCCCCCTTTCGCACGGTACTGCAGACAATGACTGACTTGCGGGGTACTTCCAAGTTCTAGGCAGCGGGTGGCCTCACACAAAAGACAGTCATGACATGGGCGCAATGATTGCTCTTGCGGGTTGTGTCGGTGCTCTCCCTCTCTCTCTCTCTCTCTTTGCGAGCGGTTCTCCGTCTCTGTCACTCTCTCCCTGGCTCTCCTCTTCTTCTTCTTCTTCTTCTTCTTCTTCTTCTTCTTCTTCTTCTTCTTCTTCTTCTTCTTCTTTGAGGGCTTGAAGGGGTCCCCCCGCGCCGGTGTCAAGTCAGGCACGGGCGGCAAACGGTTGAGTGGCAGTCACCCCCGTTGGTGATACAACAAAGCAGGGGAAAGGCGCACAACCTGACAGCCACCATCTTTGTGAGTGTAAAAAAGTGGGGCGAAAGTGCCCCGTTCCTGCCCCAAGCCTTCTATTGGTGTGGCTTGACAGCGCCAGTGATGTGCAGGCGCGGCTTTGGGCAAACGTGCTGGATGAATTCACGCGAAGACCGGGTGTGAGGGGTGGAGGTCGTGCCGCAGACATTGAGTGCTGCTCAAGAGTGCTGCGGATGCCGTGGCCATTTTGGCACGTGGAGCGATGTCTGGCGACGCGGACTTTCAAGGGTCGTCTTGGCGCACTCCCGAAGGTCGGTGTATGTCGGTGCGCATGCTTGTTCACGTTCTCTTGTGTTGAGGGTTCGTTGCTTCTGTTTCTTACTGCTTCTGGAATGTTCACGTGGCAACTTGAAAAAGCTCAAGACGACGTGGCACACATCATGACCGTTGCCAATGCCAATGTCACAAAATTGGCGAATCCAAGCCAGAATTTGTCCAGGGCTTCGACGCGAACGTCTCCAACTTCAAACTTTGCATCTGCGAATTACTTGTCTAATTTACACAGCAGCTGCACAGGTGTGCGCAGATTCACGCATCTGGCAACACATGCGTGGCACCGCTCAGAATATCAGCTCCTGCCAAGTGCAAGGAAGATTCAATCGCCCGGACCTACAATACAAGAATTCAAGTCCTCTGATCTGCGCCAGGTAGCGGTAGCGTTTAAAGAGGCATAGTGGTTGTCCTCGCAGGCAGTCGGCAGACAATTTATGTCAGGCCACGAGCCAGCTTGTAGCTACCTATACTGATGGCTGGTGGCGGCGCTCCCGCCGAAGTGCTCGGTCTGGTAAATCATTGAGCAATGCGGCCGACGAGGTGTTCATCGAGCCTTCCAAAACTTATCGTCGTAAACAGCCCGCGCCTCAGTGCAAACAAGAAAACCATGCGCAGCACCTGCTCCCGGTGCCGCTGCCGCTTGTGCCCGTGACGAGATCGGCAGTTCCAACCGATCCGTACCCAACTCGCACAGGGTTGACACAGAAGTTGAAGGCACCACAGCACGTCGCTATTACATGCAACTTGCCGTGCCACTGGCTGAGCCTCTCTGAGTTTGGCATGGAGCGCATCTCGGCTGCTTGACCTGGCAGGCGGCAGATTTTCGCAGTGAGGAACTCTGAGGCACACTTTGCACGAACAAGCAGTGGCCTCACGGCCATAGATTCACGTCCCCTGCCCGGGGTGTAGGCAACAGGCTCAGTCCTTTCCGGTAGTCCTGATGGCCGCTCACAGCTCAACAACGCTTGTCCTTGAGAGCATCCAGCTTCTCGCCTGCCCGATCATCTCCGCTTGGCGCCGTCGTTGTCACCTGCTGAGACTTGCTGAAGCCGCCTCTTATCCAACCCTTGGGCCAGAGCCCTAAAAATCACAGCCCCGCTGGTTTCTGATGGGCAATGGCGGTGAGGGGGATTGGATTCTACGTGACGGTTTCCATGTTGACTGGGATAGAAATAGGCACCTTTCCAATAATAGTTTAGGATGGTTTGCGTTTAAGGGGTTTGGGACTGTAGGATTCAGGGTTGAAAGTTGAGGGATGTTCCGTGAACAGCCTGGCTAGGAGGTTCAAGGGGCAGATGCTACAGTGCACCCTCATTGCAACTAGGTTTCCCGACGTACCCCTTTGTGAGGGGAGGCCATTTCCCAGGCAAATGCGGGTGGGGAGGTGATTTAGTATAAGCCACTGCCTCGCCCAGCCGGCGTAGTCGCGACCTTGGTATCAATGCGCATGCAAACCCGTGTGTGTTTATTCGTGCGGTGGTTTTGCAAGCTCTCAGGCGAGGGCATGAGCGTGTGATACCACTCGTCCTAGCTAGCGTGCAGCAGCGGGTGAGACTGTCAATGGGGCAGCCACCGTAGCATGCAAGACCATGGAAGCTGACGAGGCTCCTGTACAGGCGGCTGTTCTCTGGTGGAGCTCGCCGCCCCCTAGCAAGGCCGTGTGTGACACACAATGTGTCCCATCCCCCATAGTTTGAGGGTTGAACCTCGTAAGAAATAATTGTCATCATAACATGATCTTAGCTTCAACTTCCAAGTCTCACCTCTCTTAGCCGCCACCGGCGCAAAGGCTCCCGGTCTTCGATGCCAGCTAGACGGGACCGTCTTGGGCTGAACTCTGGATTTGAGAAATTCGAGACACTTGAGCTGGGCATAGTTAACGGTATTGGGTTGGAGGAAGCAGCCGCCACAGGCGGAGCCATTGGTGGAGCCATTGGCGGAGCCATTGGTGGAGCCATTGGCCCTGTTGGGCTGGACTGTGGCAGTGAAGGTGTTGTGTGTGGTAGTGGTGTCAAGCATGGCCGTGAAGGTGGGGTGGATGGAAACCCAGAGGCTCCAAACGTGGCAGTTGATGGGAATGTTGTTTCAGAAAGGATGGGCGGAGGAAGCGTGATCGGCTCGCGGGGTGCCATGTCGCAAGCTCCCGCATGCCTCGCGACAGCTCGCACAAGCCCGAAGACCTGTAACTGTAGTTTTGCTAGCCATTGCTGATTATTGCTGGCTCTCTCAGGCAAGTACCGTGGAGCTGGCGCTGCCAGGCAAGGAGAGGAAAGTGGCGCAGACAAGTTCGAGGCCGCCTGACCAAATGGATGCAGAACATCATTTCAATCTGACCATCACCAAGGACTCAACAAAAACTTGGGCCAAACTGACCTGCTGTCCGCAGATGCGGCAGAAGGCAGAGTCTGGCAAATGCTCCTCGCTCTGACATCATCCGACATGTTGAGACCGGCAAAATAACTCAGGCTCTCGCGGTGCGGCATTGCCCACAACGGGCAACCTGCATGGGATTGTAAGACAGCGCGGACCGAACAACAGAGCCAACTTTCCAGTCCCCAGATTCGCGCAGGGAGTGCCTCATCCGGCATTGCCCTAGGTGTTGAACGCCAAGGTAGTGGCGCCTGCTCAGCACGGCAACCACACACGGCCTTTTGAGATTCGCCAGCAAGTCTTGAGTCTTTACCATGTTCGTGTTCTGCATCAGCCACATTCTTTCGATGATGAGCTGTCAAGCGTTCTCGTGGAGCATGGTCACATTTGCTCAGGCAACCACTGACCGACTGCTTTCTGCAACTGATGAGTTCTAAGATTTTCTCCTTGACGGCCGGACTGTGAAATGTCTGGGGGTCGTGCAGCACCTCTCGGTGAACTCCTGCCACATAAATCCCCATCAGGCTGCGGCACGAGTACCATCTGGGCTGCGCCGGCGTTTTTCAAAGCAAATACAAGGTCCCCGACATTCCCCGACTGTAGATAGTACGCACAGATATGCACGCAAACACCCACACACTCTCTCTCTCTCTCACATCCTCGGTGACCAGCCACTGCGAACTGGCGCACTTCGGCTCCGAACCTGTGCCCTGACAATGGCAAGATGCGGCGGAAAAACGCAGTGTTGAGTGCCGACACTGTGCCGACTACAGAATCTGCAGTTTCCAGCACGCCTTGCTCGAATGCCGCTGAGAGCCTTGGCGACACAACAATTATCCTCACCGCACCGACTGGTAAAACAAAGCCGTCAGATGGTGTCAGGTGCACCAGGACCCCGTCTAGCGAGTCTAGCCAAGATGCATCTCAAACCCGCTGCACTCTATCGGACTCTGTGGACTCTCCTCTATGGCCAAGCCGAGACTGTGGCAGGCCGAAGCATTGCGCAACTGGATGGAGTGCCTGGAGCCGCCTCAAACACAAGCTGTGATGTGCCACGAACATGGTTGTACAGAACTGTGCATCCCAGGTCTGTGCGCTGCGGCTGGACCGTTGATGCAACCACTCGTGTTGCGCAAGCACTTTCTTTAGGGTGAATATGGAGTCCAAACAAGCATAAGCAAGCAGAAGTGGTTGGGCTTAGCTCGATCTTACAATGTGCCTGATGACGAAATGCAGCGGGCTGAGGTTGTGTCTAATGGTTCCCTGCGATCTGGACTGGGGTCGGTGTCGGCCCCTGGCATTGCAAGAAAAGTGTGTTCAGCCTCCACAAGTTCTGCAACAGACCATTGCCTGCCTTCCAAAGCTGACGGCGCCTCGTCAACGTCTTTTGTGTCCGCGCAGGTTGGTCAGGATTGTCGAACCGACTTCCTCCCTTGCTGAGGACCCCCGCATTCCCACGCGCGCTGGGTTGACTTTGTGAGCGAGGTGTTCGGGATCTTCTGCTGCTCGCCGACCTCGAACGTGTGCGTGCAATGTGGCACAGGCTGACATGGTTGATGTGGCTGAAATGGCTTCCCTGAAAGGCTTCCCCACTCGGGACCGCACAAAGAACCAGTTCCTGCAAAGGAGAACTCCCAATGCAAGCCATACCACAAAAAAAGCTAATAACAACAGTGAACACAAAGGGCGAAAGAAACGCCAAGTTTGTTAAAGCCAGGCCACTTGACATCAATTCCAAGCTGCTTGGCCATGTCCTCACAGGAGGGTATTCGCGCTCCCAATAGCTCGCAGCCCTTGGTTCCTGCTCTCCGTGGAGTCCTGTGAAGCTCAACCCATTTCGCCTCCAGCTATGTCATTATGTGGGGTAAAGATGGTGATGTCATCTGATGTTTTCTGCTAGCGTTGGGGGTCTGGATGCAGCTTCCTTTGACACTTTCAAAAATCTGTGGTCCGGGCCAGCGTCCGCAAAGAGCTCAGCCCAAGAAGCTGCGCTGATCGCCCATACTGCAGGTTGAGAGCCTGCGCAGATGCCATTCATGATGCCATGATGCTGGAGCCGGTCCTGTTTAGAACCTCCGACCTGGATGCCGATGGCTGCCACACTTTGGAGCAGATCCGGCCAATCCTGCTCAGCACGTGGCGCAAACGACTCCAACGCAACCGCTTCGTTTGAGCGTTTGGATGTGCTCTTTCCACCCGTTGTGAATCAACGTCAAGTCGGCAGACGGCTGCTAAATGAACGCCTAACCCCGCCACAGAAGGGGGCCGGCCTGCTCTTCAAATGCCAACAGAAAATGGCGCACCGTGAGACTTTCCAAGACTCGTTCAGCGATTTGAACCTGGGAGCCACACCCAACAAGGCATTTGCAGCCCTTTCACACCGACATGACTCAGAACGCTGCCATCTCGGGCTTCTGTGACTTTGCCGCAACCCTCTCGGCCTGTCAGGGCTTTAAGGCACTTTAAGGGGGACACGATTCTCGGAACCTCGGCTAGAGAACACCTTTTGCATTTTGAGCCTCTTGGATTGCAGCCTTGACCTGAAGCTGCTGCAACAATCGGCCAAGTAAACTTCTTCATTGCAACCGGTCTCTACGTCGTTACTCCCTAGTTGGCAATCACAATGAGAAGTGACTGAATGCCTGGCATTGTTTTGGATTATGCTGGAACCTTTCCAAGGTTATGGTGGGCTCAACATACTCTCGCTAAGATTGTCGAATGCAACGCCGGTCAAGCCAACAGACTGGTCGGTGATGCACGTGTTGCGGGATTCAGCAGACAAGATTCATAGCCAGGAACGCGCCAAGCTTGACAGCAGGAATTCGCAAGCTATGCCAATGGTTCTCCGCAGTTAAGACGGATGGCTGTCGGTTCTTACACCAACAGGGCGCGGCAACTTCAGAGGTCAGAGGTTGCTACGCCGAATGGTGAACGAAACCTCATGCTCTCAGCCACAAAGCAAGAGTCTCAGGGCCCGACAGCCCGGCTGCAAACCACGCCACCTCAATCGCGTGAGACACGCAACAGCTACAAAGAGAGTTGAGGCCAAACACCACGACAAGGAATTTGAAAGGTGGGGCCGCGCTCACACTATGTAAGGCCCGAACAGCGGCAGCGGAGCTCCCGGTGGAGCTCCGGGCAGGCCTCCTCCTCTTCCTCAGGGCGCAGTGCAGATCAAAAAGTGCGCATCTTGCTGGATAAAACTGGGTCCTCCTCACCAGCCCTCATTGCTCTAAAAGATGTGTGAGCCAAAATTGCCCAATGAGAGTCACCAGTGAGAGGCTGCGTGTCATCCTAGTGACCTAGTGCTTCATGGACGGATGGTTCGCATCATGGCGTAGCATCCGCGGCTTTTTTTGTTGGGGGCATGCCTGGCAGAATTCAACTGTTCGCTACGACTGCATCGTGCCCTGCTGGATTCTCCAGCTAGTGAGACGATCAATGGAGAGCGGCACAGTACCGACTCCGTGTGCATTAACGTTGAGCCTCAGCGCCTCAGTCACACTGTGGTATCTGGGCCATGGCAGAAACAGATCCACACCGCGGCACACTTGGGTGCCGGACCGCCCCGATTGCCCCGACTGTCTCGACCTCCTGTTGCACCGTGTGCGCTCGGCAGCCATGGGCACGAAAGAAACAACTACGCCATCGACAAGCTCTTCACAAAACGTCTCTAGCAAGTTTTAACACCATTTACGTAGCGCATCCGTGCCCGTGTCTGTCTCAAGTCTACCCAGAAACTGCTCCGTTGCTCCACTTGCTCCCGGAATTCTCCCATCGTCATTGCTCTCAGGCACCAGCCCGGACTGCTCGGAGCGGCGCCGCGACCCGGAGTTCCGTCGGGACCCGGAGCCCCTGAAGATTCAGGGAAATGAGGGATGAGGGGGGTGGAGAAGGAAGGAAGGGAGTCAGTTCAGTTCCAAGAGAGGAACAGCCTGGACCCACGAGACTGCCTTGATGGAGGTGCAGACCCTGTGTTCCTGTTGTTCCATCAAGATTCTGCTGGCCAGGATTCGAACCGATGTCACAAGCATCGCATTCCCAAATGATCTTGCTAAGCTATATGCCCTGGCGACGGCTGCCTCCATTGGCATACACCACACCAACTTCGAGCTGCGCTGCGGATGCTGGAACAGTCAAGAAGGCGACACCACAGATACAGATGCAGCCTGGCTTGAGCTTCCAACGGTGGTCTTCTGGGTTGGGCCTGCGAAAGTCTGTTGGCCCGAGCCGTAGTGAGCACTCATCACGAGGTCGAGAGGCACAGCAGCCTAAAGCCTAAACTACATCAACACTGACATCAAAGAGCGCATGATGTTACACCATCGAGGCATTGAGGTCCTTTGCGTGAATGGGGGTGAAGCTGGCGAGTGATGCATCATCTCCGGAATCTGACCTGGCAGTCGTTCGATGCAATCTGCTTCCACCATGTCGAGTCAAACCCAGTGAGGCGGCACTTTGCAAGGTCCACAGGCTCTTCCTTGATCTTCACATCTGTCTGGAACACCTAACATGACACTAAACTTCGAACGACAAGTCTTGAATCAGCAATGAAATTCAATGGATGATGAGCAAGGACTAGCATGAGGCCCGTGGAGGTCGGCTCCTCTTTTCCCAGCAGCCGTTCACTGAAGATACGCAAAGGGGTCTACTCGAAACAGCTTTGCTGCGAGCACAAAAGGGTGCCGAAGATACGCAAAGGAGTCTGCTCAAAACAGCTGAAGATACTCGGGTCTGCTCAAAGCAGCACTGCCGGCTGCTCGAAACAGCAACAAAAATGTGCTCCGAAGACAGGAAAGGACTGCTTAGGCAGAGGAGCGCGCCCTCTTCGAGGCCGGCTTGGCCTTCGGGGAACTCGGCTTGGCCCGCTTGGCCTTGGCCTTCGGGGCCTCGGATTTCTTCTTCGGCTGCGCCTCGTCGCTGCCAAGCACAGCTCGGCCAGAAGCTCCTGCGACACGTCCTTCGCCCACACAAAGTGGATAGGGTACGACCAGTCAGTGTACGACCGCTTTGTGTTCTCGGCGGAGAAGATGGCGTTGGGTCTGTTCCGGATGACCTTGATGGCCTGGCCTGGCTTCTCAAGGTGGGTGCGCTTAGCCAGCTCGTAGCCCCGTGACTTCCACTCAGAGTCAGTGAGCGCGGTGAAGAACGCCCAGGGGCCCGCGGACTTCCAGTCCTCAAGGCAGGTGGGAAGCGCACGCGGCTCCAGCTCGACCTGCGGGACCCTCCTGTCAGCCGCACTCCTGTCAGCCGCATGGTACAGGCGCGGCGCGACCTGCTGCCAAGCGCGGAAGGCCGGCTCCCGCAGCCTCCTCATCTCCTCGGCGGTTGTGAAGCTCGAGCTGCAGGCGACAGAGGCTGAGCATGCGGGCTTCCCGCATGCTCAGCCTCTGTCGCCTGCAGCTCGAGCTTCACAGGTACCATCTGGCTGCTGCTCACCTGCACTGACAGGACTTCGGGCTCTGACGGCTCACTGGCGTTCCCGGGAACGCCCGGCCAGGAGGTCCGGTGCCTCTCCACGTCTTGCGTCGACAGGGGCCTCGGCTGCCCAAACTCTTCGGCCCGAGAAGGCTCCTGTGAAGCCTGCAGAGAAGCCTCCTGAGAAGCAGTCTCGGACTCCCCGCCCTCTTCGTGCTCCTCCTGCTCTTCACGTTCCTGGCTCCCGTCCTCCAGGCGCCTCAGCTCTTCCTGCTCCCTTTCTGCAGCTTTTGCCAGCTCCACCATCTCTTGCTGCGTCTCGGGCCCAGGCTCCGAGCCACCCAGCATCTCCACGCGCGGCCAGCCCGATGCCATTGCACGAGGCCAGCAAGCCCCCTCCCAGAATCCCAAAGGAAAAACAACCCGACAAGTTATGCATGGGAGAAGAAGGGCTGTAGTTCTGGTTTGGGCCTCTTTGGACAAGCTGCCTCAGCCAGCAGCGACTCTGAGAGTTCGAATACGCAGTCAGGCATGGCAAGGCATGGTAAGGCATGGTAAGGCATAGCTTGCTCACAAACACATCTGTCTGGAACACCTGCAAGCTAGATGAGTCCAAGGGTTCTTGTTTTCACCCTGCCTCCCATGCCGGAAACTGTCGAACTAGGAGCAATCGTTTCTTCTCAATCTTTTTGACTTGTAAAGCAAGCATTTGACCGGACCGAATTTTGGCACTCATCAGGTCTTGACGACCTTGTCCACCACCTCGTGCAGCCAGTGCTGTTTTCAGTTTGGCCTTTTGCCTAGCCTCGACGTGCACGTGCCAACAGCCTGCCTTCTTGTATTCCAAAGAGCCCGCAGAAGGCAGGTCAGCTGCTTTGCAAATCTCCTGCAGCACATGGCCAATCAGCTGCACCAACACTTGAATAGGCAGGCAAGGTACCTCAAATTCTTTGGCGGTGAGCTTCTCACCTAGACTTGTCACCTGGCTGTCTGCAAAGCCTACGAGGGAGAGGAGATACAGCCACCCTGGTCTTGGGGCCCGGCAATGTGGCGTAACTCTTTCATGTCCACTTGCCCAGAGCCGCTCTGATCAAAGACCTGGAAGGCCTGAACACGCTACAAGCAACAGACTCTAACAGGCGCTCGGCCCGTGACGTTGCTTTCTGTTGCCCTCTGTACCCCTGCTCTTCGATCTCTACACGCCGTACACGCCCGCGTTCCGTCGCGACCCGAACCATGACAGCAGCAACTCGCCTGCAGCAGCGCCTGTGCCTTCACAGCGTGCGGTTGCGAGGGGGTCTGTACGACTTTGGTTCACTGCATTGCTGTTGGAGCTACCGCCGGACTGGACCACACTAATTACTTCAGCAGGTGACGATCTGGCCTGCTTCTCTGGCTGGCGCGGCTTCTTTGCTGCTAGCGCCTTGAACTTCTCCCATGTCACCAGATCACTGCCAACTTCCTCCTGCCAAATGCGGTTGCGCCGCTCCACATTCCACATGCTGACCTCATGAGCCTCACCACTCCCTGAAAAGCAGGCAAGCAGTTCGACAAGGCGAGCTTATGCGGTCGCCTTCAGCTCTTGCACCTCCTTCTGCGTGAGCACTAGGCCCAAGGATCTCAACACATCTCCTAGCTCTGCTGCCTCGCACATCGCACGTTACTGCGCATGCCACCAACACAACACAAATCAGGTTCCCACATTTCCGACACATGGCCCACACATGTCCCACACATCTCCCACACATCTCCCAAATTTCCACTGACACTTGGCCTTGATCTTGCCATCAGAATCCTTTTAACATGCCAATGGCAGTCGAACACGGCAACTCTCTGCAGCTGTGCCAATCGTGCCCAAGAGATGTCCTTATCATAGAGGTCGAAGCACTCTTTCCATTCTACCTCTGTAGACGCCATCTGCCTAAGGATGGAGCTCCACTGGTGCTATGGGAAGCTTCAACTCGAAGCTGCTCTCGCTATCTGACGATGATTTTGAGAATATTCTGAGATCTCGGATCCGGACGAGGAGAGGGTGGGCACGCTCGGCAGAATTAGGAGTCAGCTCGAAAAAAGCTTACTGTCACTGCCTGATTGTCAAGAATGTTCTTGTCACTAGAGCGACTCTTCGATGTTCCATACACGTCTCGGTCAGCTGGAGCCGAAAGATTCAGCATGTCAACCCTGCTCCGTGTGCGCTCAATGCATCTTGCCAGGTCTTACCAGCATGTTGAGAAAAGATCCCTGGCTTCGTGCGGCCTTCGATTGCGCTTCGCGGCGCTTCTTCTCATAGCCCTTATCCAAAGCCCAAACCAGTTCCTCGCCCAACATCAAAGCAGGAGAGAGAGATATGAACAGAGCACACAGCGCCCACCACTCCTTGCGAATGCCCATAGGTCCGGAGTGGTTCGCCAAGATATCACGCGCCTCGTCAGGAGCAGCCCTTGCGTGGAGTTGCACTCGGCTACTTTGCACGAACGTTCCCTGCAAATATCTTACCGCAATGAAGCCGAACAGTTCTTCGGGCACGGGACCGTGAGAGTCCCAGCTTCAGCAGCTATGCGCAACTTTGTAAGCGCCGGGTCCTGCGGAAAGCTGATTGTGAGCGGAGCTTGTAGGCAGCTTGACGACTTCGGAGGCCGAAATGAACGACAGGTTGTTCTGCCCTTGCTCTTGCCGGTCCGGATCAGGAAGTTCAGCGATCTGTCATGGGCAGGCTGCTTGAACGATGAGGTCGACCATCGACTATGCCACGAAAATCCACTAGACGTATGCCACAATGCCACACAAGCAAGAAAACATGTGAACGCCGAAGTCTAACCCTCACTCGATATTCTATATTCTTGAAGCTGTGGGTCGGAAACCCGCGGAGCCATGCAATTAAAACTACAAAGGACGACGGGTCTGTTGAACCATGTTCTCACGCTCCCTGTCTGGCCTCTGACTCAGAGTCTGTCTCCGGAACTTCCTGCTTGCAAGGCAGGTGCCGCTCAGGGGATGACAACCAGAACAACGATAAAAGCGCATCGAGGCACACAAAACATGGCAAATCACACCGGGCAGCCTCTTCCTCCTCTTCGGGCTCAGGCTCCACAGGCTCCCGCGATCTTGGCGCTGCATGGTGTAGCTACATGTCACATTGACAGCGGGTGCATTTCTTGCAGACTTCGTTGGGGCGAGCACCTGATCTTGTGCCAAACCTTACAGTGCAGACATTGCGCAGCACAAAGCTTTCCATATTGAATTTGAACCACGCAACGGCGGCTGCATTACCGGCTATGGGGCCAAGCGTAAAGGGACCCGATGCAGCCGCAAAGGCAAACGGTGCCTCCTCCCACCTCGTGGCTGACAGCATACTCTGATTTCGAGACTTGCACGGACTTGCAAAGCAACATCACAATGTCTGGCTTTTGCTCAGCGGCTGGCGATGGCAATCAAAGCTCCTAGCGTCAAGCCCTCGTCCACCTCCGGCGGTGGCGGCAAAGGAGTTGTCGTGTTCGGCGGCTCCTGCAGCCCGCCAGATGCCCCGTATGATCAGTATTCAGACTAAATCAACAACGGACGCCATATTGCAAGCCGCACGATGACGCCTCCCGGACCACGCGGTACAAGGCGGCGAAAAGACCAGAACTCATGGTGGCCAAACACGTCCTCGGAGACTAGCGGAGTAGCGCGCTTCCTAGCATAGAAGCATGCTCAGCCAGCAGAGAGCCCAACATCTCGGTGGACATGTTGGTTATGAGGTACTTCACCGATACACCAGCCGTCGACCTTGACCACAGCAGGACTTGGGTGGTGTCCCACTGGTGTCCCACTTGCAACATTGCGCAATGCATGAAATGATTGCCGTAAGTGTTCGCACCCATTGGAAGTCATTGCAAGAGTGCAACTGGCAGCCTGTTTCTATGCAAGATGCGTGTCACGGTGTCTGCTAAGGGCCTCGCCAGGCACCAAGACCTCGGCTAGCCACAGCAATAGCCACAGCAACAATAAGTGAATATCGCAGCTTTGACTTCGGTGTCCTGAATTCGAGGCAAACTTTCGACACACTTCAGTGGGGGCCTCCCCTATAGGAGTCCTATCGAGTCAAAGTGTGCCACTCACGCCTGTTAGAGGTGTCCGCTATGAAGTCAAGCTTTGCGGACCAATTGCCTCCCCTCCCGGGGCTGCCAGGGGGAGTAGCTCTGAAAATAAAAACAAGCTTGCACCTGGGGCTGGGGGTCTGTTTATCCGCATGGCCTTCCAACTGTTTGAAGGGGTGGTGGGGGGCGGGGGAGGACGGGGAGAAGGGGGTGGCAAGAGACTGGCAGGCCGAACGTAAACATGCATGAATCTCTGGCTATGAGCTGTCAGTCACAGAGAATTCCCTGAGACCTGGGCCCTCATCGAACACTGCGCACATGTGCTCCACGAGATAGCCTTCGAAGGTGCTCATTCAGTAGCGTCGTAGAATCTGCTGCGCTGCTTGGCTGTGGAGCGTGTCTTGGACCACGCGTCTTGCAACTGCCTTGCCCGGGGGCCAGACCAGGAAACACACCCTCAGGTTGCGAGATGTCGATGTCGATCTCCAGCGGAGTGGAGAGACCTGTTTCTTTTATTTGCAAGGGGCCTGCGATCTTGGCTGGGCCAGTCCAGCACACATGCGGAGCTGCGGAGCCTTCTTGAAAGATCGGTTCGCCACAGCGTCGCAAATACACGCCCTGCATCTCCGGATGCAGTGTCGGGCTTTGGCAAAGCTTCCAGGAAGGACAGAGAGAGAGAGACAAAGAGAAAGAGAGAGAGAGAGAGATGTAAAGATGTATGTGTGCATGTATGTGCCTGTACATAAGTCTGTACCCCAGACCCACCCGCCTTGATGGATGTGTTCGGCAGCACGAGATCGGTAACACCTAAGAGACCAGAAGCGACCAAAAGGTGTGTCTGAAAGCGGGAAAGGGTGGCAAAGGCGTGCTTGGAGCAGTGCTCAGCTCGTGCGACTTGCGTTTAAGGCGGGAGCCGAATCCTTGAGGTGCCCAGAAGCGAGGGTTCAAACTGGACCTTCCACCCATGCAGGTGCCACCGCTCCGCTGCTGTGTGAGCTCATGAGGCATGCAACTCTCGAGTAGTACAGTGGTCACTGGCGCACCAGCTGGTGACTTGGACTTCCATGCTGTCGCAGCTCGCCCCGGCTTGGCCCAGCTGCCTTTTGGACATGCAGCGACATGCACAAGGATGGACACACACTTGCCGTGATTTGCCGCGCTTGCATGAACTGTTCAAGATGCCCGTGACGCCTGGGAACGAGGATCCCTGGCAGCCGCACATCACCTTGAACGTACGGGTATGCAGCGGAGAAAGTCCCTGCAGTGTCTGAGATCCTTGAGGCGCAGCTTCAAGCCGATTTGGGCTGGCACGTCCGGCCACGTCCTGTCACATCCTCATAGGTGTCTTGGGGATTTCTTTTGGCTGGCAATAATATAGGCAACTGATGTGCCCTAGATTCAAGGTGAAACGCATTATCCTTGACTTCGGAACATGGGGACATTATGCCCCCAGGCAGAAGTCTGCAGCTTTGCTGCTGCAGCAAGTACCTGCTGCATTACATTAACTGGTCATCGCTTTTTTCGATGCCGATAGTTGCTACAACGGTCGATTCATGAATTCAAGTGTCAAGTGGATAAGATCACATACATACATACATACATACATACATACATGCATACATTCATACGTACATACAGATTATACGAATGTGCTCCCAACAACTGCTGGGTATAGGACTGTACGATCGCCTTGGCCCTGAAAAACAACAGCATAAACACATACGTGCGAATCATGCAACATCGTTGGGCCAGGGCTCGGTGCTTTAAAGCAACACCTCTGCAATGCTTTAAGTTCCCAGGATCTCTAGCTGTGGATGGTGTGAACGGCGTGAAGTTCAAGTCACTGTCATGTTAATCAGAAAGCGGGAGCCCTGGTCATTGAGAGTTTCGCCTACATTGCACAAATTTTCGCTTCGTTTGGTCGGGTAGCTGAACTGAAGACATCTTGGCCTAACGGAGACATGCAGCGCCAGTCTACGCGAAGAACGCGCAGAGCAGCAACAGCCTTAGCGGCAAGAGCAGGCACAAGTGGCTGCGCAGGCTCTAAGGCTCTAGAACCCTCTCTGAATGCAAGCTCGCAGCATCAGGAGCCATGGGGCAGCACGAGCTGTGATGCAACGGGCTGTCTTGGCAATGGTGGTGTTCCTGAGCTGTTGCTGTGCTGGCGGAGCTGGCTATGCCTTTCCGGATGCAGCATCCAATGCGCCGAGTCACGGAGGCCGCGTTGAGCTGGTGGTCATTGTTTCAGTTGTTGACGTGGCTGTGAAGGTGGTTACCTCAAGGTATGGTAGCCCCTAGGCCCTAGGCTTTGCTTCGCTCGCATCCCTTTCTGCACCGAATTACCAATAAGGAAGCCAAGCTTCGGTAGTGGTCGACTCCTTCGAAAGATGAGCTGCAACACATTGCAACACCACCAGGGTCGCACAAAGCCAATGGACAATGATGACAGATGTGCAGCTGAGGTTCGACTGTGCTAGGAACTCTCATGCTGAAGAACATGTCCTGTAAAGTGCATCAGCGGTGCAAAGTCATACAGGCAGTGATGCGACGGCTGAACGCAAGGCGAGGCAATGTGAAGGACGCACTGGTTGAGGGCCTTGCATGGCTGCCGCCTGCTACGGAATCCTGGGAAACATTACAGAAGAGTTCTCCCACACCGGTCCGTTGTGATGGCCGGGCAGGTACACTTCCGTGCATAGCCTCAGCATGCTCTGATGAGAACCTCACGACGCCTGGCGCTGTCTGCTCTAGCGGTAAGTATTCAGACAGGTCACACGAGCCATAGCCCTCGAACGGAAACCAAAAGAATTCTCCTGGCAAGGCTTTACTGTGCTGGACCTTTACACGGGACTCCGGGGTCCCTCAGCCTCTTCGCCGCCAGCTGCAAATAACGGGTCCCTCAACATCGCTGCACACGTGGAAGAACACCTTGATGGGGGATGTCGTGCGGAAGTGTGAAAAGCACGTATCCCGTGCATCCTGCACACAATCGACGCCGTAAATTATTCTGCGGGGGAGGATTGGCGGGCTAATGCAGACCACAGCACTGCTCCATTCATCTCTTGAACGCCAATGCTTTCCGTGGCTGTCGTGGTAGTGGTGGTCGTGGTGGTTGTGCTCGTAGTTTCCTGTGCAGCACATGTGAAGCCGGGGCAGTCAAGAGTGCAAGAACATTGTTCACACTTTCACGGTGGATCATGAACTGCAGCCGAGCCACCGTGGGGCAATACTTCGGCCTTCTACAGGCGAAGTCTAGCTAGCATTGGCAAGGTCGAAAATGATGAGCGCTACTGGGTTGGCGCTATCGTGCGCTACGAGAAAAGGCTATGATGCGCTAATTTCCATCAAAATAAATTTAAGTGTTGCACACCTTAATTTCCTTTCACGTGTGCTATTTCTGTAGCACAACAATATCGCATCGAAAAGATATCGCGTAGCATGGATGTCAGGAGCCTAGGATCGCTTAGGCTTAGAGGTTGGTTTGCGTGGCGGACCTCTGGGAGGGCATGTGCAAACACACGGCAATCCGGAAACGGCAATCCGGAAGGTGCTATCTAGAAATATGCATATATATATATATATACATTCATATATATATATATATATATATATGTGTGTTTACTTATCTATTTGTTTACTTCTTCATATATCGGGTCGGTACTCTGTCGCGACCTGCGTCGTCACAGCTGCCCTTACGTCACGTCTTTCGTTGCCTTCGCTGCTGATTGCTTGTTGCTACCTACCCTGTCTGCCTTTCTCTTTGAAAATTTGCTGGTTCCCTTCATCGCTATCGGGGGGGGGGGCTGAAGAGACGGGACTCGTGCACCAAGCGGGCACTTCTTCGTCAGTTCCGAAACTATTTCAAGGTCCTTGTATGGGTCGAGGCCCCACGGGTTCCTCCATCACCCTTTGATTCGCTGGCCCATCGGGTTTGGTCCAGCTTGATAGTGAAATCTGGGTCACTTGGAGGATGCTTGGAGGTTGCTCACGGTGATGAACGAAGCCAAGAAGCCCTGAAGCAGTAGCGAGCTTCTCAGTTGTGAAGTGATCTTGGCCGCCCAAGCTCAGTCGTAGCTGATAGTCGTGATTTCCGGCACTCCAGGCCTTGGAGAAAGAACAAGAAGGGAGCTGTGCCACACGAAGGCACTTGCACATGCAGCACGTTGCGCGGCATTGTGAGATGCACATCGTGATGCTCCACGTGCAGTCTCTTGTTGTGCCGACCTGAAGGGCAAAAGACAACATGTTCTGCCAGGCGGCTGCGCAACGGCATGTGGCAGCTTCACCTGAGAAAAGCAAGATCAGGAGTTCCACTGCTTCAGGTCATCTACTGCACGATGACAGCTGCTGCGCGATCGTAATGGCAGCAGTGTTGAAAGGCCAGGCACATGATGCCCATGATGCTGGCCTGTGGAGGCCACAAAGTTAAAAGGGAAGGCAGCTGATGCCCATGATGCTGGCCTGTGGAGGCCGCAAAGTTGAAAGGGCAGGCCCGTGCAGGGCACAAAGTTAAAAGGGAAGGCAGCTGATGCCCATGATGCTGGCCTGTGGAGGCCGCAAAGTTGAAAGGGCAGGCCCGTGCAGGGCACAAAGTTAAAAGGGAAGGCAGCTGATGCCCATGATGCTGGCCTGTGGAGGCCGCAAAGTTGAAAGGGCAGTTGCAGGCCACAAAGTTAAAACGGAAGGCAGCTGATGCCCATGATGCTGGCCTGTGGAGCCCGCAAAGTTGAAAGGGCAGGCCCGTGCAGGCCACAAAGTTAAAAGGGAAGGCAGCTGATGCCCATGATGCTGGCCTGTGGAGGCCGCAAAGTTGAAAGGGCAGGCCCGTGCAGGGCACAAAGTCAAAAGGGAAGGCAGCTGATGCCCATGATGCTGGCCTGTGGAGGCCGCAAAGTTGAAAGGGCAGTTGCAGGCCACAAAGCATGATGCTGGCCTGTGGAGGCCGCAAAGTTGAAAGGGCAGGCCCGCGCAGGCCACAAAGTTAAAAGGGAAGGCAGCTGATGCCCATGATGCTGGCCTGTGGAGCCCGCAAAGTTGAAAGGGCAGGCCCGTGCAGGGCACAAAGTTAAAAGGGAAGGCAGCTGATGCCCATGATGCTGGCCTGTGGAGGCCGCAAAGTTGAAAGGGCAGGCCCGTGCAGGCCACAAAGTTAAAAGGGAAGGCAGCTGATGCCCATGATGCTGGCCTGTGGAGGCCGCAAAGTTGAAAGGGCAGGCCCGTGCAGGCCACAAAGTTAAAAGGGAAGGCAGCTGATGCCCATGATGCTGGCCTGTGGAGGCCGCAAAGTTGAAAGGGCAGGCCCGTGCAGGGCACAAAGTTAAAAGGGAAGGCAGTTAAAAGGGAAGGCAGCTGATGCCCATGATGCTGGCCTGTGGAGGCCGCAAAGTTGAAAGGGCAGGCCCGTGCAGGCCACAAAGTTAAAAGGGAAGGCAACTGATGCCCATGATGCTGGCCTGTGGAGCCCGCAAAGTTGAAAGGGCAGGCCCGTACAGGCCACAAAGTTAAAAGGGAAGGCAGCTGATGCCCATGATGCTGGCCTGTGGAGGCCGCAAAGTTGAAAGGGCAGGCCCGTGCAGGCCACAAAGTTAAAAGGGAAGGCAGCTGATGCCCATGATGCTGGCCTGTGGAGGCCGCAAAGTTGAAAGGGCAGGCCCGTGCAGGCCACAAAGTTAAAAGGGAAGGCAGCTGATGCCCATGATGCTGGCCTGTGGAGCCCGCAAAGTTGAAAGGGCAGGCCCGTGCAGGCCACAAAGTTAAAAGGGAAGGCAGCTGATGCCCATGATGCTGGCCTGTGGAGCCCGCAAAGTTGAAAGGGCAGGCCCGTGCAGGCCACAAAGTTAAAAGGGAAGGCAGCTGATGCCCATGATGCTGGCCTGTGGAGCCCGCAAAGTTGAAAGGGCAGGCCCGTGCAGGCCACAAAGTTAAAAGGGAAGGCAGCTGATGCCCATGATGCTGGCCTGTGGAGCCCGCAAAGTTGAAAGGGCAGGCCCGTGCAGGCCACAAAGTTAAAAGGGAAGGCAGCTGATGCCCATGATGCTGGCCTGTGGAGCCCGCAAAGTTGAAAGGGCAGGCCCGTGCAGGCCACAAAGTTAAAAGGGAAGGCAGCTGATGCCCATGATGCTGGCCTGTGGAGCCCGCAAAGTTGAAAGGGCAGGCCCGTGCAGGGCACAAAGTTAAAAGGGAAGGCAGCGGATGCCCATGATGCTGGCCTGTGGAGGCCGCAAAGTTGAAAGGGCAGGCCCGTGCAGGCCACAAAGTTAAAAGGGAAGGCAGCTGATGCCCATGATGCTGGCCTGTGGAGCCCGCAAAGTTGAAAGGGCAGGCCCGCGCAGGCCACAAAGTTAAAAGGGAAGGCAACTGATGCCCATGATGCTGGCCTGCAGAGGCCACAAGTGTCACGCCGAGTCACATGTTCCGGCCCCTCCAAAAAGAATCCACTCAGACAACGCATCCTCACGCCAGTAGCAATCCATCGTGCTGGGCGGGTCCTGCAGGTTGTATCACATCGACGGCTTGACATGCCAATTGTTATGCCCCATACCTGCCTGTTGAAAAATGTCCCGGCAAAGCTGGAAGACGACGGCACCTCCAATCCTGATGTTTTTTTGAATTGCTGTGCCATTTGAAAACTGGACGTATGGGCCAGTACTCAGTACTGTTCAGCAAGGAGCGGCAAGAAATTACGGCAAGCATCTCAGCTGCTCCAACATACTGCCCCGTGGTTGTCATGGTCGTGGATGTCATCGTGCTGGTATCCGGGAGGCAGAACCTCAGTTCGAAGCGTGCGAAGGAACTCTGGCACGAGTATCATCCGTTTACTTGGAGGTTGCTCCTGTTTCCACTGCAGTTGAAGCACTTCATTCCCACAGCCCAGGCCTCGATCTCCGTGCTCAGGTACTCCACTCCATTGAGCAGAATCCGAGTCTCGATAACGAGCGTTGTGGTTGTCAGCGTGATGGAGGTCGTGGAGAGAGTGGTGGAGCTGGTATGTGTCGCGGTACTGGATGTTGATGTGGATGAAATGGTCGTGGTGGATGTCTCTGTGACTGTTGTTGAGGTCGGTGGCAGCTTCACGGCCTCAGAGCTTCCCTTAAAAAAGCGAATGCACTTCATTGTTAGACCGAATGCTCTTCGGGCGTTTGGGCTCTTGGGGTTTGGTCTTTTGGCTGTTGGAATAGGATCTGCAGTTGAAATGCACTTTGTTGATTCAGACACATATTACAGCCGCACAAACGATGGGCCCGGCCTCGTTCTCAATTTGCGCCGAAACCACGATCCCTAGCCGCTGTGACATATCGCTGGACAGGGCGGCTGCATCAGGAGATGCCGCCGGAGGGTCCATAGGGTCAGCAGCCAGAAGCCTGGTAGAAACCAGCACCTCCTGCTGCGCAGCGCCCGTGATCTGCATGCGAGCCTCAGAAGTAACAAATCGCGCGCGCGCGCGCGCACGGCTCGTGGTCTAAAACACCTATAACGCCTTGCTTTCCAAGGACATCTGGAACCCCGCGCTGGGGCGCCAACCTCAACCCCACTTGCTGCCAGGCTCGTTTGAAGCAAGCTAGCATTCGCAAGTCTGGACTGCATGCTGCTCAAATCGGCGGCATTGTCAGTCAAGGCGTAGACTTGGAACAAGCTCTGCAGCCTTCGTTCGCTCCACGAGGCTGAGTCCGAGTCTGACAGGCGTCTGTTGGATCGCACCAAGACCTTGGAAAGATCGATCTTGGTGGCCGCAGATACTGCTTCTGACAGCTCCGCATCGCCTATTTGCACAGAAGCCCAGAGTAGGGCGTATGGAATCGCCACCCGATACTGCACAGAGTCCATGAGAACCTGTTGGCTGCTGAGCCCTGTGGTGCTAACTACGCTCTCCTGGTAAGCAGATGCCCTGAAATCCCACACGTCATCCATCACGAGGACTGCGTCGAACAAGGTGATTGGGACACCAGGTGTGTCAGTCCAACCATAGCGACAGTCCGCAGCAGTAGAGAAAGATAAATCCTGCTTGTCGAATGGGCAGCGGGGATCATAGGGAAAGCTGAGGCAATTTGGCATTGACATGCAGGTGTCATAGCTGTAAAAAGCTGCCGCAGATCCACTGAAGAGTGTGCTAGCAAGCCGGGTTTCACAATCACTAGACACATAGCACCACGCAAGCTGGCACCAGTTGTGTGTGGATGCACACCAATCTGCCCCATGAGGGCAAAACCCAGCCCAAGGAGTTCCAGGCATCTGATCCCATGCAGCACAGGCTGTTCCGTAGACGGAAATGTGAGTGAGGTTACTGTATAGTCCGGGATGCTCACTGGGATGCATCGTATAGACCTCTTCTGGCAGATGTGAACCATGAAAAAGGCACTGACATCCACTGCCCTTGTGTAGTGTGTACATCTGTGTCCCATACGGGTCGAAAGGGCACTTGCTTGCCTGGAAGTGGTTGTAGCAGTCTGGGGCATTCCCACAACTATCATAGCTAAAGAAAACGCCAGAGCCGTCCAAGACCCGACTCGGAATTCGTGTAGGGCAAGAACTATTGACGTAGCACCACGGCACCTGGCACCAATTCAGATCCCCAGAATAATCTGATGTAGACAGGCATGTTTCAGAATGTGGGGTTCCCGGAATGACATCCCAGGCGGCGCAGCTTGTCCCATACAGCGCCATGCTCGTCCGGTTCTGGTGCAGGCCTGGGTTATAAAGAAGGAACTGGTCATGCAAGTCCTCGGGAAGTGTCGAGCCCTGATATACGCAGTCACAAACATCGGACCATCCATTCGGGCAATCGGAGCCAGTCGCCCAATGAGCCACCGTCACGTCATATGGACACCCAGGTTCCAGGGGCAGATGGCAGTTCGGAGTGGAGAAGCATGTGTCGTAGCTGTAATACATGGTAGCCGAGCCGTTGAACACACTAGTCGGCAGTTTAGACTCGCAACTGTCGCCCACGTAGCACCATGGAAGCTGGCACCAGTTGTTGTCTGAGTGACACCAATCCGCATCGGCCGGACAATAGCTTGCCCACGGGGTTGCTGGCATCTGATCCCAGGCTGCGCAGCCGGTACCATAGATCTTGATGGCGAGCAGCGTGGCATACTTGCCCGGATCTTCAACAGGGTAGTTCAAGTAAGTCTCTGAAGGCAACTCTGTTCCATGGTAGAGGCACTCACACCCATGTCCTTTGTGCAAGGCATATGACAAGGCTCGCGAGGGATCAAAGGGGCATCGGCGGTCTCCGGTGAAGTCGTTGTAGCAATCAGGGGCGTTGCCACAGACGTCGTAGCTGTAGTAAAGTGTGGAGGAACCATCAAAGACAGAACTACGAATGCGCGACTTGCAACTCGCGCTAACATAACACCATGGCACTTGACACCAGTTGAAGGTTTCAGTGGACCAATCAGACCCAGGCGGGCAGAAGTGTGCCCAAGGCGTTCCAGGCACTTGGTCCCATGCAGCACAGCTTGTGCCATAAAATGAGATGCTCGACATGTTCATGTACTTGCCTGGCTCCTGCATTGGGTACTGCACGTATATATCTTCAGGCAACACATCACCTTGATGGAGACATTGGCAAACATCGCTCCATCCATCAGTGCACACCTGAGCAGTTGACCATCCTGCATCACTGGAGTCATACGGACATCTGGGATCGAATGGCTCGTCCCGACAATTTGGCGCGGACAAGCAGGTATCATAACTGTAGTATGCCACGTCTGAGCCTTGAAATATGGAGCTTGCGAGCTTCGTGCTGCAGTTGGCTCCAACAAAGCACCACGGAAGTTGACACCAGTTGTGTTCACTGCTGCACCAGTCCACACCAGCAGGGCAGTAGCTGGGAGTGTTTGGCATCTGATCCCAAGCGGCGCATGTAGTGCCGTAGACTGCGATATGCGGCATATTCTCATACTTTCCAGGCTCTCTGACAGGAAACCTTGTGTAGGCTTCAAACGGCAGCTCATAACCATGGTACTTGCACGCGCAGCTGCCACCTTTGTGTACCATGTAAGTGTTGCTGCCATAAGGGTCGTATGGGCATTTGGCACTGGTGCTGAAGTGGTTGTAACAATCAGGCGCGTTGCCACAGGCATCGTAGCTAAACCACAAGTCAGACCCCTCAAAGACACGAGTGGCGATCCTGGTCACGCAGCTCTCGCTGACATAGCACCATGGCAGTTGACACCAGCTCAGACCTGGGTTTCTGCTGGGGTCGCCCATAGCTTATCTTTCATATCTTTCATCACAACCTGAATATACCTGAATAGCCTGACGTAATGCGTCAATCTGGCACTCATGCTCTGGGTTGAAATCGGAGCTTTTAAGTAGCTTTAGGCGGCTAAGCTTTAGGCTTGCTCGTGCGTGTGGGATTTCAAAAAATGTCGGTAAGCAGCACGTCAACTCTCAAATACCTTTCCAACTGGCATAGGCCGAGGAACTTTCAGAGGACCAGTCGGCGCCTGGTGGGCAGAAGACGGATTGAGGAGTCTGAGGCACCACATCCCAGGCAGCACAGGACGTTCCGTAGATGGGGGTATTTTGCAGCGTGGCCCACCTCCCAGGTTCTAAGGATGGGAAGTTGTTGTAGATCGTAGCTGGAAGGCTGCCCCCTTGATACATGCACGCACACACATCTGACCAACTGTCCGGGCACTGCTCCGCGGTTGACCAGCCATTGTCAGTGGAGTCGAAGGGGCAGGCTGCATCATAAGGGACATTGCGGCAGTCTGGTGAGGAAAGACAGGTGTCATAGCTGTAGAACTGTGTGCCAGGCCCATCAAGCAATCTGCTCCGGATTTTCGTGGCGCATGAAGCAGCCACGAAGCACCATGGAAGCTGGCACCAGTTGCTCTCTGTGGAGCACCAGTCTGAGCCCGGAAGGCAGTAGTCACTCAGGGGACCAGCTGGCAAGGTGTCCCAGGACCCGCAGCTTGTCCCGTAGATTCGTATAAAACTCAAATTTGCATACTTGCCTGGCTCATTCATGGGGTACCTTTCAATTACATCAAGAGGCAGCATTTGTCCAGCATGAATACACTCACAGCCCTTGTCTTTGTGCAGGCGGTACATCTTCATGTGATAAGGGTCCCAAGGACAGCGATCTTCTGTGGTGAAGTGATTGTAGCAATCCGGAGCATTTCCGCAAGCATCATAGCTGTAGTACATAGTGGTGCCATTAAAGACACTGGTGGAGCGCCTGGTGACGCAATCCGAATCCACGTAGCACCAGGGTAGCTGGCACCAGTTGTACTCCGCACTTGACCAGTCAGAGCCCGGTGGGCACATGGGCGCAAATGGCGTGCCAGGAACTTGGTCCCATGCAGCGCAAGCAGTGCCATACGCAGCGATGTGGGGTAGGTCTGCATACCTTCCAGGGTCTTGAATCGGGTAGTTCATGTAAGTTGAAGCTGGCAAGACAGTGCCCTGGAATTTGCACTCGCAGATGTCCGACCACCCGTCACGACAATCAGCAGCCGTCGACCACGCGGAAAACTTCGCATCAAAAGGACAAGGCAAGTCATAGGGAATGGTGCGGCAGTCGGGGGTCGATAGGCAGGTGTCATAGCTGTGGAAAGCCACCTCGGAACCTGCAAAGACCGTACTAGCAACTCGACTCGAACAGTTGCCCCCAACATAACACCAAGGCAGCTGGCACCAGTTGCTGGCAGAACTGCACCAGTCACTACCCACAGGGCAGTATTCAAACCAGGGCGTCTCTGGCACCTGATCCCAGGCCGCGCAGCTTGTGCCATACAGCTTGATGTACGTAAGGTTCGCATACTTTCCTGGCTGTTCCAGCGGGTAGCTTTGGTACACATGCGATGGTAGCTCACTTCCATCATACAAACATTCGCAACCATAACCCTTGTGCAGGGTGTACAGGCCGGTTCCAGCCGGATCGTACGGGCACCGCTCGTCTGTCGCAAAGTCGGCATAGCAGTTCGGCGTGTTCCCACACGTGTCATAGCTGTACCATGCAGTCCGGGAGCCATTGAACACAGCAGAGAAGTGGCGCGTCGGGCACGTGCTGCCGACATAGCACCACGGAAGATTGCACCAGTTATAAGCAGAGCTCTTCCAATCGGACCCTAGGGGGCAAAAGCTTGCAAATGGAGTCTCTGGCATCTTGTCCCAGGTCGCACAGCTTGTGCCGTACACAGCCACGTTGGCCAAGTGGGCATACCTTCCAGGATCTTGCCGAGGGAAATTAAGGTAAAGTGGCTCTGGCAGGGTTGAACCTTGATAGATGCAAGCACAAACATCAGACCATCCATCGGTGCAGGCTGCTGGAGTGGACCAACCAAAATGAGTCATGTCGAAGGGGCAAGACTCATCAAATGGAGAATCTTCATAGCACTGTGGTGTGGAGAGGCAGGTGTCATAGCTGAAAAAAGTCATAGCTCCTTCGAAGACTTTGCCAGCCATGCGAGTTGAACACTTTTCTCCCACATAGCACCAGGGTAACTGGCACCAGTTATTCTGCGAAAGGCACCAATCTGCCTCCTGTGGGCAATACTGAGCCCACGGTGTGCCAGGGATCTGGTCCCACGCCGCGCAGGACGTGCCATAGACTCTGACGTGCGGCATGCCTGCAAACTTTCCGGGATCTAAGCTCGGGAAGTCCTGCCACAAAGCGGGAGGCAACTCCCTGCCATGGTAGAGGCATTCACAGTCCATACTTTTGTGCAGAACAAATGTCTGACTTCCGTAAGGGTCGTACGGGCATCGTGGGTCAGTATCGAACTGGTTGTAGCAGTCAGGTGCATTGCCACACGAATCATAGCTGAAGAACGTCGTGTTAGAGCCATTGAAGACTAAACTTGGTCTCCTCGAAGCACAGCTGGAGCTCACGTAACACCAGGGAAGCTGGCACCAGTTGAACTGGGAATCCATCCACTGTGAGCCTGGCGGACACCACTCGGCCACGGGGGTGCCCGGAATTTGATCCCAAGCAGCACACGAAGTGCCATAGACGGCTATGTTTGGTAGATTGCGGTACTTTCCAGGCTCCTCGACTGGATAGTTGGCATACAGGTCTGGCGGCAAGGTAGTTCCTTGAAATACACACTCACACACATCAGACCATCTGTCTGGACAATCTTGTGGTGTCGACCAGTCATTGTCCATACGGTCAAACGGGCAAGCCAAGTCGAATGGGAAGCTGCGGCAGTCGGGGGTCGATAGGCAGGTGTCATAGCTGTGGAAAGCCGCCTCGGAACCTGCAAAGACTGTACTAGCGACTCTACTCGCACAGTTGCCACCAACGTAACACCAAGGCAGCTGACACCAGTTGCTGGCAGAACTGCACCAGTCGCTACCCACAGGGCAGTATTCAAACCAGGGCGTCTCTGGCACCTGATCCCAGGCCGCGCAGCTTGTGCCATACAGCTTGACGTACGTAAGGTTCGCATACTTTCCTGGCTGTTCCATCGGGTAGCTTTGGTAGACATGCGATGGTAGCTCTCCTCCGTGATACAAGCATTCGCACCCCTCACCCTTGTGCAGTGTGTAGGATTTCGTGCCATGCGGATCGTATGGACACCGGGCATCGGCTACATAGTTGCTGTCGCAATCTGGGGTCTTGCCACAGATTTCGTAGCTGAAATACGCCGTGGAACCATTGAAGACGCGGCTGGGAATCTTGTAGACACATTCTTTGCTCACGTAGCACCAGGGCAGCTGGCACCAGTTAGTGTCAGAGTTCGACCAGTTAGAGTGGGGTGGGCAATGTGTAGCCATTGGTGTGCCGGGCATGTAGTCCCACGCAGCACAAGACGTTCCATACACGCCGATGTTGGGAAGGCGGGAGAATGTGCCTGGTGCCTGGCAGGGACGATGCTCGTCTCAACTGCATGTGCGTCCCAGGCACACTGGCATCTGACAAGTGTTCAAAAACAACATTGTCCAAGATTTGAGCTCGAACATCTGCTAAAAGCAGATATTCAAAGCAACTACGTCCGCTGTTGCAACGTTCCCACCTCAAGCGGATAGCTGGTGTAGAGCTCTTCTGGCAGCAAGGTTCCCTGGTACTCACACCGGCACCTCGGTCAGCACTAGCCACTCACTCGTTCTGCTCAGGATGCCCGGGGTTCTCCAAGGTTCTCGGAGCTTCAGGAAAAGCAGCTTAAGTGCAGTTTAGCAACACATCCTTCCACCTTAGCTTCGGGCGCAGGCAAGGTGCAGCAACAGCCCGAGAGGAAGTGCAAGCGTCACAAGCACACGGATTGTGCTGCCAGGACGCCCATCGAAACGCACCTCATTGTTGTAGTCCTCGCAATCACTCGCCGTTGACCAGGCTGTATCTTTGCGGTCGAACGGGCACCGATCATCAAAAGGGTCAGTGTAGCCTGACCCAGGATCACCCCAGCGCCATGCACTCGTCCGCTCTTGAAAATGCAAAGCAGAAGCCAAGACATCGTGGCGATGGTTCAGTGCAGCCCAGCAGCAATCTGGTGTGGACAAGCAGGTGTCGTAGCTGTAATACATCTCAAGAAAACCATCAAACAGGCCTTTCGTGTCAGGCGTCACTTCTGCGAAATGAATCCTTCTACACGCTGCGAACGCAGCCTTAGTCACAGCTCGCTATCTATGTAGCCGTCTCGTGCCAGCATCTGCACCAGCACAAATAACGCTATCGCAACTCCATCTTGCATTCAGAACACTTGTCCGAAGCTTGCTGGAGCAGTCCGAAGACACGTAGCCTGACTGCTGCGACTAGCTCGCACGGTAAGTGTCTCAATCCGAAAGTCAAGACCGATCCAAGATGCACAATGAGGGAAATGGGAAAAAAGTCGGGGCTCTCTCACAGCTTCGCACGGTGCCGGGCAACACCAAGGCAGTTGGCACCAGTTGTAGCTGGAGAGGCACCAGTCCTGGGCTCCAGAAGGGCTTGGGGTTGTTCGTATGTACTAGAGTATTGAATGCACATGCACACACGGTATGATTTTGGCTATATATATATATGCATATATGTATATGTATTTCTATGTATATTATAATATATATATATATATATTTTTTTTATTAGGTTACATTATGTACATAAATGTTTGGATTGACCGCTACAGGTAGCGAGTCGCTGCTCTGCTCGCTGGCTGTTTCAGGAAAGTTGCAGCGTCGGGAGGACAGTGGTTCGCCAACGGCGTTTCTGGCATCTGGTCCCATGCAGCACACGTTGTGCCATAGATTCCAATTGCTGTCCTTAGCTTTTGCTGCGCACGTAGCATCAGGGATGGCTACGCGGCTGGGCGAAGGAACGCGGAGCTCTTCAGTCCATGAAGCCGCAAGCAGCCGCTTGCGACGAATTCTTCAGAACCAAGGGTCCCAGAAATTAAACCTACATAGTAGCCCTAAGGTCCAAGACTTTAAACTGCAGCTGCGCGTCAAGTTGGCATATCGTCCTACGAGCACAGAAAGTTGGCATTGAACGCCGCTTACATCGTGCAAGCCAGCATCTGTGTCTCGTTTGTCTCCGCTCGTTCCCGCCAAGGGGCCACGCTGGCTAAGTGGGAAATTCTGGTAGACGTAGCTCGGAAGCCTTGGAGTTTTTGAGGGGTTCGATTGACGATTGATGCTGAGTGGACGTGAGCGGTGTTCGATTAGCTCAGAGCAGCAGATTCCCTTGGTAGATGCATTCGCACCCGTTGCCTTTGTGAATCTTGTAGGACCTCGAAGAACACTCAGCATATCTCAGCATGATGAGCACCCAGTGCAGTCAAGAAGAACCTGCCGGACCTGCCGCTCTTGCAACCCTGAGCGCCGGGACAGTGTGCTGTAAGGATCATAAGGACAGCGAGGGCTCTCGAAGTCGTGGTAGCAGTCCGGTGCATTCCCGCATGCATCATAACCTCCATCCAAGTTGGGTTCAAGAATGCTGCAGGTGGAAGCCAGCTTGACTCAGCAACGCCCCGTTCTTATCTGCGTCTGGGCGTCTGAAATATGTGGTGCTTGACCCGGCGAAGAGCTGCGTCTTTAGTCTGGTTGGGCACGCTGGGCCAACCTCAGTGCATGTTTGATCGTGTTCAGTGCACCTAGTTGCCGAGTTGCCTCAGCAATGGAATCTGGACGGCTCGACTTCGCCTCAAGATTGGATCCAAGGCACATAGCACCAAGGCAGCTGGCACCAGTTGTACTCCTGCTCGCTCCAATTCGATCCAGGCTTGCAGTGGGCGTACAACGGCGTATGTGGCACCTCACGAGGGAAGCTGACAGGCTGCCTCTTGAACAAACTTAAACTCGTTCAAGTCCGGTCGGGTCAGGGGGCCTGATCCCAAGCTGCGCATGTGGTGCCATATGCTGCCTCAGAAGCTGCAAGAGAATCTCTACAGTGGTCAAGCCAACGTCGATTACCCTGCGCTAACTGAAGCAAATCCTGTAGGGCAATTCATCCAAGTTTCAATGTTACGGTAGTCCTTGAACTTGCCCGGAAATGCCGAGGGGAAATTCCTGACGAGTTCCGAAGGAAGCCTGTTGCCCTGGTATATGCAATCGCAAACGTCGGACCAATCATAGGGACACTGTGCAGGAGTGCTCCAGCTGCTCTGGGTCCAATCAAAAGGGCAATCATCTTCATATGGCACTGAGAAGCAATCTGGACTCGAAAGGCATGTGTCATAGCTGAGAAAAGCCACCGCTGACCCATCGAACACCCTGCTGACCACCCGACTCTCACATCTCTCACTAACGAAGCACCAAGGTAGCTGGCACCAGTTGTAGTCGCTGTGGCACCAGTCCGCATTGCGCGGGCAGTACTGGGCCCATGGAGTCTCAGGCATCTGATCCCATGCAGCACAAGTAGTGCCATAGATGCTGATGTGGCTCAGGTTTGCATATTTTCCCGGCTCATTGCTAGGATAAGACAGGTATACATCAGTAGGAAGAGCTGCCCCATGGAACAGGCACTCGCAGCCATCAGCCTTGTGAACCTTGTAGCTTTTGCTGCCATACGGATCATATGGGCACCGGTGATCTTGCGCGAAATCATGGTAGCAGTCTGGTGCATTGCCGCATGAGTCGTAACTGTAGTATGCCATGGAGCCATTGAACACTCGAGTTGGGATCCTCGAGGCACAGGTGCTGTTGACGTAGCACCATGGAAGTTGGCACCAGTTGAATTCAGGCTTCGACCAGTCAGAACCCGGAGCACATCCGCTGGAAAGGGGTGTTCCTGGCACCTGATCCCACGCAGCGCAGCTTGTGCCATACACCCCGATGTTGGGCATATGCGCATACATACCAGGATTTTGCATGGGAAACTGCATGAACAAAGCCTGCGGCAGCATGGTGCCTTGGTACTGGCACTCGCATACATCGGACCAGCTGTTTGGACAGTCTTCTGCCGTCGACCAGCTGGTGTCTCCGGAATCGAAGGGACAGGAAGCATCGAACGGTGATGCACGGCAGTCTGGTGCGGACAGGCATGTCTCATAGCTGAAGAATGTGGTGGACGCAGCGTTCAATACAGTACTCGTCAATCGACTGGGACATGCCTCAGAAACGTAGCACCATGGCAGCTGGCACCAGTTGTAGTGGCTGTGGCACCAGTCCGCATTGCGCGGGCAGTACTGGGCCCATGGAGTCTCAGGCATCTGATCCCATGCAGCACAAGTTGTGCCATAGATGCTGATGTGGCTCAGGTTTGCATATTTTCCCGGCTCATTGCTAGGATAAGACAGGTATACATCAGTAGGAAGAGCTGCCCCATGGAACAGGCACTCGCAGCCATCAGCCTTGTGAACCTTGTAGCTTTTGCTGCCATACGGATCATATGGGCACCGGTGATCTTGCGCGAAATCATGGTAGCAGTCTGGTGCACTGCCGCATGAGTCGTAACTGTAGTATGCCATGGAGCCATTGAACACTCGAGTTGGGATCCTCGAGGCACACGTGCTGTTGACGTAGCACCATGGAAGTTGGCACCAGTTGAATTCAGGCTTCGACCAGTCAGAACCCGGAGCACATCCGCTGGAAAGGGGTGTTCCTGGCACCTGATCCCACGCAGCGCAGCTTGTGCCATACACCCCGATGTTGGGCATATGCGCATACATACCAGGATTTTGCATGGGAAACTGCATGAACAAAGCCTGCGGCAGCATGGTGCCTTGGTACTGGCACTCGCATACATCGGACCAGCTGTTTGGACAGTCTTCTGCAGTTGGCCAATTGGTATCTCTAGAATCGAACGGACACGAAGCATCAAACGGCATTGTGCGGCAGTTGGGCGTGTCCGAACAGGTGTCGTAGCTGTAGAAGGCAGTGGAGGCATCATCGAACACAGTACTGCGCAGTCGGCTGGGACATGCCTCAGAAACGTAGCACCATGGCAGCTGGCACCAGTTGTAGTGGCTGTGGCACCAGTCCGCATTGCGCGGGCAGTACTGGGCCCATGGAGTCTCAGGCATCTGATCCCATGCAGCGCAAGTAGTGCCATAGATGCTGATGCGGCTCAGGTTTGCATATTTGCCCGCCTCAGTTATCGGATGCAGGCTGTATGTGGTGTGCCACAGAAGTGAGCCATGAAACAAGCAGTCGCACTCGCCATTCTTGTGAATCTTGTAAGTCTTACCACTGTACGGATCATAAGGACATCGATGATCACGGTGGAAATAGCTGTAACAGTCTGGCGCGTTGCCGCAGGCATCATAGCTGTAGTATGCCATGGAGCCATTGAAGACCCGAGTGGGAATCCGTGAGGGGCAATGCGGGCTGACGTAGCACCAAGGAAGCTGGCACCAGTTGAATTCAGGACTCGACCAGTCAGATCCCGGAGCACATCTGCCTGAAAGAGGCGTCCCTGGCACCTGATCCCAGGCAGCGCAGCTTGTGCCATACACTGCGATGTTAGGCATGCCGATGAACTTCCCTGGCTCTCCTGCGGGAAAGTGCGTAAACCAAGCCTGTGGCAGCATGGAGCCTTGGTACTGACATTCACAGGAATCGGACCAGCTTTCGGTACACTCCCTCGCAGTTGGCCAATTGGTGTCTCTAGAATCGAACGGACACGAAGCATCAAAGGGCATTGCGCGGCAGTTTGGGGTGTCCAGGCAGGTATCATAGCTGTAGAAAGAAACAGATACATTGTCGAATATAGTGCTGTTCAGCTTTGATTCACAGGACTCAGAGACATAGCACCATGGCAGCTGGCACCAGTTGTGCTCGCTGTGGCACCAGTCTGCATGGCGCGGGCAGTACTGGGCCCATGGGCTCTCAGGCATCTGATCCCAGGCAGCGCAGGTGGTCCCATAGATGCGGGCATAAGATACATTACCAAACACTTCGGAAGTGTCCGAGTCATCCATTGTGTCCAGGGCGAAGACCTCATCAGGAAGCTCCTGGCCATGGAACAGGCACTCGCAGCCATCAGCCTTGTGAACCTTGTAGCTTTTGCTGCCATACGGATCATATGGGCACCGGTGATCTTGCGCGAAATCATGGTAACAATCTGGTGCGTTGCCGCATGTGTCGTAGCTGTAGTATGCCATGGAGCCATTGAACACTCGAGTTGGGATCCTCGAGGCACACGTGCTGTTGACGTAGCACCATGGAAGTTGGCACCAGTTGAATTCAGGCTTCGACCAGTCAGAACCCGGAGCACATCCGCTGGAAAGGGGTGTTCCAGGCACCTGATCCCAGGCAGCGCAGCTTGTGCCATACACCCCGATGTTGGGCATGTGCGCATACATACCAGGATCTTGCATGGGAAACTGAGTGACCAAAGCGTGCGGCAGCATGGTGCCCTGGTACTGACACTCGCATACATCGGACCAGCTGTTTGGACAGTCTTCTGCAGTTGGCCAATTGGTATCTCTAGAATCGAACGGACACGAAGCATCAAACGGCATTGTGCGGCAGTCCGGCGCAGCCAGGCAAGTGTCGTAGCTGTAGTATGCAGCCGCCGATCCCCCGAAACCCTCCATTGCCAGTCTGCTCGAACAGCCTTCCCCGACGAAGCACCATGGAAGTTGACACCAGTTGAACTGCGAGTGGCACCAGTCAGCGTTGTTGGTGCAATATGATGCTCCCGGAGTCTCCGGCATCTGGTCCCATGCAGCGCAAGTAGTGCCATAGACGCTGATGTAGGTCAAGTTCGCATACATGCCCGGATGGTCATTCGGATACTGCAGATACAGTTCCCATGGCAACTCGGCACCTTGAAAAGTGCATTCACATCCTTGACCCTTGTGCACAGCGAATGTGCCATCGCCACTTGGGTCATAAGGACAACGAGGATCACCAGCAAAGTTGTTGTAGCAGTCTGGCGCATTTCCGCACGCATCATAGCTGTAGTGCATCACGGTGGAACCATTAAACACTGTCGACGCAACAGCAGATGCACATCCTGGGCTCACATAGCACCATGGGACGTGGCACCAGTTGTTTTCTACAGTAGACCAGTCAGATCCCATAGCACACATGCTGGCCATTGGCGTGGAAGGAACAGAGTCCCATGCGGCACAAGAAGTGCCGTAAATGGCAATGTTGGCTAGCTTCGCATACTTGCCAGGTTCGTCGAGAGGATAGTTCAGGTACATTTCTGGTGGCAGTGTCGTCCCCTGATATGTGCACTGACAAGTGTCTGACCAACCAAGCGGGCAATCTGCGGCTGTTGCCCAGTGTAGATCTGAAGCATCGAAGGGACACGAAGCATCAAACGGCATTGTGCGGCAGTCCGGCGCAGACAGGCAAGTGTCGTAGCTGTAGTATGCAGCCGCCGATCCCCCGAAACCCTCCATTGCCAGTCTGCTCGAACAGCCTTCCCCGACGAAGCACCATGGAAGTTGACACCAGTTGAACTGCGAGTGGCACCAGTCAGCGTTGTTGGTGCAATATGATGCTCCCGGAGTCTCCGGCATCTGGTCCCATGCAGCGCAAGTAGTGCCATAGACGCTGATGTAGGTCAAGTTCGCATACATGCCCGGATGGTCATTCGGATACTGCAGATACAGTTCCCATGGCAACTCGGCACCTTGAAAAGTGCATTCACATCCTTGACCCTTGTGCACAGCGAATGTGCCATCGCCACTTGGGTCATAAGGACAACGAGGATCACCAGCAAAGTTGTTGTAGCAGTCTGGCGCATTTCCGCACGCATCATAGCTGTAGTGCATCACGGTGGAACCATTAAACACTGTCGACGCAACAGCAGATGCACATCCTGGGCTCACATAGCACCATGGGACGTGGCACCAGTTGTTTTCTACAGTAGACCAGTCAGATCCCATAGCACACATGCTGGCCATTGGCGTGGAAGGAACAGAGTCCCATGCGGCACAAGAAGTGCCGTAAATGGCAATGTTGGCTAGCTTCGCATACTTGCCAGGTTCGTCGAGAGGATAGTTCAGGTACATTTCTGGTGGCAGTGTCGTCCCCTGATATGTGCACTGACAAGTGTCTGACCAACCAAGCGGGCAATCTGCGGCTGTTGCCCAGTGTAGATCTGAAGCATCGAAGGGACACGAAGCATCAAACGGCATTGTGCGGCAGTCCGGCGCAGACAGGCAAGTGTCGTAGCTGTAGTATGCAGCCGCCGATCCCCCGAAACCCTCCATTGCCAGTCTGCTCGAACAGCCTTCCCCGACGAAGCACCATGGAAGTTGACACCAGTTGAACTGCGAGTGGCACCAGTCAGCGTTGTTGGTGCAATATGATGCTCCCGGAGTCTCCGGCATCTGGTCCCATGCTGCGCAAGTAGTGCCATAGACGCTGATGTAGGTCAAGTTCCTCGGTGGCTAGCAAAGAACGGCTTAAAGCAACCAAAACCAGCGAAAAGGGCCTGCAAACACAGCAGCTTTTGCTTTGCATGACTATGCCGTAAATTGAGTGTCGTATAGAGCCCAGGATGGTTCAAAGGGTACCCGGTGTACACGCTCTCTGGCAGAGTTGCGCCATGGTATAAACATTCGCAACCATCTCCTTTGTGCACGGCGAAGGATTCTGTGCCTGTGGGATCGTACGGGCAGCGTGGGTCATCGAAGTGGTTGTAGCAATCTGGTGCCCGACCACATGCATCATAGCTGTAGTGCATATCTGATCCATTGAACAAGCTTGATGACATTCCGCTACCGCAATCGCTGTCCACATAGCACCTCGGTCGAACTTCCTTCAAGCGCCACGGCTGTAAAGCTTGTGAGATACTGCGGGTTTTGACTGCAGACGGGCTGCCAAGGTAGCTGGCACCAGCTATACACAGGGCTTGACCAGTTTGTGCCCACCGAACAGTTGCCTGGAGTGTCAAACAAGCACCCGCAAGTTCTGTGACAGGTCAGAATTGCTACGGCCGAGCAGCCATAGTGGGGCGTGCCCGGAACAAAATCCCAGGCAGCGCAGCTTGTGCCATAGATGCCGATGTTTGGCAGGTCTTCATACCTTGTCGGTTTGCATCAATTCCGCTGCTTGCGTCTGCACAGTCCATGAAGCTGAGCCGCATTCCCGGATTCTCGTCAGGAAATTGTGAGATCACATCATATGGGAGCACCCGGCCCTGATACACGCACGAACCTCGGTGCAGGCTGTTTTCCATCTCTGTGACATAAGAGCCCTGAGTCCTTAGGCCAGGCACAGAGATCCTCCACCACGAAGCCCGCGACACGCTCTCGGCCATAAGCCTCAGCCCAATACAAGAATACACTTTCTTCAAAGAGAGGTTGGTGGCAGGAGGGACAAGTACTGCCCGACATCACCCGTCTCAGCCCTGAAGGCCAGGCCATCAGAACTCATCAATCCTTTTCGATGCTCACACTTTGGCTTGGCAAGCTACGTCAGATTTCTTAGCTGTTAGCCAAATTCTAGAATTTGAGCAGGTTCTGTCAACTTGTTTCTCATCTCACTACACGGCATCTGCCTAAAAAAACAAGCTGCGACAAGCCCACCCAACAAACACCACGCAGATCCTTTTAAGAGGACTACGAACTTATGTCGCTCTTATATCGCTGCAGCTTAAGCTAACACCGCCGGATGCCAAACGCGAAAGTGCACGTCTTAAGGGAAAGAGCCCGTCTCATTCTCGGCCAGAGATCACACACACACACCTCTTCGAAGAGGTTTTGGGTTTGCAAGCTGTTCGTGCTAAGCAGGCCTTGCCCAATCAATTAGTTAAGGCTTGATCGAATACAGAAGCTTGCCTACCTCCCCATCCCCCAGCCTGCCATCCAAGAAAACGACTTGAGTTTGTAGAGATAAGCAGCCTTCTGGGTCTCCAGTGTCAAGCTCCATGTGTTTGGTTCCGGAGATGTTCGAGGGGCTTTGACCTGGAATTGAAAGGCGAAGCCAGAGGAGCTATTCGCATCGCCTGTGGTGTCGAAGTGCAAATAGTATCGAAGTTGCCGGGGGTCAAAGCCTTCCTCGCAAGAGATGTCAGATGCCGCCAGGAACATGTTGCCGCTGCAATCGGGAAATTGCGTTACGTTGGCTTCATATCCACAGGAGCCGCCAGTGCTTCGAAAGCCTTCTGGCATATACATGCGTAGAGACGGTCGCTCGAGGATCTCCTCTTCAACTTCGAAGCTCAGGCAAACGTCAGTGGTCAATATGTCCCTGGTGGTAGCGAAAAGCGCCGCCCGGAGGAATGGTGCGGTGGTCGTAGTTGTAGAGGAGATGAGGACAAAGCCCAGGATGGTCTCTGAGTTGATTGGGGAAAGTCCTCAGTAGCGGCAGCTTTGGAAGACGTTTTGGTGAAGTGTTGTGAGACGTCAGAAAGAAACATGTTGGTGCTTCTGACACACAGCAGCAGCATGTACGACACTGCCTGCCAGGAGACCGTTGTCAATGAAGTGAAATGTCCACTCATTATCCTGTGCTGAAGCACGCGTTCACCCACGAACAGCAGCAAATGGAACTTGAGCTGCCATGGTGCAACAAGGTGCAAATGCCCAAGCATACTCAATGCACACAAGCTGCCGCAGATGGGAGTGGCTGAACCGAAGCGACGTACAACACAAACGCATAGTCCCAAGTGTCCCTGAGACGACCGGTGATGAACCTCGGACATTGACAAACAAAAATCTCCGCAAGGATTATGTCGCAAAGGTCAGGACATGAAAAGGCAGTTCTGCTGGGCAGCTCGAACCAGCAACCGGTTTCGTTCTTTCGTAGAGCTGCTTGAGTTCCGGCAGGTAGACATCGCGTTTCTGGCGCAGTTCGGCTTCTTGCCGGAAGATGACATGGTGGCTGAGCATCAGTTGTGGCAGTCATGCAGCTACACAGCAAGGGCTGCCACCGCCGATTGGTGCCGACGTGGTTCTGTCTTGTTGTCTCTTGTTGGTCTCGTTTGCTTTCTTGCAGCTTGCTTTTGTCCCCCCTGTCCCTCTCAGCTCCTGTCAACTGCATCTTCTGCTTCCTCTCCACTTCGGTCTTTCTCACTTACGTTCTTACTCTCCCTCCCTGCCTCCCTCCCTCCCTCCCTCCCTTCCTTCCTTCTTCCTCTCGTCTGTCTGTCGTCACACTTCCCGCCTACGAGCTCAGGGAACAGCACAACGTCCATACACCTCCGCGCGTCAAGGATGCAAGATGCGTGGATCGTCGGAGTGTGCTTCTTGGTGCTCTGAGGCAGCGACTCTTGGAAGCTGGCGCTGGGATTGTCAACGGCCTCGGGTAAACAAAACGTCCACATTGGGCCATGTTTTGCATCTTGCTATCTGACATGGTTCTTTGATGCTCTGTGACTCAGCGATGTACCCAGTTCGGTGGGCACCGGCCTGGAGGGAGATGCACCTGAGGGCATCATTGGTCGACGTTGCTCGAGAATGCTTTGTCACTGCTTCCCGCCGCTGCCTTCATCAAGCAAACGGATTCACCCCAAACGCCGCTGCCGACCCAGTTGTAGCCACCACAGTCTACTCTCGTCTTGAACTCCACTGCGACTGCATAGTCCTTGTCCTTCAATCGGACGGCTTTGTCCGCCCGAACCTGAGTCTCACTCATCCATGCTGCTGCACAGGGGGGGGGGGTGCGGGAGCGGCGCTGATGGAGCACACGTGTCGAACAATCCCGAGCCGGCAACGTACTGGAGGGTGGGAGTGATTGGTGGCTGGGCAAGCACCTCGAACCCGGACACGTCATCTTGTTGGTGCGTGAGGCGTTGCTGGAATGCTCCGCCTGTATGCTGCCAGGGATGTCACAAACATATTGTGAGGAGAATGGACTGTCATGCAGGACCTTGTCCTCCCATTCCGCATACCTATGTCTCATCATGTCTCTATGGCAGCTACAATCTTAGAGTGCCGGTGCTGCCTTGCACATCGATGCTCCACAGCTGCACGACCCAGTTGTTGTCCAAAGGTGTCTGGGATGGGTTGATCAATGAGAACCTTGGACGCTCGTGGCCTTTAGATGCCAGTGTCCCCTTATTGTCCCACCACTCCTTGTGCATCTGCCCCGCTACAGTCGAAACAGGATCCAAGCTGCTGGAATGCATACGAGGTGAAGTCCAGCAAGATGCTGGGGGGCAGGATGAGTATGAATTGAGTCTGCATCGAGGTCTGGTTGAACCTCATGGAATTGTGGACCCCCCAGAAGTCAGGGACTCAAGTGTCATACCAGCGAAGCTAACTATGGACAATCATATTGGATCATATCATCACAGGCACTGCGCCGTGCATGTGGTCAAGGGATCCAGGCCGTGCTCAGCACCTGCGAGTCCACAGAGAACAACGCTAGGCAAAGCGAAGAACGAAGGGGTGACTCCCTCTGGCAGTCACTCTCTGCACCACCTGTCAAGAAAGCAAAGAGCGCGGGCTGTGCGAGCTTCATCTTTCCATTTCCTCAGCACGCAGGAAGCCTTCAGGCAGCAACCGAATCTGCATGGCTTCGGGCTTGACTTCAGTGTAAGCCCGTTTCACGCATGCAATGCATTCATATATTGAAAGCGGTGCTTCACACAAGGACTGTCACCAAGATTCCGCGCTGGAAAGCTCTGCCGCAGAATTCTGTTTCTGCCAGAAAACCAGGAGGCGGATAGATGTGAAGTTCGCAGCCATACGGTGATAGGCATGCTCGGCTTCGCAATCTGAAAGCAGCACAGATGTCGGTAATCGACCCTGCGTCGACCGAGCTGGGAAAGAAAGCGGCTGCTTCAAACAGCTCGGCGACTTCCGAGGGACCAGATGACGCATTGCTCACGTTCGTGGGTGGCTCTAAAGTGTAGCCATCCACGATCTGATTGTGTACCATGCGCCCCGCACGATCAATTGTGACGAACTGCCATCTGTTTGGGTTCTCAGGCTCCATTGGGATTGAAACGTTGCTGTCGTTCTCGGTCTCATTGCTCATGTTGGTCATATTCGTCTCATTCGTCTCATTCGTCACGTTTTCCACTTCTGGCGGTGGCACCGGAAAGTACTTGGCCGCCTTGGAGGCCCTTGGATTCCGCAAATCGAATTGAAAAGCATAAAGGACGCTGGATACCAGCCACGCTCCTCCCAGATCCTGAGTCAGAGTTGTGCTCGGCACACACTCAGCCACAGCACTTGCAACTAGCGGCCAGGTCGCGATTTTCAAGTGGGCCCTGCCCTCAGCATTCGAAGCAGGCATCGCCTCTGATCCTGCATGGCAAGCAAAATCAAGATCACGACCAGCCGGAAATAGACATGAACAAGCCAGGCCTGAAGGCAGCGCATTCACGTCTTCCGTGTTGTTTGTAAGGAGGGCCAGTGGGAAGAGGACAGGATCTGCTGAGATGTAGAATGGTCTGTGGTAGCGGTCATATCCTGCCGACATGGCGCGCGACAAGCCTCTCGGCAGTTCGCTCACCGTGCCTATTGGCTCTTACTGCATCGGTCCTTCATCCGGATCTGGGAGCTCGAAATCAGGAGGCAAATGCAAATGGATTTCGCCCCCGTGGAGGTCAGACGATAACCGGAATAGTATGCAAATTGGACCAAGTTCGTAAGGTTGTAGCACCTGAGATGCCGAGCTTTCGCTCCAGCCCTCCAAGTTTCTTTCTCTCTGCATGTGCAGATAACAAATCCGTCAGTGTGGTTTTAGTTGCACAGGGCACGCTAGGGAAGAGTTGCAATAGCGTCAAATTTGCCAACATTGTAGTAGTCGAAGTTGTGGGCACATCCGACGCATTGGCAAGTGCGTCAAAGATCCTCCCGAGGGCCCGCATTGATCCATGTGTTAGAGCTACTTCGTGCGAGCCTCTGGCACACTCACTTGGGCTTACATGGCTGAGGACCGCGACCTCCAGAGTCCACCCTCAGAAGCAGCGAGGCCCCAAACAGGCGTGCCCACGACCTTGGCACATCCGCGAGGCGCGCGCCCTCAGTACAAAGGATCCAGATTGCTCGGAGCCACTGCGCCCGCTGCATCGGCTTCGAGATGAAGTTGGAATGCGTAGCCTGAGCTCATAAGCATGACTATTCATGCCAAAGAGATTGAGCAGCGCCGTCACAGTCAGCGCATCCTGCGGCCGTTGACCCAAGGTGCTCTTTTCCTGTCTGCTTAGATTACACAGCCCCGCATGCTCACGTGATCCCACGTGCCACCCTCGTACGACCCATGTACGGCTAACGAAGACCAAGCCACGCTCGCTGAGCAGCCTCAAGGCAACAAAGCAACTGTAACAAACGAGTCCGCTAGGTTCTCCCTTCGCACTCTACGTTGCAACTCCACGTGCTCGCCACGCGGGACAGTCCATGCTTTGGCTTCCGAGAATGTGCAGTGTACAGGTTAGGAAGCGCACTTGAAGGCACCACTTGAAGGCGCAATGCGATCAAGAGGCCCTGGAACATCTAGAATGAATTGGCATGTCTCCTGAAGCAGATCGAAGGGAAAAACATGGGCTACTGGCGCATCTGAAGCTCGACAGCCTCTGACATGAACATGCAAAGCCCGAAGAGTTGTCAAGAGCATCAAGCGCGAGTTGCAGAAACTTCCGGCCTGCGTTTTGATGCTGCAGTCCATGAGCTCCGAGTTGTCGCCGGAAGTGATCAAAGGACCATCCAACCACAGAAAGCAATCGGCCATAGGCTGCCTGACCGAGAAGCCGTGGCAGCCATCTCCTGAGTTGCAAACTTGAACCTTGTGGCCTGTAATGATTGTACTGCCCCTAAGCACGCCCGGTACACCTGGCAGTGACAACCGTGGCAAACTGTGATAACCACATTAATTGTTGCGTGCCCTCTCCCGACGGTGCTCAGCAAAGGGTCTTTGACTGCACATCATCTCACAGTGTGGACCAGAAGCCGGGAAATACAGGAACTCGCCATGGGTCCCGTCGTTGGTTACGCAACTCATATTGTGCCTGGCGTACATCACCTCCTGGCATGCGCGCTGCACATACTTTTGTCCACTTCCGCTCCACCTCTTCACAGAGAAACAACCAACGCTTCTGCAGGGCACCTTCTTGTGATGGGCCCGTGTGCCAACGGGTAAGCAGGACATGTTGCCAGCCGATGCTGCCTGGTGGCAAGCCAAGCAAACGTGGGGACTGCCCTGCGGCCTTGCGGCCTGCACTTGTTTCGGCCGAAAGGCATCGCTTGCACTCAGGCCAAAAAGTGTCCAGTCAGGACAAGCACCTCAGACCATGACTCATTGCAGCATCATTGGCATCGAATCATTACATGCATCCGCGCCCTGAGACCACCAAGAGGCTGTAGGACATTGTGGCCGATAAGCCAAATGCGGCTCCCGCGCCGCAGATGCCTACACGCACAATTGTCGGTGGAACTGTGAAAAAGTCCAACGTAGCCCAGCACGCTTTGCACAGTTTTACATCCACAATCCTCGAAAGAACCGACACAAAGGCATCGGGACTGTTTGAGGTATGTATAGGGGCTATAGTAAGGGAACAAGATGAAGGGTCCCTTCTCGGGGTCCCTCTTTCTAGCCCGTAAAAGAAGCTTGCTATCCGAGGATCCTGTTGGCAACTGCACGAGGAGCTGGCACGGCAACGGGCCGAAAAGGTTCGAAGCATACCACTCGCCACCACAGCTGGGAATCTCCAGCCTTGACAGGAAGTCAACAAGTCCCAGTTCGCCCAGGTTCCTCTTGAACAGCTCTGGTGAATGTGCTACTCTTCAGCTGGGAAACATGATGGCAGCTGCCAGCCCATTCATTTGTGTATGAACAGGCCCAAATATCGTGGCAGCAGTAGAGGTGAAATTGTCCGTCGAGCTGTTGAATATGGCAAACCTGACAGATCGCTACAGTCTTGCGGCTTGCTTGACGCTTACCTCAAGCGCGTTCGAGAATATTTGCAGCCATGGATCCCTGACGCATTGTGGGCAAACAAGAAGTCTCCAGATGCATTGTATATGTGGAATTGCCAATCGTTGCTCTCCTTGGGTCTATGTAAACCAGTTCTTGTGCTGGCTGCCCAGAATGTGGGACCCACTTTACCGCGGCTGGACGCCACAGATCTGAAAGGATGGAGTCCAAAGGAAGGCTCGCGAGACCATCTTAGAATTTAGAAATCCCCGAGTGAGAGAGAGAGAGAGAGAGAATACAAAAAAGAGGCACCACAGGGGTGGTGCCAGAGTGGAGCTGGACAATTGGGGTGTGGTTGTGAACCGGCCGGTTACCTTCCTTGACACCATTCAGCAGCCCACCTCCCTCCGTCCTCTCCATGTGCAATATGTGCGTCTACCACGGCTATAGGTACCACCCAGGGATCTCACACCATGTCAGAGTCAAACGTGAAGCAGGAGGATTGTACAAGTTGTACCAGCAGTTTTTGGGTGTCGGTGCCGCTGCTTCTGTAACCCTCTCTCTGTCCCTGGTCTCTCAATTATTTTGCTGCAGTATTCATGTTCGCTCTGATGCTGCGCAGGGTTGCCCACGTCCCGCTCTCCCTCTTGCTCTGTCTCATGTCCCTCTTTCGTGGGGCTTGGAGACCGAGGCCTCCACGCTAGTTGCGCGTTGGTATCCCTCCTCCTCCTCCTCCTCCTCCTCCTCCTCCTCCTCCTCCTCCTCCTCCTCCTCCTCCCTCTCCTCCTCCTCCTCCCCTTCTTCTGCTTCTGCTTCTGCTTCTGCGCGCTTGGGAATCCCCCCACCCCCCCCCGCCCTCGCGCAGAAAGGGGCTTGGCGACGGCCAAGCTCGTGCACGGTCTGGTCCCCGGTCTTCAGGGGTCACTCAGTGTACAAGGGCCTTCCAGATCGGTTGGCCACAATGGGAAATTGGCTCTCTCTTCTCTCTCGCTCGCTCTCTCTCGCTCGCTCTCTCTCTCTCTCTCTCTCTCTTGCACGCATAGCCCCCCCCGAGGGAAGGGCTCTCTCTCTCTCCCTCTCTCTCTCTCCCTCTCTCTCTCTCTCTCTCTCTCTCTCTCCCTCCCTCCCTCTCTCTCTTGCTGGAGGGTTAGGGGCCGGACCTCTTCGTCGTCCTTTCTTTCTTTGATTCTTTCTTTCTTTCTGTCTGTGTGCGTGGGTGGGTGTCCCCAAGGTCCCTTGGCAGAGCTCATTTCGAAGCCACCCTTGTAAGCGCCAGGCAGGTCAACACGTTGTTCGAGTTATGCCGAAGTAAACAAGCAAATGTCTCCTGCTGCTTTTCAAGTTCACGCATGCTCAGTGCAGGCCAAGCTTCAGGTGCAAAGGCTGGGTTAACGACCTTAGGACAGAAATCTCCATCAAGCTAAGCCTACTGAAAACAGCATAGTCAGGCACTGCCACTGCAGCCAAGCTGCCGAAAACTGCAATGCATATGTCTCGTTGGCTTGCAAGCCATATAGTTTGAAGGTGAAAACGTCCACACCAGACGTGTTATCACGGCCGGCAGTGCACATCGACATATTGCTGAGCATTTGCCCAGCACCACTTAGGAAGGGAAAGATGTTCCTCGGAAAGGGGGCATGGCACGACTCCTGGAGCAACCCGCGGCGTGGCAAGCGCATTCAGTCGGTGGCCGAGTATCGGGTCAGCTTTGTAGCCCGCTGTTCCCCTTGAAGCCTTCCATGCCTCTCCGCAGCCAGTATCTTGGGCTGAAAACCTGGAGTCTGGAAAATCCAGGCAAAGCAGCACCCCACAACTCAAAACTTGCAATACTAAAGTTGTTTTGTCAAGAGGCCCAAGGGGCGTGAAGACGTGCATATGGCACCTCGGCGTAGCTGCAAGTCGGGCAAAGTCTGGGCGTGTGACAACATGCGTGCTGCTGGCTTCAGGAAGCATAGAGCGACAGTGCTGCTTTGCGGCTGCGCATCGGAGTCGCATGCATTGCTAGGCACCTTCACTCTTGCAGACTCGTGCAAGACAAGTGTCCCCACAAATTCCTACAATGCCTCCATCAAGCCACAAGAGCAGGCCTTGATACCTGCAACCACGTGGCTTCTCGCCTGGGTCATGACATGACTATGTGAAGGCTGGTAGGGTCACATCAGAATCGAGCGAGCACTGCCACTACCGTACACTTCGGCGCCGCGGCGACACCACGGTGCCAACATGTGCCAACCAAGGCCTGCACAAGCGGCTCTTGAGATGCGGCCACCACGGCTGCGTCGAAAGAAGCCGGCTCCTGGACAAAGGGTATATAGCTCGTATAACTTCTGTTAGTATACTTTACAGATTTTCACAGGCTACAAGCGCTGTAGTCGCCAGTCACTCCCAGTGTGAAGCTCAGGCCTGGGATGTAGCCGTAACCTTTGCGCGGTGGCATGTGCACTTATGTGCCTTTACATATGTGCACTTAGCAGACTTGGCACATCCTCAGGAAGAGTGGTGGGGTGCGCCCAAATCACGGCTGAGCGGCGAGGATCCCATAGTAAAGCCAGAATGGCCAGCGCATG